CTCTGGATGGACTTTTGCAGGTACCCCAAGCGTCAGTTAGGGGAATTTTATCATCTCGAATTTTCAGAAGGATATTCTCGACGGCGGTATGAGTGTATGAGGTCAGCAGAACGCTTTTGCCCTGCGAGACAATGGCACGGATGATTTGAGCGATGGTGGTAGTTTTCCCAGTCCCAGGCATCCCAAGCACAAGGGCATAATCTTTCGCGCTCATAACCTTCTCAATGGCTTGTTTTTGGTCCACATTCAGGGTTGCTTGCGCGGAGGCTGATAGTTTCGGCACGGAAGACAGTGATTTGAATACCGGAGGCACACCCTCAACAATTAGCTCCCTCAGTCGGCTTGATCGGAGAGGTGTCTTGTCCATCATACAGACGAGGTTATTCCTGACGGTTGCCATGCCGTTACTAAATTCATCTTTATCAACTCGATATAACACAACGTCTTCCTCTGCCGCCAGGTAATCTGCACGTCCGCGATTGCCAACTTCCATGATTCCGGCATAAGACTGATTTCGAACAGGATCAAAACCCGGCATTCTCGTTCGAGCATTATGAAGCCTTCGGTCAACAGCCACGGTAAGTCTCTTGGAACTGGCTTGAACGAGGTAGCCGTTGGCGAGAGCAAAATGGCCTTTTTCGTCAGACACTACAATTGGATCTCCAACAGTGATTTGTGAGTCTGTAAAAGAGAAGCCAGGAGTCGCCTTGTGTTTCACGAACGTATATCGAAACCGATTGATCTTCGGCCCTTCTGGGTCCTCGAAAGCAGACTCTGGCTCTATCACAACTTTGCCGAAACACCGGCCAACGGCCTCTCGCTCATCGCTTAACATCGTCCAAAGCTCTCTGCGAAATTTCATTGTCTCCTTTTCCTCTTGGGTTAGTAGGAGGTCCCATTTCTTGAAGAATGCTTGATGCGAGGGACTAAGATGTCCGGCCAGTTCGACAAAGCTCTTTCCCATACCGCTTGTTTCTCCGTCGCCACTATCCATTAGCTTGTGATATACAAAACATGCAGATTTCGCATAACATTGGTTGCACATCCGAGGATTTTTCAGCATAGGAGGAAGATCTAGCCGCTCTCGAATGTATCCGGCTAGTCGATTGCGCTGTTGGATCATCTGCCGAATTTCGGCAGGAATAGCTCGAACACGATGAGTTTTGGAGACCTCCAAATAAAATAGTATTCCAAAGGTAACGTCAATGTCTATTGTTTGAAATTAGCATAGCCAATCGGGTCTCTTCTCACATTCAACGTACCATAACGGTCCGAGAGCAGCAAAGTATACAGCGCTGTTTGCGCCCTATGTGCCTCGTTGGTATTATTTCTCCCTGTCTTGAGTTCTAGTGGCACTGTGAGGGTCTTCTGTTCCGCTCCATCTTGCAGCACAACTTCGACAGTCGCATCGATGTTGCCTTTCAATCCATACATTGGTGACCAAACGTGCTCTTCCACCTCGAGAAGTTTGTCTATACATAATTTCGCTGTAGTTCCGTTTCTATCCTCAATGACGGACTCTGACTATAGGGCCATTAGGAAAGTGGGGAGATATTGGCACGAGCGATACTTACAGTCGGTTGATATCGAACGAAAACGTCCGCCCAAGCCTTCAACATCGGCATCTTAGCCTGCAAGTATGCTGCAGCCTCTGGTAGCTCGACTTGAATTTCATATAAGCTTTCCAAATACTTTGACAGCGTCTCGTCAATGACTTCTTTCAGCCAGGCAAAGTCCCATCTGTTAGCTTTCATGGCTTGTTGAAATATTTCGTGAAGGATATGTCCATAAACTTGGGGTTTTGAAGCTTCACTGGTAGCCTTGACGCGATCTTGAAGGACTGCTCGCCTTTGGCACGAAAAAGAATCAGCAACGACAGTGGCAGAGATGAGATGGTCGGGGTGGATGATGATCATGTTATTAGCATCATCCACTATGCATTGTCCGGCCGTATTGAACTCTCCGATGAGATGAAGATAAAAGCCCTTTTTGCAAGGCATATCAAACCACGATTCTCTAAGCGTGATGGCTCTATTCAGCTTCGTCTTTTCTTCCTGGACCAGCAATACCTTCCACAATGTTAGCAAAGGACAGAGATCTAGAAAACGTAACACTCTACCTTTTCAGCTTGCGGCCGGCCATTGCTTGTAATGTACGTGTTCTCGGCGCAGTCAAGAATGAGGTACCGTTGAATGGTCCGAGAGTGTTTGAAGTGCTTCAATAACTTTTAGCAATATATCTAAGGTAAAAGCCCTATGAATACAGGGGAAGACTAACTTTGCTAGAAGAAGCAGCAAATTCAGGATCCTTCCTCATGGCATCTTCAATTGCTTCCAGGTCAAAATCATCATCAAACTCATCATCGGATGCCAAATCAATAGCGACTTTTGTAACCATGTTTTGGTCATTCCTAGTTTCAGTTTTCGTAACAGTCTTCTCCGAGCCTGGAGTTTCCTGTCCGGAAACCTGCATCTGTTTGTTCCCGGCCGCTGTCCGCTGGGGAGACAGACTTTTGTCATACTGCGCCATAATTGCTTCGAGGCCATCATCGAATTCTTCGTCATCGTCTTCATTAAAGTCATTTATAGTTTGGAAGTCGTCTTCTTCAAAGGAGTGCTGTTTGGCAGCAGTCGGTGCTAAAGTTGGAACATGGTCGATTGCTGCCGGTGAATTTTTAGATAAAGGGAAAAGTTTCTTAGGCGATACAACCGCAAGCTCCAGGAAATCACGGTCTAAATCTTCGTCGCCGAATTCGGATGGTGTTCCATTCGAGTCAGGTTGTTCTTGGTGTTCGCCGGTTCCGTCGTTCCCCGCTGTTTGGCCGTCATAACAGGGAGCCGGTGCAGGCTTGGAAGGGGTTTCAATCAGCTGGTCTTTATCAGGTTGTTTCGGCGGTGACGCAGCGTTGCATTCATCCATACCATCGGATCGATCGGGCAGTGGAGAGGAGCTAGATGGAGCATCCGGATCGTCCTTGGGGTATTTTGACAGCGTCTCCTGGATTTTCTCAACTAAAAGGCTGATTTTCGACGACTTCGGCCTATCTGATGCCAAAAACGACGAGCGCGAACGGGAAAATCCATCCCGGATAATGTCTGTTCGTTGCTGATCGTAGTCAATTCTCCGTCGTTTGTTGTTAGAGACTGGCCAGTCAATATTGCAGCTACTGGCACGTCTTAATCCTGACCCATCTCGAGCGGCCCGGGGCAGGGGTGCAGGCGTGTGCGGTGATGATCCGAGTTGTGAAAGATGAAAGTTGGAGGGTTCAGCGCCTGGTATTCCATTGCCTTTGGCAACATACTTGTTCCAAAGATCAGCGGCGATATCATGTTGAGGCGTCTTCATGATGGGTGGGACAGCTTGCAAATCGACTGGCATATCTCTGTGCAAGGGAGATCTCGTAGGCGACGAGCTATGGTTTCGTTTCTTGCAGCGGCGGGCCGACGATCGCGGCATATTCTTCTTCGAGGACGGGTTTCGATGGTCCCAGTAAACGTGATCTTCCGGGGTAGGAACTTTCCCGGCTGCCTTGCTAAAGGCATCTTCGGTATTGCTAATTAGGTCTGTCTTTTTTTATTCTATGGACGGGAGTTTGGGGGTAATTGGAGTCGTGCTTGGTCTCTGGGGCTTCAGGATGGCCATTTTCCTTGTTCGTCTCTAAAGTGCCCGTGTCGCAATCCGCGGCAGACATTCGGGAAAGCGGGTTATTGATATAGCGAAACGAATTCAGTTTCGACTTGGAAGCAGCGGAGATGACAGCAGGCTCGTCGAACATGACAACTCGAGTCTGCCTGCTGTTCACATTATCGCCCGCTCGATCTTCGCTCTTCGACGCGTCTCGACGGACAAACGCGTCGGGCGTTAGTTTAGTGGGTTATGTAAGCGAAATCACTTGAATCACGTGACTTTTATCGTTTGATGACATAATACTATATATCGCTCTCACGGCGCAGGGGGCTATGCTGCTATGCTGGGGCAGATCGAGGAAGGGGAGTCGAATGTCGTGCTGAAGCGGTTGACGAGGCCATATCGATCGCCTTCCGCAGGCCGGAGTTCCGTGAGCCCTGTCTCGTATGTAGTCGATGGTTTGGTTCCTGAATCGCGATCGCGGAGGCGGAAAAGTCTAACTGGCCGCTTTTCTTACCGAACATTTTCTCCACCGCAACTGTAATTCCCGCCTTCAACTCACTCACTCTCCCCGCGCTCTCTTTTCCACAGCGTTTCTGCACTCTTTACTGTTGCGCCCGGTCAATTGGGATAGCATTCCTTTCATCCATCTTTCTTTTGGAGTTTTCAGGGTCCGAGACTTGCATCTGCCGTCATCCTTGGTTTGTTCGTCCGCTCACGCGCAACCCCACAAAAATGTCGCAAGAGAAGAAGCCTTTGCCGTTTGCATACCAGTTTGCTGCTGGTGCAGTTGCTGGTGTTTCTGAAGTATGTGCATCCAGAGTTGAAGTGTACTTGGTGATGCTGACAGTTTTCTACTGTAGATTCTCGTGATGTGGGACAACCCCATGCCCAGGACCTGCTACACAGTTTCACGGTAAAGGGAGTGTATGCTTACTCTATGGACCAGGTACCCTCTTGATGTGGTGAAAACAAGAGTGTGAGTGGTTGGAGCCCTGTTGTCTTCCATGACTTACTGACACGCCTCTCCAGCCAGCTCCAACAAGGTGCCGGGACCGGAGCCGAAGCTTACAATGGAATGATCGATTGCTTTCAAAAGATCATCAAAAATGAAGGGTATGATAACTCTCTGCACTGAACATCCCACGAGCTAGCCAAATCTAATGTCGTGGTATGCAATCAGATTTTCGCGGCTCTACCGAGGAATTACCGCGCCTATCCTTATGGAAGCGCCCAAGCGTGCCACCAAATTTGCCGCCAACGATAGCTGGGGTGCATTTTACCGATCGCTATTTGGAATGGAAAAGACCAACCAGCCTTTGGCCATCCTCACTGGTGCCACCGCAGGTGCAACCGAGTCCTTCGTCGTCGTCCCCTTTGAGCTCGTCAAGATTCGCCTCCAGGACCGGAATTCTGCTGGGAAATATAACGGCATGATGGACGTGGTACGGAAGATCGTTCAGCAGGAAGGACCGCTCGCATTGTACAATGGCCTTGAATCTACTCTGTGGCGTCACATCCTCTGGAATGCCGGCTATTTCGGGTCAATCTTCCAGATTCGTGCGCAGCTTCCCAAGGCTGAACCGGGGAACAAGACTCAGCAAATGCGCAACGATATCATTGCCGGTACCGTTGGCGGAACCATCGGTACTATTGTAAACACCCCAATGGACGTCGTCAAATCGCGCATTCAAAACAGCCCAAGGGTCGCTGGTCAAACTCCCAAGTATAACTGGGCCTGGCCGGCTTTGGGAACCGTCATGAAGGAAGAGGGCTTTTCCGCCTTGTACAAGGGCTTTACCCCCAAGGTCTTGAGATTGGGCCCTGGTGGCGGTATTTTGTTGGTTGTGTTCACTGGCGTAACGGATTTCTTCCGGAAGATGAGGGGAGAGTAAATTGCCGTTCGGTCAATCACTTTTTTCGCGTTTCGACCAATATACCAACATAACGTCGGGAGTGGCAGAGATCTAAAATGAGCGCGCGCACGCCAGAGGGGTTCTTGACGGTTTTCAACTGCGCCCTTTCGCTTTTGAGCATTTTGGAAGCGGCTGCCATTGTCTTTCCTTTCCGCCGAATCAGAGGATAATGAGGCTGTCCGAGCTGCTGAACAACCTCCCGCACTTTCAGTTGGGGCGTTTCTCGCGATTTCATTCCCTTTCCAACGAGTTGCCAAAATTAGATTAGATACCAGGGGTTAAGTTCTCTACGTACCGGATAGAATCCTGCTTTTTCTTTGGAGCATGCATCAGTTAAATGTGTCTTGATACATACCTTCTTTGCGCAAATAGACGAGGGTCCAGTTTGATGAGACTTGAATTCAAAACTCTTATCTGTTAAACACCTGAACTGAGTAGCGCGATTCTATCACAGTTTTCAAAAGTCCTTCTCGTCAAGTGAACCAGCTGGTTTCAAGGATTGGGCCCGATGAGAATATGTTAAAGAACAGTCGATTAGCAAGATCCCTGACTATGCGGAGGAATAAATCTGTATTTGTACTTTGTATCTTAGTTTCGGCGACAATCGGCGCCCCCTATACACCTAGTTAATTGATCTCCTCCAGGATCTGGACGACATGAAAATCTATGGCAAAACGCTTTTGTGCACTCAGCATGCAGTTCGAGAGGAAAAGGGAGTTGGGTTCGGGGTGCCACAATGATAAGAGGATGTTGAAGCAGTAACACTCTCTTCCAGGCGGGATCGATACAATACGAAGCCCAAGCGGACGGGGTCTTTGGTACGTGCAACCATGGCCCCCATCTCCCCCCCAAACACCCTTGCCTACCCGTCGCCCTTTGGAAGAGAAAAGGGCAAGAAAAAGAGAAAAAAATGGCATCCCTTAACGAAAAAGAAGGTTGCGGGAGTCCCAAGCGCAACCTTCCCCCTCCACCAAGCTTATTATTACTCCACATTCGCTTTGCAAAGGCTGCTCTTCTTCCCCCGCTCTGTTAGTCGTAAAGAACTCTCCAGGCAGCATCGCTTATGCTACCTAGCACGACCTATCAAGGAATGGGCTGGCTGATAATTGATCCTGCCGAGCTTTTGATACCAATCAACCGTGCGCTGAGAAGGTTGAGCTCAGATCGAAGTTGGATCTCTGTTTCTTCTCCGCGGCATCGTCAAGATCAAAAAGCGCAGAGCAAGTTCAACAACTCCTCTTCCGTCATGCCGGTTTTTAACTCGGCTAGGTCTTCTTAGCTTCAGTCTCCGTAGACTAATAGTTTAGTAGTGGACAGGCTCATCTCTCCAATCCACCGCATGCACCAGATATCAAAACAACAAAGCGGCCCGCCTCCTCCATGACGTCACCGGCGTTTTGGCCCTTCAACTCCTTTTGTACTGTATCTCTATTGATGCAAAGGATTAGCTGCCTCGGAAGAACACCAAACGACGCCCGGTGGTCTTTTTATTCCCAAGTGCTCATTAAGTGCATGCAATGAATAAGTCTACAATCATGAATCGCCAGCCACAACTATCATCTGTCTGCTTGGCGGAAACTCCGAGGAGAAATAATGTGTTGTTCCTGACTCAATGGGTGCTGTACAAGGCAATCGGGCATGTTGACCTCGAACCTTGCCAGTCAAGTAGAGATTGATGTCTATGGGCAATTGACGCACGCATTGACTGGCAGCACAGCTCGCGAATATTCTCTCAAAACAACCGTCCAGGGCGTTCTGCACCGTAGCATATTCTGATAGTCGATACCCCGCATGTTACGAGGCTTGTCACCGGCAAAGACAGGTTCCAATAGACGGAGATAAGCGGGTTATGTATGCATTGATTTGCCTCTAGTTAAGCTTGAGTTGGTCAAACTAGTTTTCTTTTTCTTTTATTATCTCTCAAACTGAAACATTCCTCAATAACAGTTCTCATTTTCGGGGAAGTGGTTAAAAATACCTCCAGAAGGAGATACGAAGTGCTCATCGCTTCCTCGATGTAACTTCTCGCTGCACCATTTTCCTCATGGCCCAGACTCGAACCTCTCAATTGGATTGACTTTTCCTGTTCGTTGTCCTTCTGTGCAACTCACAACAGGCAAAAAAGCAAAAAAGCCCAAAAAGAAAAAAGAAAAAAGAAAAACAGAAAACAGAGAAAAGAACAGAAAACAAATCACCCAAAAATGCGGTCATCGATGTTGGGTGCCAAGAAATCCGGATGAGTCATCGCTTACTTTCACCACGAGACGGGTATGGAACAGTACATTACAAAACCCGGGAGTTGGTTTCGAAGCTCCTGAAATTACCAAGGCACTTCTCAAAGACGATCAGTGGCTGCACCATGTAACAGACTGCATTTGGAAGCCATCATATAAGAGTAATACACCACTAGAGTACCGGGAGAAGAGAAGCTATCATTAGGCGGTTGGATGGTGCAACGAAGCCAAGCAAACAGAGAAAAGCAAAAAGAGTAACTATGTAAAAGAGAAGCCCATAAAACATGGATATTGTCGGAGATGTCATTCAAGTCATTATCATACCTCATTGAGCCCCCTGACTAGGCGTCCCAGTCGGGTCTCGAATCGACCAAAGCAGCTTCCATGGCAAACAAATAACTCAGACGTGTGTCTCAGCAAAAACAAAGCCCCAGGCGTAACCTGCAGCAGCTGATGCTTTGTCTGCAAATCTGCCGAAACAATCGCATTGGAATGATCTGCAGGAGTCGCACCAACACATCGGAATCAAGGTCAACCAAGGAAGAGAAGCGGCATAACAACAACATAGGTATCAGCAGTCATTATGAAATGTCATGTCAGATATGATAAGAGGGTAAATGGTGAATCAAAACAGACAAAGTGCAACCTAGAGGAGTAACATGGACAGCGGTCATTATCTTAGCCTGAAGATCAAATTTGAACAATGATTAAGGAAGAAAAACACCCGCCTGGTCTTAATCAAAACAACAGCAAATTATGTCTCAATAATCAAAGGGGGGGGGAAATAATATGAGGATGCTCAACGAGATCAAAGCTATGTGAAAAAGCAAAAAGCAGTCAGAGATATCGAGAAGGAAAATAGCAGAGGATTAAATAGTGTGTAACAGGGTTACCTTCAAACGATCAGACTATGCCAGTGTCAACGCCTCGAAAACCCCACTGTTCCGCTCTGAAAGCGACGCCACCGATGCAGCTTTCTGTCGAATCCGAAAAAAATAAAAATCACCGTTTGGGGTTTTGTGGTCAATTCATATCCATCGAGTATTCGTCCTCTTCTTTGAAACTCATACCCGCATGTCCGGACGTGTTCCAGAATTGTGCTTGGCCGCTCCCGCCGCTAGTGTTGCCGCTTCCACCATTGGGAAATCCGGGGCTGAGGCTCTGCGAATTCAACCCTTGACGTTGGAGTGGCTCACCAGCGATATTAGTGTGCTTGGGAACCCGAAGTCCAGATCCTGGAGCGCGACTGTAGGCAAATGTATTCGCATTGTTCTTCTCCATGGCATCAAGTAGCTCTGTCCGCATCCGCTTGTCTTCTTCCGTTTGCTCAAAAGGCCACGTTCCACCCAAGGAGGTGATCAATTCCGCCAGCTGATCTTCTTGCTCCAGCTTACGATGTAGCGACCACATGAGATCCCTGGTCCAGCCAACCGCTCCATTTAGTATATCACCCTTGTTTGGACCCTTTTCCTTTTCTTCGATTGGTAGTCCCATTGTGATGTTACCACTTGTCGCCCGTCGTCCACAGCCACCTGCAAGAAGAGAAGTCGCGGCACTGGTTGGGCTTATTCCCGACCCGCCCACAGTGCCAGAGAGTGACGAGTTATTAAGGAGCTGCTTTCGTATTTTTTCGTCCTCCAAACGATGTTGCGGGACAAGATGGGAAAGATCTTGAATTCTCTCGTTGATGTTGTCGCGCCTGCGTCGCTCTACTAGGTTATGTGATTGGCGGCGACGCTTTCTTTTTGCCTCTTGGGACTCCAGAGCCTGTTGGGCGCTGCTATGATGCCCGACTTTGGTGGGGAGAGAAGCGTGTTTCCCAGATTTGAGGATCTCCGAAATTCCAAGGTGCTGGGACGGGTGGCCGGGGGAAGAGATTGGAGATTCTATCAAGGAATGTGCACTGCCTGGTGTGCCATCCCACTGGTTTGCCATGTTCTTCTGGTGTTGGGTCTGCAGTGGTACGGCCCTTATCGGTTGCGACGGGAAACTACCTGACTCGGGCGTGGCAATGTTCAGGCCAGCCATGGCTGAAGTCTTGGGCGACATCGGGCTCCGTGGGTCCACGGAATTCCTGTCAATTTGGAAGCCTGCTCGCGATTTTCCAGCAAGGTAATTCTGATCGAACTGCACGTTTGCGCCGTTCATATGCGGCGACGCATCTTGTGGGGTGTGCTGCTGTATTGGCCGAAACTGGTCATAGCCGAAACCGCCACGGATAAAAGGACTGTTAATAGGGCCGCCATCTGGAGTACTAGAGTAGATATGCGACATTTGGCCTTGGTGGCTCATGGAAATACCAGTGTGCTGCGGCTGGTCAGAGGTCAAGTTGAAGGGCCCATCGCGTAGCGTGTTTTGTCCATTGATTTCCAAGTTGAGCAATTCTTCAGTATCAATTCCAGAGTTGCCGTGGTTAAAACTCGATGACAGGTTCTGCGGTGAACTGAAAGGATTCGACATGAAGCCGCCATTGTGCATGAGAAGTTCGGAAGGATCAATGCCATCATTCGTTCCAGAATTGCCGAATTGGTTGCTAAACGACGGGCTGGGCATTCCATATGTAGAATTGGACATCATGAAATGGCTCGAATTGTTCAGTTGGTCGTCTGGTTCTGTTTTAATAAAAGTCGCTTCCGCCATCCTTTTCAGTTTATCGTCAGAATATAAGCGATGATCAGTTGGCCGATCGCTTCTATTGCCTTGGACTAATATATGTCTCGCAGTGACAAATATTGGCGGATGTGTCGGAGTTCAATAGGGAAGCTGAGAAAGAATGGAGGTCTGGCCCAAGCTAATTGTTCACAAGAAGTTAGCAGGCAGTCCGAAGAAAACGTGGGGTCGACAACAAAGTTGCAAATGACGACTTCGAGTGTTACATAGTGTCTAAGCAAGAACAGCCTCGGTGGCTAAATGTAGCAATGCTACAGCAGCCCATACTGTGCAACATTCACGTTCAAGGGCTCGGAGGGTAAGGCTGGGATGCGCCCGACATTGGTGGGACACTCGAGAAGAAGGCAGAAATGAAATATCACGTACTTTGCGAGAAAGAAACTGAGCACGTCGTCGCAGCGAATAGCGGAGTGAGTCGGCAGGCTCAATCCTGCGGCTCAACCTTGCTAAAGCGAGAGGCCGTGCCAAGGCGAGCACGACTCGTTCAAAGACCGAGGGCTTGAATAGCCTTGAGGCTCCAAGCAAGGCTTATCGCTGAATGATTGTGGAATTCGATAAGTTAAGGTGAATCAATCGGCTGGTGACTGAATGTCGAGGTTATTGCAGCTCGTTCGCAGGCCACTATTGAGGAGTGTCAGAACTATTAGCGGTGTTGAGAACCAAGATGGATAGGCTAATGAAGAATCGTCGAGCTCCTTGCAAAGATCGGGCTGGCGGATGGGGGCGGATACTGAGTTATTGAGCGAGAATCTCCGTCCGCATTACGAGCAAAGGCTGTTCTGGCGCTTCAAGTCCAGGTCGAAGGAAGATTGAATTGGCGAGGACAGTGATAAATGGATGTTGGGAGGAGGCCACACTTTGAACGCGAGACAGACGCCGGCAGAAAAGAGTGGCGGTGGGCGACGGCGGTATGGTTTGGTATGGTCTGGTACGGGGGTGTGACGGTACGCCGCGTACGGTCCTGGACCTGTTCGACGAGTGTTTCGCGATCTCTGCTTCAACCAAGGAATACCAAGTGTGGAAGCGAAAGTCCATTCCTGGGTGGATTTGAAGAGAAGCTGAAGGGACAGCCAGAATGGCCTAGCAATGGTTGTAGGGAAAGGCGCAAGAGGCGATGCCAGGATGGTGATATTTATCCGGTTCAAATTAAAGAAACCAATTATACTGACCAGATGGCTTTCATATATCTTCAATGTTGTAATAAGTTGCAGGCGCATACTCCATTAAGAGGAGAAGAGCACTTTGAAAAGAGTATGGCGATGGTTAGGCTCGAAGCGGTGTGTACGAGATGGGGGAGACCAGAAGCGGGGTTGGGAGGAGAAGAGGGGGTTTCTGTTAGATCGAAGTTGATTGGGAAGAGGTTTCTGATGCTGATGCTTGACAGAGAGAGATCTCGAATCAAATGACAAGACTACCCGAGAAGGCGACGGCACAATATTAAGTGGTACCTGCGCTTGTGAGTACAAACAGGGAGTCGACGGAATGAACTAATGACCGCGAGAGGTGACTTGGAATTTAGCCGCAGCGACGAATCATGCAGAAAAGGCACCCGGAACGAGCTTTTCAACCAGGGAGTTTAAGCAAGGGGGTTTTCCACTCGGGGCGAGCGACGGGGCATTTATGGACTACAGAGACGGCCTCCTGCATCTCTAATTTGATATGTGATGACGAGAGTCATGCAGCTCGGGCTGATCATCCAGTCCACGCGGTTAGTGCTGACGACCTTTTTTAGTCTCCAGTTGAACGACTACAATGGAGCACCCAAAATAGATCCCATTTGAAGTGTGTGTGTGTGTGTGTGTGTGTGTGTGTGTGTGTGGTGGACGGCATATAAATTTTGATAAAATAAGGACAAAACCTGTTTTTTTTTGCTCTCAATAATCCCCCCAGGTGGGACGGTCAAGGAGAGAGGAAGAAGCAATACTTTGCGCCCGGGTGGACTATACACTGACCACAGGCCTGAGAAGCCGCAAAATGCATTAGCGAGACCTCCCTCAGCCAAGTTCCCAGTGCAAGGGGGCAATGTGACTGCCTGTGAGGCGTCCTTAAAAGTTGGCAGAGAGTGAGGAACAGAAAAGCTTAATGAAGGCGCGGTCATCCCCAGGGCTAAATACAGGCGAAAGGGGGAAGCTTGAGCATTCCGTGACCGGCCACTTATTTTGCCTGGGGGGTGGCCCGAGGCGTGATGGTGGGATGATTCAGATGCCACAGACCCAATAATGTGATCAAGCACTCGGGGCGCTGCGGGAAACCCTGAGGCAGAAAATGTCCCACCTCTCCCTCCAACCAGACGCACATGAGAGACCATCTGTCTAGATCTCGAAGACTCGATGTGCGATCGTGACTCAGAAGCAGGAACCTGGAGTGCTGGAGCTTGGGAAAGATATGCTCGGGGAAACAGGGTTGTTTTCCAAGCCCATGCCGCTTGATATCTTAAAATGATCGACACATGGAGTCGACGGGATTGCTCCGGGAACATGGGTTAGGCGTGAAGAAGAGCGATGCAACAATACCACATCCCGAGTGCTCGTGGAACGCGTGAGGGGGTATAAGAGTGCGTTATTCTAGCGCTATACTGCCTAGATCAACCGCCAGAGGCAGATTCATATCACCACGCAAGTCAAGTCAGAAAACATATATTTGCAACCACCCCCCCGCCGGCAAGATCGCCTTGTATGGACCATGGATCTCCCTTGCACCCCGTTCCGCGCGCCGAACGCGAACCTTGGGCTGTCCCGGCTTGGTGAGGTTCGTTGTCTGATCATCAGAAACCACACACAAGCGGGAGGAAGAGCAGATAAGACACCATCAGCCGTCTGGATCCCAAGTCGAATCGGCGTAACGGAGAAACGGTACTTTCACAATGCGTACATGTATGAACCTCCTTGCGAAGATGTCTTGAGTCGTTGCTTGACGCCAGGCTCCTACGAAACAAGAGCCAACATGTTTCACAAGGGAGGCTGGGGTCCCAAACATAGCCTCGATGCCACACCAAGTGCACAGCCCATAGCAAATCAATCTGATGCCCGTGTGTAGCTCTTCTCAAGCACTCTACATGTCAACAGCGTTTATGCACCATGAGATAAACGACTCGATACAGAGGACGGAGTAGTAACGGAGTAATCAGTTACAGCGGTACCGATACCAATGGGTCTAGTCCAGATTGGGCTAAGCGTTGCTATCTGGTCTGTGCGCAACCTTAATTCATTCCTAGCTGTATTCACTGGTGTAACGGAGTTACCGCTAGTATGCATGCGGAGAAGCTTTCCGTCGCCAAGCCACAATTGGCTGACTAAGCCGGCGCGAGATCCAACATCCAGCATCTAGTTATCAGGCGGCATCATTCTTCAATGCCATTGCCTACGAGCCTGCAACCCGTCCTGGAGCAGCGTGAATAATCTAGTCTCTTGGATTGGTAAGCCTTACAGTAAGATAACATCTCGTTCAGGTGCATTGAGCGCAGAATTGTGTGGGAGCGCATTTTTCAAGAGTGTTCATCCTCTCCTCCCAGGTTTGATATTCCACCCCCATCCGCGCCGAGCAACCGTGAAGGCTAACCACGATCATCTGACACAGATCCCCTACGTCCATCCTGTCTATCCAAACGAAGTGGTTGCAGAACTTGACCTCGGGGTTTCGCGCCGGTCTTCTTGTTGCAGCCCTAAGCCGACCCCCGCCCTGCTCGCCCACCCACTCGCTGGCTGGATCAGTCGCAGACCGCGCACACTGTCACCACCAGCGCTTCCTGAAGGCTCCTCGCAACTGAAAGAATTATATCCCCTCCGGCGTTGGTGACGTCAGAGCCGAGAAGAGAGCGAGACAGGGAGAGCTCAAGACCTTCGAGTCCAATCACCGACTCGGGATCTTGTGAACTGAAGCCTCGTGGCCCCGAATCATCTGACTTGTGATTCCACACCCCTTGAGTCGCTGCATATCATCTGCTTCTAGCCTCGCAAAAGAGCTCCCCTGCGACTCAACACTGAGGCCCGGCCGTTAGCTTCCGTGGGATTCTGCAAGAAGGTGCATCCGCGGTGCTAGCCCGACACCCCCCTCCTCCAGTCAGCACTCGGAAAACCAGTCCGCGACTTCGTCACAACCACCCAGCCGGATCGCGCGAGGATTGGAGCTTCCCTGAATAGCCAACGGAGGCGCAACGCATTCTGCACTATGGCGTCGGCGTCCTTTCGCGACTCTATGAATTCTCTGGGCTGGTCCCGGCGCCCGCCAGAGCCACCGGCCACCAACGGGTCGGCCTCAACTCCTGTACTTTCGACACTACAATCGCTAAACCCATTCGCGAGCCGTGGCTATGTCCAGCTACCCGAAGGCTCCTCTGCGCCGTTACCAGCTCCCACAAGGCGCGAGGAGGAGGAGGGGTGGTTTGCTTGTGAGTCTCGTGACACCCCCCCCCTTTCCTATCCTATAATCGACGTGCTTGATGACGGGCTCCGGGTGATGCCCCGTCAGTTCCTGCGTCTGTCCAAGTTTCACGAGCTTGTTTGCCCATGCTTGCGCGACATATCGAGGCGGTGCTGTTTCTCAAAATCCTCATTGGGTGTATTCGCCCCTTACTAACTTTTTGTCGTCTGTAGTGAGTCGATGGGACCGCATGCTAATCTTTGCGGGATTCAATATTGGCGCCCTTGTCTGCTTTGCGATTTGCATGTGTTTTATCATCTTTCCTGCGTTGATGTTCGTTCCACGGAAATTCGCCATTCTGTAAGTACCCCCCCTTGCATGTTGTATGATGCTGCCTCTGAATTTCAGTCATCACGTCTGCCTTGCTGTTTTGATTCTCATGGTTATGGTTGAATCACCCTTGCTGAGTACCGAAGCTCCTTTCGGGGGTGCGAGCACTGATGAATTGTGGCGCATTGGATTGCATGTACTCTGTGCTTAGCCACGCAGCCATGGGGTATACCGGCCAGGTTTCTCCGGCCTAGGTATCTCTCGATCGCCGTTTGTGTCTCTGGGCTTCCATCCTTGCACAACGCGTTTGTGTATTACGTTTCTCCAGGCCGTGTCAAAAAGGGTCCCACTAACAAAAAAACAAATGCAGATGGTCAATCGGCTCCGTTTTGTTTCTGGCCTCCTGGGCAGTCCTCCTGGGGCCAATGACATATTTCAAACACCTTCTGTCCGGCCCCCGGCTTCCATTCACAGCGGGCGTACTTTTCGTCTATCGCGCTCACACTGTTTTTTGCTGTTGGTGTAAGTGGGCCCCCTTTCCCTCCATTTCTGTAACTGTTGCACTACCTTTTGCCGTCCTCCCTGATCCATTCCAACCCTCGCCCTCATGTGTTACTTTCACGTGTCCCCTGTCTTATCAAACATTCCCTGATGACGTCACCGCGTGTTCCGCGTTTGCGGCGTCGATTCTTTGCGTTCAGCTTCCATTGATCGCCTAGCGAGGCATTTGATAGCCTTGGAGGCTCGCATTCTCATGCGCCATTCCTCGACCTTTTTTTTTTTTTTCCTTTTGATATTTATGACTCACTGACACGCGCTTCTAGCTCCATTCCACCCTCCTCACTCTCATATCGGCGATCTTCCAGCTCGTCGCCCTAGTATGGTACCTTGTCAGCTACTTTCCGATGGGCACCACTGGCTTGAGACTTGCCGCTCGTGTAGGAACTGGAAGAGTGGCAGCTTGGATGAACGATTAGTTGTACATTTAATTATTATACCCGTCTTACTATATTTTAGCGTTTTAGAATGCGAATATTTATCAGCTCTTGACGATGAATGGACTGGTGCCAAATCTGCTCGCGTTACCCAGCCTCTCGTGTTGGGGCGTAGCAAGCTTGTGATGAGAATTATCAATATCATGAGGTTTTATTGAGCCTCAAAGGAAGTACTTCTATTTCCCACACTTGAGGATACTTGGACCTGGGATAAGCCCAAATGCATCAAGGGATAATCGTAACAAGGGAACTTTATACAGTCCTCCTCATCTACCCGAATGTACACCCTTGCTTTTCAGTTGAAAAGGGAGAAATGAGGAATTAACACATGGCTCCCCGCACAAGAAAGATTCAAAGCTCCTTTTTTTTTTACTTTTCCATCCATACTCGCAGTCCTCCCATCAAAATCAACTCAACACCACTCCCACCGTCCCATCCAACACCTGCATCGAACCAATCTCAGCTTCCATAATTCCCGTCCCCTCATTTGCCCCATGCTCCATGTAGACTTTCAACAAGTCGTTACTCTCCTTCGGCTTGACGTTGGGCGCGACAGTTCCGACGGTGACATGTGCAATCGCATTGGCACACGCCCACGAATCCATGTCCGTCGGGATATCTGAATTGAGCGGCTCCTGGTGGTCGACCGGCATGATCCGCGCGACAAAGGCCATGATCCTGTCATTCCAGACTAGGCGCTCAAGGCGGACGCGCGCCGCGCCAAGGGGAGGGTTTTGCCGTCTTGCATTGCCATCGGGATTTTGGAGCTGTTTGTCCAGGGCTTTTTTGTAGAGCTCTTTGTATTGCTCCCAGATATTTGACTGTTCTGTGCTGCTGGCCCTGTGTATTAATGTGACGTGGAAGGAGGGCTGGATGCGGCGGGAGTTTTTGAGGTGGTTATATAGTTTGGATTTTTCGGCTGGTGTGCTAGGGGGGAAGAGAGATGCGACGAGGTTGTTTACTGTTGAGTGCGGAAGGGATATACGGAAGTATTCAATCTTTTTGAGGAGATTACTAACCGGTTTCCCGCCTATGGTATTCTGTTGATGTTGAACCTCGTGGCTTGGACCTTGCTGTGGGCCTCGATTCCTCGAGCCGCCAAAGCTCAGGTCGTGCTTAAGATCGACAGCATAATTCTTTATAGCTGCCTCAATAGCCTCATCAAGCTCAGAGGCGGACGGCTTAGGTCTGTCAAATAGTCTTGGGTATATGTTGTAAAGGGCGGAGACTACCGTGTCAAGATTTTCTCGCGAAGACAATGCGATATCCAGGTCAATCACCTCATCGAAGTTGATATCTGGCTCATGGTCGGGATCCACAGCCTCAAAGCGGTTAAGAAATCCTTCCATAATCCCTATGATTTCGTCTGGAGATTTGCTCCCAGCACGAATTGTCTGATGATTATCCCCTCGCTCAAGCACTCGTTGACGGGTCACTTTCCTGATGGTAGATATCAACCTGCCTTTAGGCTCGTGGACATAATGGAGAGCGACAAAACGGGCTTCGGGCACTATTGAGCGAACATCGTCAATAATTTGTCTTCTTTCCCGCTTCTGATGATTGTTGCGATCTGCAATGACGGCCTTGTGGTCAAGCAGTGAACGACGGATTCCTTGAGCGAATTTTTTTGGGCGTTCTTTTCCCTGAATGTTATCATTTTGAATGTGACCCCAGCCAAATAGGCGCGCAAGTGCAAGCGCAACGGTCGTCTTTCCACAGCCAATAGAAGCCACTGGGACAAGGACAATGTTCTGTGAAGTGGGAGGCGCAACGTCTCCTTCAGCGGCTTCCATGGCTATTATTTCTGAGCCTTTCAGGCCTCTTTCTTTGAGAAAACCTTCCCTCATCGCAATTATTCCATGGTTATGGGCATAAAGCTTTCCAATCTCCGGGTCCCTTTGCAGCTGCCTCCGGGCGTATTGCAAATACTCTTCAGTGATTTTCACATGTTTTCTATATCTGGGCGCTCTTCCTGCAATAACCGCTTTGGTGCACTCACGCCATTGCCGGTACATGAGATATGGCTCCTCGAACTTGTATTTGAAGAACCAGTCAACATAAGGGCCCGATTGAGCTTCACGGGACTTGCAGCGGATCACAAAGCCTTCAGTATCTCTTCCATCCCATGAGCCAGTCTCTGCGCATTGTTCTAAGAAAGTTCGAACCTCCGAAAGATCATTTTTTATCACAAACTCGGCTCTTTTGAATCCCCACTTGTCAGCAAATTGATGCACTTCCGCGCTAGAAAGGGTGGCAAAGAAGGGCACGTTGTAGTTTATGCCATGGAGATAGATTCCAGCGGCATCCTCGCCGTACTCTAGAACATGTTCCTCAAATTGATCATCACACAACTCCCCTACTGCCGTGGCGTTCATTCTTCGCAGCTCCAATGCCAGTTCTCGTTCAGTTTTTCCGACAGATTCGACATGCCTCCTCACCCATTTCTCTCCTGCAATGGCGTGACTGAGGTCAGCATCCTGCCTTGCACCAGTAGAGTGCTTACTGCACACTAGCAGTGTGCCGTCCTCGAGACCCGACATGAATATGATGCAGCCATTCTCCTTGACGCTCAGTTCATATGGCCCAATGGTATTCTTTTGGATATTTTCCCATTTGGTCGAATTCACTTCATCGACATTGAAAAACTTGTCGTATCCACGAATGGCGATTTCGTTAGCACCCTTTCTGGTTTTGGTGGTGAAGAGGCCGCGCGCGTAGGTTGGAAGGTCATCCCGCTTGTAGTCCCAGTCGCGAAACTTCCACGAGTCAACCGTGATGTCCGATCCTGCCACGGGGAATGTTGACTTTTTGCATGCGAATTTCTTTCCGCCGGACTTTGGGCCTTGAGCTGTCTTTAAAGCGTGGACCAGCTGAGTCACTTCGGAGGGATCTTGCTGCACCATGGTTGCGAAGGTGTTAGACTAGTAGGAAGGATGTAGGTGATGCTGTCGTATAAAGCTGTGTCTCAGCTGGAGTGCTTGAAGTCCTACTCGGACCCAGCAAGAGGCTCCCAGAGAGATATATAAACCATCGCCAGAGCACAAAGCGAGTCGTCGGAGTCCCCTTCGAGTCACCCCGCTTAGGTAACTAACCGTGCGTTGTCCGGCTGGGCTTGGCGCTCTTTTTTCTTTTTTCAGCGCCAAAACACAACGCAACTCGCCGGCATTCTTCGCCAGCAGGGAGTCATTCAGCCTGCATTGCCGTGTTCTTGATCGTGAGTCACCTTTGGAGTCATGTCTACCCCGAACCAGTACGTGCTCGCAGCGGACAACTCCCCGTCTTTGCTCCCCCTCCTTCGATCGAACCCCTCGTTGGCCTCCGCCCAGGACGCGCATGGGTACTCTCTGCTGCACGCTGCCGCATCTTACGGGCATTTGGACTTACTTCGCTCCCTAGTCCGTGAATTCCATGTCGACATCAATCTTACCGACGAGGATGGAGATACATGTCTTTTCGTTGCCGAAACGGTAGAGCTTGCCCGCTGCTTGGTTGAGGAGCTAGGGATTGACAAGACGTTGAAAAATGATGAAGGATTGACTGCAGAAGAGGCGATCTCCAGCGACGGATCCTTTCCAGATGTTGCGGCTTATCTACGAGGCACGCCTGTGAGCACCATCGGTGATAGCGTCACCCGTCCTGGCCCGTCTCTACCACCAAACGTCACGGTGAATTTCGGCACGATGACCGAGAGTGCCGCCAACGGGAATGATATGCCAGATCCAGAGTTTAAGCGGAGGATAGATGAGCTCGCCTCAAGGGAAAATTTCCACAGCGAAGAGAACCAACGGGAATTACGCGACCTCGTCACCGCGGCAATACGGGGCGTCAATGCGGAAACCCAACAAAAAGACGTTCGCCGACGGTTGGATTGAATAACCTAGCCTCATATTCAACGCTATTGTTGTTATTATTTTTCGATACGTGGCCATGCGTTCGTCCGACTTTCGCGGTCCGTGCAGCGTGAAGCCATTATTGGGTAGTTACTCTACGCCCGGGTTTTCCTGGTACCGACCGACAATCGCGGTAATTACGCTTGGATTTGAGTAGCAATTGGTTCAGGCGATCCGCAATCGGGTGCTGTGTGGGCTTTTGCCGTCAGGGCAGAGTTTACAGAGAGACCAGCGCCATATGGGCTGCCCTCCATTCCTCACCCAAAACAAAGGGTGTTCTGGTGTTAGGCTTTGCCGAACGTATCGATACAGGCAGTCAGAAGCTACAGTTGGTCAATATAGTTCAAGTTGATTAATTGAATTGCGCGGCATACATTCCCACTCCCCTTGGGACATTTGTTTGCTAGGTGGAATGGATAGGAACACTTCAAGTAGAGAAGTACAGCCTAATTATCCTGGATTGTGACTGTATACGTGTTATTAGCTACGATGAATGGAGAATACCTTGAGACACGAAAGTGTACAGAGTAAAGAACCAAATCATCACCATTTTCATTGCTGCGTGACATCATAACCGAGGACTCACCATCCTGGGCTTCAACTTCACTTGGTACACTGCAAGAGCATCAAAGCCCTCGTGCAATAAGACATATCCTTCAGCTTGTCCAAAATGTCATTTTCCCCAATACCGTATTCTCCCTCCAACCCACAAGATACCCATGTGCTTCATGGAACACCGCCGCCCCCACCCCCGAAACCAACGAGCCATGAAGCAAGCAGAAGAGGCACACCACTGCTAGGCCAGCAATTCACGACACAAGCCCCTTCCACACCACCGAAGGAAGCTCTGCCGCCCCGGCCGGAAGCAGAGATGAGCGCAGACAGCAAACATCCCACTTCTCCCCATCATCCATCCCCGATCAACAATCTGCCGCAACCACCTGGCCTCGATGAACTGTGGATTCCCGACATCATCAAGGACAAATCGTACATTCTTCACACCCCTTCCCAGTTAAAATGATCCCCCCCACCAGCTAACCCAACCACACACCCTAGAACCAAAGACCTCCAATCCATCCTCTCCGACCCGTCACTCCTCAACGCCCTCGCCAACACCCACCCGTCCCACTCCGCTTCCCAATCCCACCTCCTCGCCCTCCTCGACTCCAACAAGGCCCTCGCCGCACACGTCCTCGATCTCGAATCCCACCTCTCCGCCCTCCGCGCCTCCACCGAATCCCTCCTCCTCCAACACCAGTCTCTCGAACTCTCCTGGCGCAAAAAGCAGACGGAAATGGATACCGCGCTGGCGCCGTGGTCGCCCAAGGCGCTGTATCAGCGGCTGGTGGCGGCGATTGCGGAGCAGGAGGCGGTGGTGAGGGCGGTTGAGGAGAGCTTTTTGGATGGGGACTTGCAGCATGGGGTTGCGGGGGAGAGGGAGGTGGCGGAGTGGGTGAAGCGCTTGAGGAGTGAGGGGGCCAAGTTGGAGTTTAGGAGAGAGGCGCGAACGAGGTGGGATGAAGGGAGAGTGGGAGGGTGGAGATGATGACTTTTTTGGGTGTTTACATTTGTTTTTGAGGGTTGATATCCGTTTGTGTTTTATAGCGCGGCGAATTGGGAGAATTATCTCATGCTGTCTTCTTTCGTGAAGGATAGATTGCCTGAGGAGGGATTATATGCGTTGGACCTAGCCGAATATAGATTGAAATCTTCCCTATCGACCCGATAGATGATAGGTATCAAGTAATACATATGTTTGAGATCAGTTTTGGGCCTTAGGTTGTATCGTCGACCTTCCTTGGGCCGCTTACACTAGAAAAGTTTTTGATATCAATAATTACCATGATTAAAACAGCTACTTCGAGGCTAAAACTAAGTATATATACTAAAGGGCTCATGGCCGAACTGTAGCGGAGCTGATGCCTCCATTCTCAGCATCTACCGTGGCTATCTCGCGGTCTATCAGTATAGGCGCGTTTGGTCTCAAGTCCGTGCTAGGTAATAATCCGTCCCGATTTCTACTAGCAGAATCTGACGGGAGACGAGTATCATCTGCGTCGAACGGGTCTTTCTCGGGGGCGTAGCTGGTGTGTTCGATGTTCCCAAAAAATGCTCGGTCTCTGTCCCGCATACCCCATGCCCATCCTTGCCCTGAGCTGGGAGGAAGATGGTACAAGCGGAATCCGAGCCAAGCAAACGATATCCCTAAAAGGGCTCCAAAGAGAATGTCGAAACCGTAATGGCGGCCGTCGGCAAAGCGACTCGAAGCTATATAGGTTGCTGCAACAATAGGCACGAAAGCGAGGATGATCAAATAGATGGGCGGCGGTGCGGCTCGATTCCGCAGGGGTACAGAGGGATGGTCTGAATCACTTATCATATAATCGCGAGGCGCCCTCGCGGATCGATGTGAAGACAGGAATGGAATTGTAATGGCAAGCTTCGAACATAGCCAGAGTGACAAGTAGGTCAAACCAGCAAAGGACACTAGGGAGCCGTGGTTACTATCGAGGGCTTTCCGGGCGTACGGAGGATACATACTTGAAGAATGACCGCTTGGAAAGCTAACAAACCCATCCCTCAAGAGCTTCTGCGTCCTATTCTGACAAATTGTCCAAGTAACGAGAGAAGGAGCCCCAGAGATCTTCCCGCCCAGACCTCCAACGGCATATCTCGCAATATTTGACAAGTCAGGATCACACCTGTCGAGCAAATCCGGCCTTGGCTTGCCAAACATAACTTTCATTGCTTCCGTCGCCGCGTAAACGCCAGCGTATGCAACACCCAGCCCCATCCACCCAGCATTCCATTCCCAGAGCTTGCGCCGCAATGCTTCAGCGGCAAAGGCACGTTTCCCCGTCGGGCCCGGAACGAGGATGAGGCTAAAAAGGGCGACCACGGCTGCTGGCACAAGGAGGCTAGCCACCACCAGTGAGGATACGGGAACTCTTTCATGAACGGCGAACGGGTAGGATATATTTGGGTCGGTGAGGCTAAACGGTCTCCTATTCGGCTCGGCGATTTTGACGATACGCCCCGAAGCTGCGACAAATCTGCAGGGTAGACATCCGTCAATATCGTATACAGACGAGATAGAGATGAAACTCACAGTATGAGAATCCAGTCTATGATATAAGACAGTACCAGTCGCTTGGAGAGTATTTTTTTTCCCGACGCATCGTCACCGCCGCTACTCCTTGAGAATGACCGTACGCGACGGAAAATCTGAGGGCCCATTTGATGAAAAGAAAATATAACTCATGTAACCAGAAAAACTGGTGTCACAGCACGCTGGAGTGTGACAGTTACGGGGAGACTCTTGTTACCCAAGCGCCAAACAACCAAGAAAAGGTGTACAGAAGTTCAAATAAGTAACCTTTACTTGAACTTCAGCTGATTAACTATACACCAGAAGGTGTGCAAAAGATTCTGCTGCACTGTGTAGTAATAGTGATAACTATCTGCAGCCCGCAGCAAAAGCGTCACAACACACAAGATCCAAAGAGAGGCAATGGGCACACGTCAGCTTACTGCTTCTGGGCCTGTTGAGCAAGAGCCCTAAGAACCTTGGCAGTTGCAACAACCGCGTCCAACTTCAGGTCAAGAACCTCAGGAGAGACAAGCCGGACACTTGTTGCTTGCGGATCAATCACTGGCTGCGCACTCGAACCGGCTTCCTCGAGGCACACCCCCAAATGCTCAGTGTTGCCAGGGGCTCTGGCAACAATCGATAGGGGCGACCATGCTGGTCTTTAGAGGATTCCCAGGCGGTTACCATCGCTAAAGGCTTCCAAAGTGGCAGGGGAGGCACGACAACCGCAGCTGCCCCGCGATCTCTCAAAATCACACTCTGCCGTCGATCGCTTTCGGTCTCCCACTGTGTGCCACTGTGCCAGCACGATGGAGAACTCTACACAAATACAAAAAGACACTCAAAGGGGGCCTGAGCGCCAAACCGCACCTTCATCCGCCAAATTCCCCGCCCTCCTCTTCGTCTACGGCTCTCTCATGGACACCGACGTTATCCAAGCAGTCCTCCGTATCCCCAAACCTCCACCACTCCGGTCCGCCGTCCTGAGCGACTACAAAATGAAGATGTGGAGAATCTACCCGACCTTGATCCCGCATGAGGGCACACAGGTCACGGGCAAAGTGTTCATGGTCGATGATATCGATCAATTCCAGCGGCTGCAAAAGTACGAAACGCGCGCGTACAGTTGGACTGAGTGCGAGGTGGAGCTGGAGGATGGTACTGTCGCGAGGGATTGTCGCGTTTTTATATGGGCTGGGGATCCAGACAGTGCGGATCTGCGGGATGGAAGCTTTGATTTGGAAGTATATCAAAAGGAATATAAACCAGCCTTGTTTGGGCGAGTTTGACTTGCATAAAGATTTGTCGAACAGGCGATAAATGAGCCGTTGGTTCCATGGATGCTCGGATTCAATTGAAGGTGTTTAGATGGGGATAACAAAACGCCACGCTATTAGATGGAGTTCGACAAGGTCATCGATCAAGTTGATATTCTCAAATCTTTACTGCTTCATAGTAAAGTAGCATCTGGATTTTAGTTACACGATTCGCGCCGGACTCTCCCAGCGAATTCGAGAACGAGCCACCAAAGAGCAACAAATAGTTCCTCTGAAACACAGGCCCACACCTATATGTACAAAATCTTCGAAATCAAGTCGAGAATTATTTCTGCTTGCCCTCCAAGTCCGTAAAGAAGTTGTAGCCAAACTCGGCGCTTGAATCGTTGAACCGGAGTTTCTTATCCATTGCTGCAATGGCATTCATGTCGTCTGGTTTCAGCTCAAAATCGGACTCGTAGTTTTGTTGGATGCGTTGAGGTGTCTTCGATTTAACAAGAACAGAGTGGCCCTTGTTTATACCCCATGCTATACCCTTCATCAGCAAAGTGCTATTGTGGCTATTCAATGCACACTGAACCTACCAAGTGCTATTTGCGCCCCTGTCTTCTCGTACTTCTTACCAATCTTGGCAAGGGTTGCGTCTTCGATCAGTCGTCCATACTTTTCGCGGCCAGAGTAGACTTCATTTTGGTTCCCAAGGGACGAATATTGTGTGACGTGGATGCCTTTGCTCTTGAGCCATTCGACATAATCATTCTGCTGTAGCCAGGGATGTAATTCCATCTGAATGACCGCCGGAACGATGGAGCAGTTCTGAAGTAGCCTTTCCGTTTCCGCCTTGGAGAAGTTCGAGATTCCGATAGCTTTAGTCTTCCCCGATTTCGCCAGCTTTTCCATAGCTTTATATGTCTGAGAGAGCAGTTGTCAGCCATTGGCAAAACTTTTGCGGGTCTGAAGGAAGTTAGCCTTAACATACATCGACGTAGTCAATGTCAGCGGTTTTGGGATTTCCTTGAGAATCCTGAGGAAAAGGCTCGTCGCCACGGGCAAAGGCAACGGGCCAATGCATGAGGTACAGGTCAAGATAGTCAACCTCTAGGTTCTTGAGTGTTTGATCAACCGCTTTCTCCACATCGTCAGGGTGGTGTTTGTTATTCCACAATTTGCTGGTGATGAAAAGCTGTTCCCGAGATAGGTTGCTTCGTTTCAGAGCTCTCCCAATTGCCTTTTCAGTTCCATATCTAACCATTGACTGTCAGTATCCCGTTTTTCGTTTGAGATACCGCGTTCCAAGGACGGTATACTTACATCGCGGCCGTATCGATGTGACGAAACCCGGCACTGATCGCGGTAAGGACAGCATCCTCCTGCGCATTCTCATCCTGCCATGTCCCAAAACCAAGAGCTGGGATATCTGCCCCGGTATTGAGCTTGAACACAGTGTGACGGGTAGCCATAATGAACAGTCCAATGTTTGGATCTCCTCTTTTGTTTATCGACCAACAGAAGCTCTAGTAAATCACAGAAGGTCAATTCATGAGAAGAGATGTATGTTAACTTCCATAATAAATACGTTTGGATATCGGGTCTTGATGGATAACGTCAGTGAACCGGGAACCAAGTTGGCAAACCTGGAACCTCTGGGCGACGGCACCAATGGAACTGGGATGCCAAAATTAAACAGAAAGACAGGCTGCTTGGTGTCAGCAGCGGCAGGTAAGCCTGAGATCATTGTATCTCTGGGTAGGGTTGTGAGTGTATGCTCTGCTCGTCTTTTCCCACAGCAATAGGCCATTTTCAGGGATAAGTATCCTCAATCTCGCTCATATGTCGGTCCATTTCGACCTAACTTTTATTAGAGAAGAGGAAAACACTCGTAGGTACTACACTCTTAACATTAGGCACAGCTAGATGAGGAGTGCTCGCACGGGTTGGGGAGTATGTGCGGATTTCGTTCAGCAGGGATGATGGGCAGTTGGCTGCCAAGCTGCTAAAAGGCACTCGCGTACGGAGCAGTTACAGGGTCCATATGCGAGTAAAGAGCTCGAATTGCTCAATTGTTTGACGCGTACGGAAGTAGTATAACGATGATGAATTGTATTACACGCGTCTTACAAGAAGAATTGGATATCTGCTTTCCTAGCATTAAATGCGTATATACTACACAAAGTACTTCTTCAGTATTAGATTCTGGCTTGGGCTATGTGGTTCTGAGATGGATGCCCCAAAGCCGATCAACCAGCCAACGTACGGGGAACTGCGATGGGGATATGCTCTCTGGCAAATAGAGATACCAGTCATTTTCATCCACCAGGCTCAAAGTGCGAGTCAGCCCAGTGCATTCATAGTACTCGGGATAAAAGCCACTATACTCCCAGTCAATAATTCCAGTAACGATATAGCAGCCGTTGGCATCCTGTTTCACCATGATATTATCAGTCCTAACATCACCGTGCGTGAAAACAGATCCATTCATTGAAATGGAGTAGTCATTTTCCAAAAAGGACTGAAGAAATTCAACGTAAGTGGAACTGCCATGGTGGCGGGCGGAAAATTGCAGGTCGTTGAACTTGATCGCCGTGGTGATGCCTTTGAACAGGGCGCATTCATCAACACGGAGATCTTTGACCCCTTCTCCATAGACCCCTCCAAGTACCTTACCATCATCCTGCCGAAGTGTTCTCAGTCGGCGGAAGATGTCATCGAGCTGGTGTTGAATTGACAACTTTTCCTCATGGGAAAGGCTGGGCCATGCTTGGGTTAAGGTCATGTCCGGAATATGTGACATGAATATGACCCGAAAGGGTCCGAAAGCGACCAAACCATGTGGTCTTGGTGCAGGGATCTCAGGCGCCCATTCTTCAAGGAATTTCAAGCTCGTGTACTCCGTGTAATCTTTGTTTCCTGTGATGACTTTGGCGACGAGACCTTCACTGCACTTGACCACCACACCTCTAACAGGATTTTCCCAGAGCTTCGTTGAATCCCAAAGAAGGTTTTTCAAGGAGAGGACGAGTGACTCCTCTGCATCAGCTGGCCCACTATATGCTGACCCTCCTGAGCGTGCAAGCAAGGAGAGCACCTCCTCCGACAACGGAAAGATAACTGAAGCAGTCACAGCAAGATCAAGACGTTTGCGGAACTCGGGAGCACTTCTCTGAGGAATGGATTTCCCTGCAGACGACAAAGTTGTGGGCCCGGTCGCCATTGTGATCCTGTGCGTATAATTTGGTGGGAATGCAGATAGCAGATTGACTTCCGGTTTACGTCTGAGGGCGTTGTGAAGTTCATTTAGTGCATGGAGATTGATTTCCGCTGCATAAGACAGTTGAGGATACTGAGCATTTCGATGCTCATGATGATAAGAGTCGGGGAACATTGATATTAGATCCACTGCAGGATTCTTTTCCAAGGCGGCCTTGAATTCTAGCAAAAGTTCTCTGTTCCATTGTGCTGCTTCAGCGTTGGAGAGTGTCAGGGTTCGTGGAGCTTCTTCCGTGTTGTGCGTGGTGCCAGTAGCGGAAGAAGCCTCGATATCATCAGACTTCTCATATTTAGAGAAACGCGAAGGAAGATAAAACGGGAGGTAGGCTAATTGCCGAAATCCAGCCCATGCCACCGAGCAATAGTGCCAGAGCCTAGAGGAATGAAAACATTATGGATAGGGCAATATAACTGGCGTTCCCCAAGCCCGAAAATCGCGCTGTAAAGCCACTGAGGTCTGGTAGAGTGGATTCGTTTCCAATGGATAGAAAAACCGATAGTTCGTAAGATTAGTCTCTCACCATGATACTCCATACCGGGAAAGACCTGTGAACCAAGCGGCTATGGGAGAAGTAGATAATTGCAAAGGGAACCCGAGACATTACAAGGTAAGGGAACAAAGAAATGCGAGAGAAAAAAGGTAGCAGCAAGAGTTGATATCTCCATGATTTGGGATCGAGGAGTACAGGGTAAATCTGTCATTGTTTTCCCGTCCTATCAACATCTCTCTTTGCTTGCTTTTGCTAGAGATTTGTTGGGTTTCGCGGCAGAGGGTTCTGGCAATCTTCCTCTGTTTGTTTGCAATGAGAAATGGCTTCACTCCAAGTGTCGCTTTATTGCCTCTTCTTTTTCAACATTTCTAGGTGCTGGATTTGCTGACGGTCTGTCTTTTGATATCTGACGAATATCATAACTCGTGGGGACGGAGTTGGAAAATAGGGGAGCCCCGACTAGCCGGCGTGAGTACGCCTGAGACTGCCGCATCATCAGGCGAAACACTAACCTCAAACACTCCCTGTTCACACTGACAAGGCTTGCCTAAATTTGGATAAAACTCGGTGAGATTTCAGCCACAGACAACGCCCTTGGTTCTTCTCAGGGACCACGTTGGCGAGCCGCGTAAAGGTGCAAACACAGCCCGCTGGAAGTCCAGCCTTTCAAAGCCGCAGAACCTTCGAATGCGCTAAGGACTTCCGGATGGGTTCTTCCAGCCTGGATGTGTGAAGAAAGCCCAAGTCATGATGGTCTTTTCGAGCTGAGCACAAACTGCCAGCGCCCCATGCCAAGGGGGCATGGGCATGGAAAATACGAAATTAAGATGCTTGAGGCTGTTCAAGGGTCTCCACTCCAGGCACTCCCCCAATGGTGATGCATCCAAGCCGTTGATCTTGGTGCGGAGGCTAAGCCTGGGATTGCGTTTAGGTTATTTGGGCTGGAGTGAATTTCCGCGCCTCCTGAGGCCTTTGATATGAAGGTGTCAGTCCCTATATATACTCTCTGACCCCCCCTTCGCCTTGTTTCGGGTTCACTACATTCACCCAACATCCTGCTCGATTTTACTCTCCAGCTGTGCTCTTCATTTCAGGAATTTCTCCCATATCTCAAGTTACAAGACCGGCATTCTCCCACGTCCTACGCCCTAGCCATCATGCAGTTCAAAACAATTGCTTTCCTCCTTCTCTCGGCCACCACGGCCCTTGCGAACCCGAAGCCACAAGAAATTGACATTGATCTTGGCGATATGTAAGTTGCCAGTAGCCTTGCCGTTGACAACAAAGATATACTGACATCGTGACAGAACATCCTTGATTGGCGAAATCCCAACATCGCTCCCCACAGATTTTCTCGATGACCTGAAGAGCTTCTCTAAATACATCCCACCCCCTGGCATTGCATCCGTCCTCGAAACTGCTCTCCCCTCAGAAGTCCGCCAGAGCATCGAAGCCAACCCGACAAATGCCTATAAATTCAACACCGATCTCTACAGCAGCCTCAAAGCCGGCCAGACCCCAGAGTGGTATGGCGATCTTCCAAGCGACGTGAAGAGCTATCTCAACATGGTTGGTGGTTTAACTGGGACTGCCAACGGCCCTCAGGCGACCGGAGCTGGAGCTGGTGGCGAACCCGCCTCCGCATCCGGAAACTATGCTGCCCGCCCCACTGGTGCCGTTGCGGCTAGTCTCGCCGGTGCTGCCGGTATCCTCGGGCTCGCGATTCTTTTGTAAATGGATTTGGGCTTCACATTCATACTTCTCATGGGCCATTCTGTATTATTCGAGCGGCGCAGGGGAGAGAACTTCTAAAATTTATTCTATACCCCTGTCTGTATTTCTTCGCTTCATGTATTCAGTTTAATAATGAAAAGGATTTCCGCAAAACGAAATTTGTTCAATCGCTTCAATCTGATATCAAACTTGTCTGTTGTGGGCAATGAAAAGGGGCTGAGACTTGCTTTGTAAGCAGAGTTGCGCACATGGGTTATTTCGCCAGCAGCACCCCTCGCCCATAAATTTCGCGTCGACAAATTCCACACAAACATTTCTCTCAATCTTTCTCGCATCGCCCCAAGGGTTTTTCGAAGCTCCTACAACAACACCGTCCGTACGAAGCCCAAAGTGATTGATTAGGTATGTTTACATTCTTTTATTGAAGATGGATCTACAATCTCTGTTTATGATGATCCTTTTTCCACGAACAATCCAAATCCTACAACCCATGAAGGAGCAGATTTTATCTCTAGAATTACTCTGAAAAGATATCAATAGCTCCCTTACTCTACTCATATTCTTATTATTGCAAGTTACTGACCTGCAAGTAGGAGTGTAACAAGAATATTTTCTTCCTACAATTCAGCCGAAAGGATTTTCTGTTAGAAAGGTATGATTGCCCAACTAGCAAGTTTACTTTCCCTCTTATTGTGATGACTATTACGACATGCAAAGGCATTCCTCAAACTTAATCACCATGTGGAATCTGTCATGTTCTAAGTTTCAGCCTTGTCTGACCAGCTCTTTCATTCTTCTCTCGATTGTAAAAGCTTCTCCTTAAGTTTCATATTTGCAACCGATTGTTCTTGTGGATGGTCTTTACTGACATGATTTCGCACTAAAGGTATGATTTTTACATTTCCGCCCTATCTGCCTCGATATCACGCTCTTCTATGAGGAATTCTTGAACGAACGGGCGGACAGATTGCCCTCTTCTCCTGTCATCCAATCAAGCGGACTGTACAACTCTGCGGCTGACAGTCAGTTGAGAGGCTTGTTGAGAATTCGTCAGCTGATTATTACATAAATCGATATGCTACCATGGCGCCGTCCTTACTTTTAGAGCTCCGGGCTGACTAGACCGTTGTCGAACAGGTATGACACGTCTTTTTTGGAGTTGTATAGACACAGCATCTTTCTATGATGAACATTATTCACACTGTTTGATCTTGACATTATTGTCGGGGTATGAACGTATAACACTGAAAATTCTGATTTAATGAGGTATGTTCTGGAAACTTATTCTAGACATTAATACCTTTGGATGCTAACGTATAGGCTGAAAAGCCTGACTTTAGATGATATCTTCTACTCTTTTCACAAGCGAAAGTTTGCTTAATGTTTGTATACTGACCGAAATCTTGCGGTTAGGTAGGGTCTTTGTAGTCGACTCGCAGCGTTGAAACTCGCTTCTGGGTACGTCTCTGCCCGTTCTTTGCCTTTCTTCTTTCCTTGTTATCGTATACCATTGCCCACATGATGATCCCTTTTGTTTTCGCTGTGTTCTTACCGAGTCACACTTTGAAGAAACAACATCACCTTGGAGAACTGAGAATTTTGTATCCTTTCACTGCTTTGTCGGGCTTCCCCCTTATCTGGCATTGTAGAAACTAACCGTGCTAGCAGGGATTACCAGATTTCCCATTAAAATTAGGGCACCGTTTCACTGGCGTTGCTTGATGTGCTAGCATTAGATTACTTGGAACTGAAAATACAACATAATCTTCATTTGCCTAGACATCTTAATCCACGAATAGTCCTTTCTTCTTGTGCCAACCCTCCAAACTGTCTCCGTACTGCTTATAGACCGTCTTCTTGCCCTCAGGCCATCTCACCCAAGCCGGTTTAGAATCCTCCAGAATGCACACCATCTCGTCCGGTACCGGTAGATCGGTATCGATTGCCGAAGCAAACGGGTGAACGAGTTCCGGGAAGTGATTATCCCACAGCCATAGCATTGTGCTGCAATTCGAGCAAAAGCTACGTTCACTCGAACACATCGATTCGTTTGGCTTGCCTCGGTCTTTGATCGCTTTGTACTTCCTATAGTCATGAATACCATTCCTCAGCCATCCTGTAGATCGGAAGTATAGGAGAGTGATAAGGGTCTGTATAATTACTTGATAGCATCCTTTCCCTTAAGTATCTGCAAGCTCTCGGCGATACCACCCAGATTCACGCTTCCGCTGTATCCGCCGACCTTGCGGCAGATGCTGCAGGCGCAGAGCTGGTAGGGCACGGGTGTGTGGGACTGTAGAGTGAATTCTACAGCGCCGCATTGGCAGCTGCCATCAAGTTTCCTACCAGAAGTTTGGGTGCGGGTGTTAGCTGTGGTGGTGAATATGTTGGAATAACTCTTGCCAACCAGTGAAGGGCGGTAGATGAGAAAGGGAGTGATAGGTCGTAGAAGAAGAGGATGGACTAACATAGGCATGTTGAAGGCACGCTAGATGTGACGAGGCCACTTGATTTTTTTTTCGGCTTTCTTTTGGGCGGAAACAAAGAGCTTGTTTTACAGATGTTGGAATAGAGGTAGTTTTATATACGGAGTACAGCTTCTCTCCGCTTTCGACGTCATCCCGGTTAAAGTACTGATGGATACATGTTGTATACAACCAATGAGAAGCATTAATGTGTGTTAACCGTCCCGCAATCAACGAGAAACCCTCCATTCCTATCGAGGCTCAGTCAAGGGGAACCCGAGCTCGCCAACTCCTCAGGCGGTGATTCCCGTTGTCGCATCCCGCAAAATGTTTGCATTGTGACAGTGTTGGTGTTGATGCAATTTTGCAATGGAGCTCTCCACAGTTGCCACCAATGGGAACAGAGAACAACTGCACAGACCAAGTTTGCTTAGTTTGTCTGGTTTGCAACTGAATTCAATTCCGCGAACGAGAAGAGCAAGCATAGGACCGCCGGCTATTACTTTTGTAAACAGACAGTCTCGTTTGGATTGAGTGGCTGGGTAAAATCCATTGGCCCGTGAAGGAACTGTGAGTCATGAGCTTTGGAAGCCCCGGTGGACGATCCGTCAATATCAAACCCACGCCGTAAGCTCCCTTGCGACCCTCCACTGGAATTGCCTGCTAACATCATAGAAATTTAGTCCGGAGCGCGGTAGTTTTCCTCTTGACCATGATGGTTCGTTTCTCCTTTGTCCTTTTGTGCTGGGAGGATATAATATCAGAGGTTCCTAACTGATCACCGCGGTGAAATCGATAGGAGAATGCAAATACTTAATCGCGTCGTACCTGCACTGCTTGAAATCAGTCGGCGGTGTCAATGATGAAAAGTGCCGGAAGCTGGCAAAGGGATACTTGAATTGTCGGATGGAGAAGTACGTGGACTTGAGAACCCTCCTCGTGATTTACCAATTCGCTTATTACTTATTGTTCACCGGATTACTGACAAGGGCTTCAACTTTGCTCTAGGAATTTGATGGCTCCCGATGACTTCAAGAATTTGGGGATTAGTATTTGATGAGAATGACGCGAAATCAGGACCAAAGTCCGAAATGACATCGAAAGCCGAAAGACCCATCGTTAACAAAATGAGTGATCGTTGCGATGGGGCGAGGGCTTCGTATATTTCCGAGCAAAAAGGCCATTGCATGGATCATGTTAGAATATGTGTATATATTTACATTGGCATATATGGTGGAGTTGACGGTGTTTTTGACTGTTTGGGATTGGACTTTTGGGCAAATATAGGTCGCTAGCTGCAGGCATTCAGCATTGGAAATTCCTCTCAAATGTATTATATTAGATGATTTCAAACAAGTTATGATCTTTTGGGTTTCCTAATGACATGTTAAAAAGGCGCGACGCATGCGAAATATTGTGAATCTTCTGGTGTGTTTCTTAAGTACACTAGGTTGGTGGTTTAAAAGTTGCGACGGAAGTTCCTACATACATCTTTGTTGAATCACATTGTTTCTTTCGTCCTAAGAGTTGAAATAGATCTCTTGTTCCCTTTGATAATGTGATCCAATGTCTTCCGTTGTACGTCCCCCGGATCCGTGCCTGGTCGCTATCATTCTTATCACTTGTTCCCGAGCCGGCCCAAGATTCGTTTACCACTATCCCCCAAGTCCTTCCGTCGCAAGCGCTTCCTCCCGCCGCAGCTCTCGCGCCAAACCGGCAAGGACCTCTGACTCGAGCCCGTCAAGCGACAATGATGAAGGCTCGAGCTCAGACGAAGATGAGCCAAATCACACACCGCGGCTAGGCTCCCCGCGGCCTACAGACCGAAATCTTCACCGTCTATCGTCCGGGAGCCATACTATAAAATCGTCGGCGCAACATAAAAAGAGAAGCCTAGAAAGCTCGGATCAGGACGACGCTGAGAATAACCGAGATGACAGACGCGCTGGAGGCGCAAATGGGCCGGACAACCCGCCCTGGGATTGCTTTTTGGGACTGGCTACAAATACATGGGAGAAGCTGTTATGCCCGTCGTCTTCCTGGCACAAACGACGGTTCGAGGTTGGAGTTAATGACCTTGCGTTTGTTGGATGGCCGGTCTTTGTGAGGGAGGACGGGAGGTGGAGGAAGAAGTGGAAGAAAAAGAAGAAGAAAACGCCAGCTGGATATACCGTATTGGACGAGGCTAGTTTGGGAGCCGATTATGATGGACATACCAACGACGGAGAGGATTATGAGGCTGAACATTCTCATAATATGCCCGACCAGCCTGACAATGATGACGAGCCTAGTCGGTCATCCATGGAGACCAATACGGAAGAGGACGAGTCTGTCACCGACGGGAATAAAGAGTCCATGACGATGTTCAATGTTGTTTTTGTGATGAATCCGCCGATTCTTGAGCATAACTCACGTATCAAGGAGAATTACGACAATGTCATAAAGAAGCTTGGGAAGGGACTTAAATCTGAGCAGGCAACGGCCAATTATGTCTGGAAAGAGGCCCAGACTATACTTCAAATCAAGGAGAAAGCTCGAGAAAACAGTATGTTTCCACGCCTTGAACGCGTTGAACTGCACCTTGTCTTGTGTTTGACTAACCTTCCTCTCTAGTGGCCTCCCTATTAGCTTTATATGAAGAGTTATTGTCTAAATCGTCACTAGCCCAGGCGATTGCAACCGTCTATCGGAGTATATCAACTTCGAAGATTGCGTCCATCACGCTGACACCTCATACTACGATGAGCCTTCAAATACCCCCGCTTACATCCACTCCATATCTTCCCGGCCCAACAGAGCCTGCATATCCAGGCTTATGGCTCACTACCGCAGATAGCGTCTCAGCTACAGATGAAGCGCCTGAAGTGGAATATTCTGGCCCGAGTAAGGTTTTAGCAAAACATTTTGCCCTGCTTTTGCTTAGCGACGAAGATACAATACTGAAGGACGTTGAAGCTTCGATGGGCACTCTAGGGCCTCCGTTGGCTCACTATATCCGTTCGTCGAAGCCAACAAAGTCCTTCGCCCAGATCTCTGCCCGTTCGTCCATCCCACTTAGTGATATTCAAGTACTGGCTACCCACCTTATATATTGGCGTCGAGCTCGAGCTGTGCCTCCGCTAAACAAACAGGATACATATATTGTATCCCCCAATTGTGACTTGAGTAAACTTCCGCTAGCAACAGCTGCGTATGAAGCGGCGTTTCCAACAATGCCCAGTCTTCCCAAGATGTTGGCGATGCTGAGTGGCACACCACGGCCTTATGCATATTTCATTCCTAGCAGAGAGCACAAAGATGTTTATTATGATATCCTTGCCTGGCTGATGAGGGGAGGCTGGGTCACACAGCTTCGGACGTTTGGTTGGCTCAAGGTGGATCCGGAAGTGAAGAGCATCGTTGAGGAAGCAATGGAGAGGGAGGAAGCCAAGGAGAGGGAAGAAGATCTTGCTTCATCCACGGCGACAGTCATCAAAGCAAAAGATTTCCAGATCAATGACAACGTCTCAACTTCATCGTCCTCCCTCGATAGTGAAAACACCACCCTATCGTCCTGGACTGGAGAGAGCTGCATACTTCCAGCGACATGCAAAGGACTCTGGTTCACCACAAACCTCATCGTTGATTCTCCGACCGCATCGGGCTTCTCCACTGGAGGCTCGCTGGCTGGATGAAATCATGTCACGGTTTCCAGATGAGCATTTTCCCGAACGTGGAAATGATTTAGAGGACTTTGATAGCGAAATGTCACTCCATCGATTCTGGAGCGTTTTCGCAAAATACTTTAACGGGACAGATGCGCTTGAGAAGATACCCGTTCGCGAGGGCTTAAGCAGGAAGATGGTGTGGAAACTTCTGAACCGGATCGATACCAGTTCGACCTCCCTCGAAGGCGATGCGAATCCAATGGAGAAAGTGCTGTTAACGGTTCGGCATTGGTAATGATCTCTTTTAACCCCATGGGAGATTCTTCCGTGCTGGAAATCGCGATTGTTTCAGAGCGGAGAGCAGTTTGTTAGGGCATGGGATCTGACTGATTGAAAGATCTAATCAATGAGGCAGTGAACAGCCCTGAAGGATTCCTTCTAGCCTCAGAACAATGTCAGATTGAGAATGCTAGGGCATGTGATGTGCCACATCCTAACGTCTCCAGATAAGCTATAGCTAACTAACTCTTCACCTGACATCTTCTGCTTTCAAGAAAGCTTTTTACGGCTTTGCAAGTCTCTCTTCCGACCTTAGGAAAGAATAACTGCTCCTCTCATTCATCAAACACAGCATGCAATTCCTTGCTATTATTGTCAACCCTTTGTATACCGGCTTGATCATTCATTGTGTTTTGTTGCATCTGTACATCAGACCTGTCTTTCTCTTGTAGTTATCAATTGTTTTAACTATCCAGGGAGAGGCGCGACACCTGCAACGCACGACACCTAACAAACACTTGTCTTTTATGGGCCAATGGAAAGCAGCCACGGTAGTTACCAAGGAGGTGAGTGAGGGGCTTTGTTCACGACCCTCACCACTGCTGCGATCAATATCCCGCTATCTTTTCACTTTGCAATCTCGATTTTGACAGCCCAGAGACGGTGCAAAACGTGTCAACATGAATCAAGCCACGCATATTCTCGATTCAGGTGGGGAAGTGAAGATAATATTAAGCGATGCTGATACTCCTTTTGCAGTGTGGGATGAAGAAGTCGGAACTGATACACTCCTCTGCGCTTCTGCTCCGTTAGACATCAGCTCCCAAAGCGCTCCTGCTACTCCAGAGAATCTCACTGTGAGGATGTCAAGTAAAAAGAAGGAAAAGGGGGGAATGAAGAAAAAGAAAGGAAAGGGAAAGGCATTGTTTGTTGATGAGTCCAACGAACCACAACCTGAGCCTGAGCCTGAGCCTGAGCCTGAGCCTGAGCCAGAACCAGAGCCAGAACCCGGACCCGCACCCGAATCAGAATCAGAGCCAGAGCCACCCATCGAACAAGAAGAAGATCTGACAGAAAGAAGTATTACCTGCATCCAGGTATCGGCAAAGCATTTAATGCTTGCCTCACCCGTCTTCAAGAAGATACTGACTGGTGCTTGGAAAGAGAGCATTACTCTTTTGGAAGAAGGTTCTGTCGAGATTACCACCTCCGGTTGGGACACTGAAGCCTTTCTGATTTTGCTCAGGATTATCCACTGCCAACACTATGATATACCCCAACAACTGAGCCTTGAGATGCTTGCGAAAGTTGCTGTCATTTCGGATTACTATGAGTGCAAGCCTGTCCTGGGATTCTTTTCCCATGCTTGGATTAGGTCTGTGGAGAGGAGCATGCCCACGACGTACTCACGAGATTTGGTTCTTTGGATATGGCTATCCTGGTACTTTCGGCTTCCAACGCACTTTAAAAGTGCTACATCGGTTGCTATGTCACAAAGCACTGGTCCAATGACGAGTTTGGGACTGCCGATCCCTGGTGAAATTTTAGGTATGACATACGTTGATTAATTAAGATAGCTAGCTAACACAAGAAATCAAGATGAAATGAACGATCATAGGGAGCAGGCTATCGAACGTATAATCTCGATGCTCCATCAGCTGCGCCAGGCTCTGATCGATGGCACTCGAGGATGTAGCTTTGAATGCAGCTCAATGATGCTCGGAGCTCTCACCAAAGAGATGCAGTCACATAACTTACTTTCACCACGGCCCAAGGCTCCGTTTATGATGCTGAGCTATCAGTCGTTAAAGAGCACAGTGCAATCATTTCGCTCGCCAGTATGGAAACACAACCGGAATTCGGACTATTATAATTATAGATGCGGGGACTCAGACTTTACGGGCCTGTTTCGAGACCTGAAGGATGGTAGCGAGGGACTTGATCTGAAAAACTTTTATCCCTTGATCAGCCTTAGTTATGCCTTTCTATGTTCTGGATTACCCCACCGCCAATTCGATGCCGCTTAGCCTTCTTCTATGATATGTTATATGGCCTCGGTCAGATCTGCTGCAAGGAAACCGATTAACAAAGGCTGGCCAAAGGGTAAAGGGGCACAGGTGAAAGGGAAAAGAGAATGGCCTTTTGACAATTTGTTTGATGATTACATCAATGAGTTACAGGCCATTCATTGACCAAGTCTTGTGGAGAAGCGGTTCGTTAAAATCCGCATGTATCTGGAATCCAGGAAATCAACCTTCACAGCGCTGTTTGGAAAGGCACATTAGCATAACTATTAGTTAGTGAATTTATTAGCTGGTCAACAGATGTTTGATCAAAGGACCCTTGCGGCTCCCCTCCAGCAAAATGCGGCTTCAGCCGGATCCGTGATGGAAACATACCCTTCTGGGGTATTTGAGAAATATTTTCTTACTATTGACTCAATTTTCGCGGGAGGGAAGCTAAGCGGGGATCTTGGTTCCGAGGGAATATCGAACCGTCCTGCTCGGGAGAAGGATGCTGCTTGGAATCTGCAGCACTGACCGTGAGAAAAACTTGTTGAAATTGGTGCTTTCGTCTTGACAGTTTGCGGGGTGTCAATAGAATGGGATAACGATTGCAAACTGTTGGTTCTATCATCTGGTGCCATGTTACTCTCAGCAACGCCGGCTATCATAGCTACAGAGTACATGATTACAAGTAGTTAGAATTGACCGAGGAACCACGAGACAACCACTCAAATCAAAACTGGCATGAATTGCACCGATTAAATGCAAGAAATGTAGATTGATTATCTGGCCTTTTAACTCTTGCTTTTTTTTTTTAGGGCGTTCCGGGACCAGTGCACTTGGGGCATTTCCTCGCGCGACGGGATGAGAAGCACGAGATGAATTTCCACTTCCCCGGGCTTCACCACGCAGCATCCGAGTGGGACAGACGCCTATAACTACGTGATGAAGCAGCAATAATGCCCGAGATACACACAGCGCTGTCTCCCCCAAATAAAAAAAAAAACGGCGCCAGCCAGCAGTCGAGAATCACCGCATGGATTTGAGGAAATCGGCATTTTGCTCGGTGTGTTGCATGTGGAGTAGCAGGGCATAACCCGGAGCGTAATCTATTAGGCGTGTATTGACGGAATTGCTGCTCGTATTGCCATGACACGGCGGGTGGACGATACACAGGCTCAAGGCGGGAGCTTCTTGTAATGCTGGTGAGGGTTTAAGTCATTGTAACCACACATAGAGTGGTATTCTGAGGGTTTAGCTTTGATTGTGCTGTGGAATTTGGATTTGCACTGTGCCTTTGTGATCAGACGTTCTGGAACGTTGTGTAGTTATTTCAATCATGTTTGTGTTAGTTTTCTCTCTAGGCACACCTTTTTTCGTCTGATTGTTTCTTCACTGCTGGGATGCCTTGCTCTATTCGTCTCTTGTTCCTGTCTCTCACCGTCAGAGCAAAGTGAGTTTGATGTCCGTATTCTGCGCAAAGTTACATTCTCCGTACGGCGCCCATACATACAGCGTCCCTCAAACCGGCGCTAGTCCCGTTTCGTGCCGGGTGTAATAGTCGAGTTCCTCTCATATTTTTTTTTCCCTTGAACATCCCACACTCCTCCAGCACACCTCGCCATATCACCTCCAAACAGCTCGACCTCTCCACCTCCTCGCTTTCCTCAGTCTTTCCTGTCAAGCACCCGACGTCTCTATCGACCTCCATCCTTACTCGGGATTCAATTCGGTTCGTCTTCACGGACAATCGCGTTCACCCTCGCTCCACGCCATCGACATCCGGCTCACCAAGTCCCTCAAGGCTTGACTGTGCTGCGATCGGTTCCGCGAACACTCTCTCCCTCGGCCATCACAACGTTGCAGGGTTTTTCAATCGACCACCCCAGCGGACCATCTAGACCGCGGCAAGTCTACAGGTTGTCGATTCGCACGTCACAGTTTGATACTTTCCCGTTGCCCACCGTCGTTGATCAGGTCAACTCGTGAGGGGTTTCGCGTGCGATAAAAGTGTCGGAAGCCTCGCTGACCCGACAAGTCAATCTTCTTGTTCCCACGGCTCCGGGGAATAGATTTATTCACGTTCCGCTTCCGATGCCTACCAGTTTTGATATTTCGCAGTCCTTTTAATTTCCCCGTTCGAAAGGCCCCCCGAGTAACATCACTGGAAACCCCGCCTTAATCGGTAAAGCTACAACGATTAGCAACTATCGCCAAGTCGCTTGGTCTATTTTCCTTTTCCGCTTGTGGGATCACCAGCCATCGGTGAGGCAGCTCGCTGGTGGAGGTTGTCTCTTATTCTTTAGTGTGGGCGGAGGAGCGTATTCGGAATAGCCCATAAGGGAACGCTACTTGCGGCTGTCCCGCCCTTACGCCAGTGGAATACAACTTGTGTGCCCACTCTTGTTGCCTCAATTTATTGTGGTGCGTCCAATGGCGACTTCAGTTCCCAAATCAACCGCAGAAATGCCCACCTTTTCCTATGCGCAGGCCGCGAAAGGTTTAGTTTCCTCAACGCCTGCACAATCTAACGCAGAGAAACAAAGCAAACCGGCATCTCCCTCCAATGGGCAGATGTTGGATGACGTTCCAAGCCATGAGAGTAATGCAACCATGACACAGCTCTCTTCAAAAGAACAAATGGACCCTCTTGGAAACCGGAAACTCCCGACTGAGAACGAATCCAACAAAGGTATCCCCTCAGGAGCATCCTCCCCGAGCGTGGCGACAGCATCTACTGAAACATTACCAAAAGAAGACGATATGTCACTCACACCCAACGGGTCCTCGGATTCGACCTGGGACAAACAATCCGAACGCTCCGTTTCCGTTAGTAAATCCAACCAGGCACCCGAAGGAGGTGCAGAGGAGACCGCGGAAAATGGAACGAAGAACGTTACGAACTTGAAAGATTTGAAACCCGCGTCAATTCCTGCTGTAAATATTTGGCAGAAGAGGCTTGAGGCTCAAGAAGCGAAAGCTAAGGCCAATGCTGCTATGAAGTCAACGAGCCCCTCATCAAAGGCCGTTCCATCGAAAACTCCCGCGACCCAGTCTGGTTCTGAATCTCGTCCAGAGTCATCAAAGAGTAATAGCAGGAGGAAGTCCTCGGAATCTTTCCTGGACAAGAAAAAACCCGGTGATGGTGAGTTCTCGAGAAGCGAATGTTTTGACTTTTTATATTCCACTAACCTGTCAACAGCTCCAAAGAAGGGTAGCGCCCGGGGACATCGAGTAGCTCCTGAATCCGATTCAACTGAGCCATTACCCCCAGTGGGTGACGCTGCGTCGTGGCCCACTCCACAGCTCGCACAAGGCCAAGAGCACCTAAGAGCCCAAGAGAAGATCGACAGAGCAGAGAGAGTCGATAGAGCCAAACCTGTCAGCTCACGATCCCATGGAAAGGAAAAGTGGATGCCGGTCCCGTACGTTCCTACAGCTGTATTCACGACACCTTTGCCACCCGCTGCCCGAAGGGGTGGAAGAGCTGCAAGGGGTGGCAGAGAGAGTAGTGCTAGTCATACACATGGGCATAACGTCGATAGCGAGAGACAGAATTCTGGCTCCAGTCGCGCGGGCAATTCCAAGCACCCGCCGGTAACAGACCGTCGAACCGCCAGTGACTCCAAGCCTGTTCCAGGAGCTAAATCTAATGGCATTTCGACATCATTTGATGAAAGGCACTCTTCTCTGAACGAAGGACGAGCTAGCGGGTCTAAAGATACCGAAGAAACTTATGTAGCCAAGGAGAATCATTCTCAGATCAACGGTGCTGAACCCCAGTACCGACCGGACTTTAAATCATTCACTAAGTCTCAAGATCAATTGAATGGCCCTGTGTCTCAAGCGTCAAGGCAAGGAGCTCATCACGGCGAAGGACAACCCCGCTATAGTCAAAGTACAGAACGGCGCTTTGAAAGTGGCCCTCGCTCAGCGGATCCTTTCAGAGAATCCAATTCATTCACGGCCAGAGACCGAGAACTTGGACGAGATCGTGACTACCAGCGAGGTGACTTGCATAGGGAGAGGGAATATTCTAGAGAACATCGTGGAGAGCCGCGCTCTGAACGAGGTCGGGGAAGCTATCGTGGAAGAGGCGGCCACTCTACTTATGGTACTCAAAACACCCCCTTCCACAGCGCTCCGCTTGCCCAACACCCGTTCTCAACACCTAAAAACTTCTCCTTTAACAACGAACGCCACCGTATGCAACCGGGGGGCGCTCAAAACGGATCGCAGGGTAATGGTAGGGTAGGTCTGCGGTCGCCGTCGATAAATCCTGCCGTTTATGCCTCAGCACCGTACCCATTACAAACAGATTTCACTTCTATGTATGGCTATCCGCAGATGCCTCAGGCTCCAATGACTGCGGTTCCATACCAGCCATATATGGAGCAGTACTCCTTGATGAGCATGATCTCAATGCAATTGTATGTTCAAACTCGTAAGTGAGACCTAGTTCTGAAACTATGCTAACAATATCTGTAGGGAGTATTACTTTTCGGTTGATAATCTTTGTAAAGATTTGTTCCTTCGGAGACACATGGATTCCCAAGGCTTCGTTCTCTTGAGTGTCATTGCTGCGTTCAAACGCATCAAGTCCCTTACGGAAGACTTGGAACTCCTCCGTCTAGTCTGTCGCCAGCTGAAAAATGTTGAATTCAGACCCGGTGAGGATGGTTTGGATCGTATTCGAAAGAGGGATAAATGGGAGCAGTGGGTCCTTAGCATGGATATGCGAGATCCTTCGGCCCAAAACGAAGGACCACCACCAGCTACTACCTTATCCTCAACCAACTTTGATAGTCTGAATGAGAACGGGATAACTACGCAACAGGACGGACTTTCTAATATTACGAACGGACCCGCCCATGCTACTGCCTCGACATCACCTCCCACCGATCCGCTGTCCTCAGACGCGCTTAACAACCATGTTCCGGCTCGTTCGGCTAAATTGTCCTCCACCGCCGCCGAATTTTCTCCACTTGCTCCTTCGGCAACGTCAAGTGAGCACGTTAGTGAGGAAAACCCCGTTTCTGAGAATACTTTTCCAGACGAGCAAGTTGGGAACTTGGTGATTGTGGTGCGTAAGCCAGGAATACCCGACCCAACACAGTCACCTGTTCACAGGCCCCCGTCTCGTTCTTTCTCCAATGGATTTGTTGACGGTTATAAAGCAGCCCACGGGCAACTAAGCGCAGGCAACCGATCCTCCTTCGTACCCCATGGCATTTTACCTGCATCAGAAAGGTCCGCCATCCATCCAACCCCTTTTACGATGGCCGCTGTACTAATTGAATCTAGTGCTGACTTGGATCAACGAAGGAGAGCCGCCGGCTTAACAAACTCTTCATTGGTTAAATCTTCTGTGCAAGTTGGCGGCCAGACGCCCTCGTTCTGGATTAAAAGCAAGAACAACACCCCTATCGAATCCCTTTCCACGGATCTTGTCCATGAGTCATACACTATATTCCGCAAACAAGCACTCGATAAACGGCTCTCCGATTCCTCAAGTGAAACCCCTGTGGACATGGATGTGCTTTATCAATTCTGGTCCCATTTTCTGGTTCGAAATTTTAATTCCCGAATGTACGATGAATTTAGGAGCCTGGCGTTTGATGATATCTCGTCTAGAAATTCGTCCACTGGCCTTCAGTATCTCATCAAGTTTTATGCTGGCATTCTTTCGAGCGACAAAGTTATTCCCGATGGCATTGCCCGTGATCTGGTTTCACTCGTGCAATCGGAAATGAACACAAATGAGAAACCTACTTTTGGGCAACTTCGACGTGCATGGCGGGATGGAGCATTTAACTTGAAGAGCAGAAAGAAAGTAGACGGCTTGCTTGACGAAAGCTTACGAGCCGAACTCGAACGCTGACTACTCTACATGCGTTGACACCAGAATACATCCTACTGCTATCTTTGTTCGTCGCCTTGTTCGACCTACGACTGGTTCGATTTTGACGGATGTCAAATGCAACTTTCCCCTGCGTTTTAGCCTTGCCCATTCGACATGGTACCTCCTACATTTCCGAGATCAGGTTTACCGGTCCATAGATTTTATTTGACACCATTGTGTTATTCTCTGTCTTCGCTCCGAATGGAACCTTAACTCCGGCACCGGCAATACCTTAGTTACAAATGGAGACACAACCTGCATTCCCAAATTGCATCGTGCATGGAAAAAATATTATTTGCTCAAAATCTCGGGGCGTTTTTATCTGTCCATTGTTTCGACTCGGCATTTCAATTGAGACCTTTGAGAGGCACTTAACCACATTTCTTTTCTCGGCTTTTCCATTTCTCGTATTTGTGGGATGTCTACTTTTGCATATTGTTCCGAAACCCAGCACACTTCCATTGCTATCCTTGTTTTGACCCGTGCAACATTCTCAAGCTACCAACAGGACTGGTTGGCACTTGAAGGGAAAGCATGGAACCGGAGTGCCCTTTTTCATCTTCTTCAAATTGGTTTTAATGAACTTATGGTTTTACTGCATGTGGTGTCGGTTTTTTTTCAAGTTGTTGTCTTTCTCCCTTAAACGTTCTGTCAAAGAATCTGTTTTCAAAAAAAGCACTCACTGATAATGGCATATGTTTCTATTCTGATGGATGTCTTCTTTATTTACTTTTCACTCCCCATGACCAAAAAAAGAAAGCCAATAATACCAAATCGCAATTGTCATTTTGGCTTCCATTTCTCACTCTTGTTGTGCACTGGCTCTATCCATGTTTCAAATACATTAGTTGACATTTTGGAGGATCGAACGTGTAGCAAATCCTGAATAGCTGTAGCTTTAGATCCTGACAGCCAAAAGGGCATAATACACCCTGATCTCTCAGCCCATAGTCGTTCCGAAATCTGATATCATGTGACAAGCCAGCTGCCAAGACCGGACAAACCCAAGATTTAACTAGATGGCAATCATTCCCGCCGCTGTGTCCATTTCCAACCCTCGTTGACCAGCCTCTATTCTCCTAACCAAGGCCCAGTACATGTAGAATGGAGGTTGCTGCTAGATCGGTGTTGTCCAGGAGACTACTCGTTTCCCAGGGCCAGCAGTCATGGCGGCCTTCTGTGAGCTTGGTTGCGACCATGCTCCCAACCGAGAACCCGAGCTTCTGCAAACGAAATTTCACCAGCTCGCGGACGCTCAGGGCAGACAATTCATTCCTCAACCTCTCCTCTTCTGCCGGCGGTAGCTCCGTCCCGCCGACCTACTTTTCAAATCGCCAATCGCTCCCCGCAAATACTATCATAAGATTCGTTCCGCAGCAGACGGCGTGGATCGTCGAGCGCATGGGAAAATTCCACAGGATCTTGGAGCCGGGATTGGCGATTTTGATACCATTTATTGATCGGATTGCATACGTGAAAAGTCTGAAGGAGGCGGCGATTGAGATTCCGAGCCAGAATGCTATCACTGCGGATAACGTGACGCTGGAGTTGGATGGAGTGCTCTATACTAGGGTCTTTGACGCATACAAGGCTAGGTTTGTCATTACCTCTTATGTTCTTGGTTACCGTGTTGTTGAAGGATAGCGATTGACATGGGCTCGTTCTATAGTTACGGAGTTGAAGACGCCGAGTACGCCATTTCGCAATTGGCACAGACCACCATGCGTTCCGAAATTGGTCAATTGACCCTAGATCATGTTCTCAAGGAGCGAGCAAACCTGAACGCGAACATTTCTCAGGCCATCAACGAGGCTGCGCAGGACTGGGGCGTTGTGTGCCTCCGTTACGAAATCCGAGATATTCATGCCCCCGAAGGAGTTGTAGAGGCCATGCATCGACAAGTCACCGCCGAGCGATCTAAAAGAGCCGAAATTTTGGAATCCGAGGGTCAAAGGCAGAGTGCAATTAATATTGCAGAGGGTCGCAAACAATCTGTGATTTTGGCCTCGGACGCCTTGAAATGGAACAATAAATTTGGCGGAGGGTGAAGCTAGGTCTATCCGCCTTAGGGCTGATGCTACGGCTCGTGGTATCGATTCGGTTGCGGGAGCTATTGAGCAAGGCCAACAGAATGCGCAGGCTGCCGTTAGCCTCTCCGTCGCCGAGAAATATGTGGATGCGTTTGGAAAACTTGCCCGAGAGGGAACTGCAGTTGTCGTTCCCGGGAATGTTGGGGATATGGGTGGCATGATCGCAAGCGCTTTGGCTGTGTATGGCAAGGTCAATGAAGGTCAGGCCAAAGCCATTGCCGCAAAAGCGATTTTACCACAAGAAACAGGGCAAAAAGATGCGCAGAGCCGACGAACAGACCTTAATCGCCATCAGGAAGAAGCCGTTCAACGCGCCCAACAGCCTGATTCATCTGTTGCTCAGAATGAAGTTGCAGAGAGTGTTTTGGAGTCTTTCGAGAAGACGAGCCATCGTAGGCAGTCGTGAATCCCAGCTTAAATTGACATTCCCCTCCCTTTTACACCTTTTTACTCTATCCGCAGTGCGACTGTTTCCTATGCCGTTTCCAGCGTTCTCTGGTTGATTGGTCCCTCAAGCTCGCTTCGCCGCTCAGCATGATTGCCGGCGTTTTGGTTCTGAATGTATCTGTATCATTATTTACTGCCTCCCTACTGACTTAGAAAAAGGATAAAAATAGCTTGTTTAGAGAGCGGAGGGATTTGTACGGAATAGTGAGCCAATATCAAAATTGTACAACAAGTAGCTAAAACAAGGCCGGACTCTCGCATCTATAGGAAGCATTCGTTGGCTGAACCAAATCTGCTTGTTAGTTATGCTTTGGCCCAAGCTTTCGTACCCATGCCACTAGTTAGTTCATGGGGTTCATGGAGCACGTTTTAATTCTGCCTTCGCTCCTGACAGGACCATTGCAGATCAACATCGCCATTCCCACGCGAGGACCAAGGCAAATCGGCCGCTTCGCTGGCTTTTTGAATTGCAATCTCCTTTGTGATGCTCAGAGACTTTTCGCGTTTCCGCTCCTGACCCGGTTTCGATACCCGCCTCTCCGAAGAAGCAATCACGCCCTGCCATGTTTGACCTCCTAGCTCCTTGACGATTCTCATAGATACCTGCCATTACGCGAGATTCAAATCCAACGACGCGACAGGAAACAGACAGTTGGAAGGCGTTGCGATGCATATAATTAAGCCTGTCTGGTTGACGCATGGAGGTATCAAGCAGCTGTGATGGATTTGTCGGACAGGGAACCACGCTGACTTTTGCTCTTCTTCGATCTAGGTGAAAAAAAGGATTATGAAGTCTACAGCTGCGACATCTCACCGGATGGAAAGCGACTGGTAACAGCTGCTGGAGGTGAGTTGGTGACGGGCGGCGCTGCGCTCCTTTGCCTTGTTCCTCATATTCCTGTTTTCGCGACCATATTTTGTTTCAGATGACAAACGATGGCTGACAGTTGCGGCGACTCGGTGCCTGATTTGAAATGCAGATGGCCACGTAAGAATATGGTCAACTGACGCGATTTACAATGCTGCGGACCCGGAGTACGCGGATAAGCCTAAGCAACTCGCGTCGTTGAGCAATCACTCGGGCACGATTCATACGGTTCGATTTTCTCCAAACGGAAAGTATCTCGCGTCTGGCGCCGACGATAAGATTGTTTGCGTATACGTACATGAGCCGAACGCCCCGTCGCATACGTCAACATTCGGTAAGACCCCGAGCTACGTTGAAGCCTCTGCGATGGATATTGGTATTTGTTAACACAATGGATGTGAATAGGAACAAATGAGCCACCGCCTGTTGAAAACTGGAGAACTATACGGAGACTGATAGGCCATGATAATGATGTTCAGGATCTAGGATGGTCCTTTGACTCTTCCATACTCGTGTCTGTAGGCTTGGACTCGAAAATCGTAGTCTGGTCCGGACATACGTTTGAGAAATTGAAAACTATTCTCAGCCACCAGAGCCACGTCAAAGGAATTACCTTTGATCCTGCCAACAAATATTTTGCTACTGCCAGCGATGACCGCACGATACGGATATTTCGATTTACGTCCCCTACCCCCAATTCCACCGCCCACGACCAGATCCAAAATTTCGTCCTAGAACATACAGTGAAGGCGCCGTTTGTGAATTCTCCTCTTACCACTTACTTCCGGCGTTGTTCCTGGTCCCCAGACGGAAATCACATTGCCGCTGCGAATGCAGTCAACGGGCCGGTCAATGCGGCCGCTATCATAAATCGCGGATCTTGGGATTCCGATATCAACTTGATTGGCCACGAAGCGGCGATTGAAGTCTGTGCATTCTCCCCGAGACTATATTCACTCACGCCTCCGGTTAAAGGGGCGGTCGATAACCAGGGCCATCCTGCCTTGTCTCTCGTGACAGTCATCGCATGTGCCGGCGGAGACAAATCGTTGAGTGTTTGGATTACGAGCAATCCCCGCCCCATTGTAATTACTCAAGATTTGTCGGCAAAGGCGATTTCTGATCTCTCCTGGAGTCCGGATGGAAGAAGTTTATTTGCTACAGCACTTGATGGCACGATATTGGCCGTGCGGTTTGAGGACAATGAACTTGGCTACCCGATGCCGATTGAGGAGAATGAAAAGTCTCTAACGAAGTTTGGCACAAATAGAAGAGGCGCTGGTATTGTTGAATCTACAGATGGTCTATTACTCGAAGAAAGAAGCAAAGCAGGTGAAATCAAAGGCGTTGAAGGACGCATGGGAGCCTTGATGGGCGATAACCATGCATCTACCGAACAAGGCGTCAATGGTACCTCTGGGGATTTGACTAAAAATGGAACTACGTCCGTAGGGACTGCGACACCCACCGGCGCGCAGAAACCGCAACAAAACGGAGCATCAAATGGCACACCTGGAGAACAGGAGAAACCAGATCCTTATGCAGCCAAGCTAGAGAGGCTGAAACAACGACCAACATACACAAAAGATGGCAAGAAGCGCATTGCACCGCTGTTGGTGTCTGGCGCTGGTGCCACGCAGTCATCCCTACCCCAGTCCAGATTAGTTGCCACATCGGCTGGTGCGCAAGTCGGGAGAGCGGAAGGCCCAGAGACGATTTTAGATCTTTCAAAGCCGTTCGATGGTCTTCCTAAAGGTGGGCTTGCTGCGTTGTTGTTTGGTAACAAACGCAAATTTGCGCAGATTGAAGACAACGAGGAGAACTCTGTTGAAAAACGAGTTGCGGCTGCTAGCCACAACGGATCCATTCCCATTCTCGCCAATGGGCCTGATGGGCTTGTCCCAGCAACTCCAGCGCCGGATAGCTTACAACAAACCCCCGAATTTATTCGTCCTGCCGTGGTTAATCCCGTGATGTCCGTAAGTCAACTAAGACTTGCAGTGCCCAAGGTCAGAAGCCATATCCTCCAAGGCAACGATAGTTTCGGGAATCCCACCGAGATAACTGCAGGGGCTGGGGCTTCGCACCAATCTAAAGCGGACACTATCTTCGAGGCCCGCAATCCTTCCAGTGCGAGTTTGACAGGTCGAATGGCTGATCGCGAACCTGCCAGGATAAGCCTCACGCGCGGTGATCAGCCTCTCTGGCAAGATTTCTTGCCCAAAGCCGTCCTCCTTGTCACCGGGAACAAAAAATTCTGGGCTGCTGCCACAGAGGACGGGTCAGTTTATATTTGGACCCCGGCAGGGCGTCGCCTCGTCAATGCCCTTGTCCTAGAAGCGCAGCCTGTAATCCTTGAATGTAAGGAGTCCTGGCTGCTTTGCATAACTGCGGTGGGCATATGTTACGTCTGGAATGTTTCAACTCTCGCCTCCCCTCACCCGCCCGTATCGCTTGCCTCTGTGCTCGACGCAGCGCTCCACACTATGACACCCCACCCTACCACGGCACCTTCTATCATTGCCGCTCGAATCAGCTCTCAAGGCCGAGTAATTGTTGCTTTATCTAATGGGGATGGGTATAGTTACAATCCTTCGTTATATACCTGGCAGCGACTGTCTGAGCCGTGGTTCGCTGTAGCTAGTCAGTATTGGAACACCACTGATTCCTCAGTCGGTGATTTGCAGCTGGCATCCGACCAGACTGGGCAAAATTCGAAAGTTCCCGTGTCTGCTGGAATTATTCCGTTCCTGGAGAGGAACACTACACATGAAATCCTTACGCGTGGGCGTGGATATTTCTTACAGCGACTAATCAAGATTTTGCTTTCGAAGGAAGGGTTTGAGAGCTTTGAAGCGGGTGCGTCCATTGCACATCTGGAGAACCGTGTTGCCGCTGCACTTTCCTTGGGGGCAAAGGAGGAATTTCGCTTGTATCTCTCGATGTACGCAAAGCGCCTCGGGGCTGAAGGCCTGAAGCTGAAAACGGAAGAACTGTTGGAAGGCCTCCTTGGCGGTATTTTCTCAGACTGTGAAAAGGAGAAGCCCGAAGGCTCAAATGAAGGGCCATGGGAAAGTGAATCGGACAATCTCTGTGGTTGGCCACGGCGTGAATTGCTGAAAGAAGTGGTGCTAGCTCTCGGTCCGTTTGCCCTCATGACCCCTCCGTTGTTGAAGCCAGCTGGTTATACTGACTCGTGAACAGGAAAGCACCGAGACTTGCAGCGCATTACGGTTCCATATGCTCAACTGCTAGGGATCCTCGACGAGGGCCAGTCCGAGGCAGATCCGATGGTGATTTCGTAGTCCTTGGTATTGTTTCGCAAACGGGTTTGGCGCTGGTGGGTTGATTCGGTCCGGTGCCTTTCAGGGGATCGAGGTGGGCATCGTGGAGTTTATATCATTTACAGGAGGCTATCTTGTTATGTAGTATTATATCTCTTGCGAACTGTCAGTTTTCTTTTGGACATCGAAGTACAACTTGCCAAGAATCAGGGGCCGGTGGGCGTCACGTGCACCAGTGTTTTTCAGCCAGAAAATTTCATCCGCAAAAATCAAAATCATCAACGACGCTCGCCAGCTGCCCCTCTTCCTCTTCTTCTTCCTCTTCTCCCTCTTCTCTCCTCCACTCTACTCTGCTCCGATATTCCTTCGCTCAGCCCTACTGGGTGCTCTTCGCCGTGTCTTCCTTCACGGTGCCTCGCTTATCTTTCTCTTCTTTTTATTTTGCATTTTCACACATCGCAGCTGGTCCTGCCGTTTCACTCAGGGGCTGCCGCTCCCAAGACTCCACGCATCACCCGTCTCCGCTGCACTGTATAACTCTTCGCACTTACGCCAGTAGGGAAAAAGAAAAATGCCCTCCATAAGCAGCCCGTCAAGGGATGAGAGGGTGCTTCTGGGGCCGTTCCTGGAAACAACTTAAAAAGCCGGATCGTACGTTGCGGGACTCAATCGCATTGTTCTGTTCTTGGAACCTGTTCGTCCTTCTTTCTTGGGTTTCTCGTCTTCTCACACTATGCTCAGCTGTGTGCTAATAATCGATTTTCATCCAGGTTGGCTTAGCAAATGTCGGTAAATCGACGCTTTTCCAGGCCATCACTAAATGCTCGCTGGGTAATCCTGCAAACTTTCCATATGCAACAATCGACCCCGAGGAGGCTCGTGTCATTGTCCCAGATGCACGTTACGACTGGCTTTGTGAACATTACAAACCCAAGTCGCAAGTACCTGCCAACTTGACGGTGTATGACATTGCTGGCTTAACGCGTGGTGCTTCCACTGGTGCTGGCCTTGGCAACGCCTTCTTGTCACATATCCGAGCTGTTGACGCTATCTTCCAAGTGGTTCGATGCTTTGACGATGCTGAAATTATCCATGTTGAGGGGGATGTGGATCCTGTGCGAGACTTGGAGATCATCAGCGAGGAATTACGGATCAAAGATATCGAATTCGTTGAAAAAGCTTTAGAGGCATTAGCCAAGCAGACTAGACGAGGCGGTCAAAGTCTGGAAATGAAGAAGCTAAAAGAAGAGGAAGCCACTGTCGCTAAGATCTTAGAATTCCTGAAAGACGGAAAGGATATAAGAAAGGGTGACTGGTCCCCCAAGGAGGTAAGTCACGCTAGACTGTTTTCTATTTTCTATTCTTGTCCACATGGCTACTATGATGAACAAGGGCTATACGCCCGATATAATCCCAGCTCGTCGAATGTCCTCGTTTATAATCTCACGTTGAGGACATCTTGAGATGAAATCCAACCCTGACACTAGCCCGCTTCACAATCATTCTCACCTGAACTTTAGGTATCGGGCTTGTTCACTGACATGTGTGACCGCAGGTCGAGGTTATCAACCCTCTGTTCCTTCTGACGGCCAAACCCGTTGTTTACCTGATCAACCTTAGCGAAAAAGACTACATTCGACAAAAGAACAAATATATCCCAAAAGTCGCTGAGTGGATTAAGAAAAACTCTGATGGAGATCCAATTATCCCATTGTCTGTGGCATTTGAGGACCGCCTAACACGTTTCGAAGACGATGCAGCCGCCGAGGAAGAATGCAAGAAGCTTGGCACCAAATCAGCTTTGCCCAAAGTGATTGTGACTATGCGTCAAGTTCTAAACCTCGGTAGCTTTTTCACAACAGGAGCCGATGAAGTACGGCAATGGACGATTCGGAAGGGAACAAAGGCCCCGCAAGCCGCTGGCGTTATTCACACAGGTTTGTTCCCTTCTCCTTGATTTGCGTGTGGTTTAGCGCTGATGTCATGCGTAGATTTCGAGAAAACTTTTATTCAATGCATCGTCTTCAACTACGATGTATTAAAAGAATATGGCGATGAAGCGGCAGTCAAATCTGCGGGCAAGATTCTCACCAAGGGCAAAGATTATGTTATTGAGGATGGAGACATCATTCTGATCAAGGCCGGAGCAGCCAAAGGTTAATAGTTGGAAAACATAATCTATAGATACCTTTTTCATCATAGGAATATTGCAATCACGAATTAAACGTTAATATGACTGATGATTGATGATGCCCTGCACCCGCGATTTCTGTGTAGCTCAACCTGTGTCGAGATTCCATATCACGTGGATGCGAAGCCCTAATCGGGATAGCAGCGTCCCCGCAGGCTCTCGTGGTGACGGCGTCGAGTCTGCCCATTGTAGGAATTCTCCCCTTGGCCATTTCTAAATTTTCACTCATTGGCGATCTATGATATGCTGATAACCCCCGATTCATAACGACCATGTTCAAAAAAGAGTCAGTATTTCGCCCCTGCATCCAAGAACAGCTTCCACCTCTACCCCGCTATGGTCTCATAGCTGCGAACGGACCAAGGCCAGAGAGCTACTTAGCACTCTATACAGATTTGGATATGATTTTCACATGCATATTCTATTCAAAACGCCATGTAAAGCTCTGGAGCGTTGTGCTGACCCTCCTGCTCCTCTTCCATAGTCTATCCGCCGGCGCGCGCTCAAAAGTCAAGTCCTCCGTGCAGCGATCCCTACGGAGTAAATTCCTCGAGACGTACCCTGGCTTCGAACCATATATTGAGGAGGTAATGCCAAAGAAATCAGCCTTGGAGGCTGTGAAACTGTACGCTCCCTTGTTTTTTTTTTTCAACGCTTATTACCTTGGGGAAAAAAAAAGGAGCGTTTGTTAAGCCACTCAAACAGCCCCGACCGTGTCACCCTCTACCTCAGCGACTCGAACCCCATCTTCTTCCAGTCTCTCGATAGCCCGTTAATCCCGCACCTCCGTGTCCTCCACGCATTTCCCGATGCGATACCGACCCTTGGGATAGACAGAGGCGCAATCCGCTTTGTTCTCTCCGGTGCGACGCTCATGGCTCCCGGCCTCACATCTGCCGGGGGAAGATTACCAGATCCGGCTAGTAACCCTGACGAGAAAGAATTGGAGGCGGGCCAGGTCGTTGCGATAACGGCAGAGGGGAAACAGGAGATTTGTATGGTTGGTGAGCTGAAAATGGGGACCAAGGAAATGAAAGAGAAAGGCAAGGGAATAGTCATAGACGAAGGTCACTTCTTAGGCGACGGCCTATGGAAGTTGCATTTTGATTGAGGCTCCGAATTCTCGTTTTGCTTTACACCACAGTAGTTATATCGGTTTCGGCGTATGGAGTTTGCTCAGCATCGACGGATCCTGTTTACACCCTTTATGCCAACGTGGATTTGCAATCTGTTATTGATGAAGAATGTTTGCGAAATAGTCGAAGCCTTCTTTAACAACCCGGCCTGAAATAAGGACAGTTCAAGGAAACCGTAGCGCAAAATTATATCATTGACTGCTGATACTTGGGCATTCGCTACACTTCGCTGATTTGAGTTCACTAAAATTATTTATTATTCCTCTGCATCAGGTCAAGCGACTTATTCATGGATTCTCGGTCGAAAATGTCCACTTTAGGCTTTCGACGTGAATAAAGCAGTGCGCCAACAATTCTAAACTTTTATGGACTGGAACCGCTCCCACTTGGTGATGATGATTCTGACCCTGAAGAGGGCGAGCCGAGACGTAAACTTTTGAGTTCCTTGTTGGGTACGCCATCACCGTTCAGTGAGGGCGGCGAGAGCTGTTCTCCCCGTAACCCAACCCGGACAACAGCACGGCTGAGCATGTTGCCTGAGCTATCCAATGCCATAAGGAAACGAGCGATTTCGCCGCAGAGCTCCCATTCTCCTTTTTGACATGCTAACCGCAGCAGTCGAATTGCCGACTCTTCGATTTTCTCATCGTTATTCTCGTCGTCAGGATTGTCAAGCGCTTGCAACACAAGCAGATAACCTCCAGCAGTTTTGAGGGAGTTAAATTTCAATGCTTGTTCAAAGAGTTCGCTTGGCGGAGGGAGATGCGCGAATAGTGTCTGCCATGATCGTAATTCCGTCTTGCGAATGCATTGGACGAGAATATCTAGGTATAGCTCGAGTGGATTTCCAGCTTGCAGAAACGATAGAACGGAGGGAAGCAAGTGGCGCTCATCTGACCGGCTGTTGCCTCCATGGTGCGGATTATCGACCTCCTCATCCAGTACGTGATGAAGAAGTATCTCTAATGCGTGGGGAAAATAAGATAGGTGCGAGAAATGGTGGCAGATGGAAAATGCTGAAGGGGTATCAAATTGACTCAGATTATATTGAAGTATATATGGTAGAAATAGGTGGCTCTGGTATCGCATTAGCTAGGGGTTCATGATGGGAGAGGGGCTGTCAGCTTACCCGAATCGCAAACCGGTGTAATGTAAACGTAACATCTCGCCGTTGGGTGACCTCCGGCTCTATCCCGAGAATAATACCCTTATTGAGAATTATTGACAGTGGATAGAAATCGACAGGAATGGGAGTTGGTTTCGAGATATCGTTAGATAGCGTTTTTGGCCGAATAACATCTTGTACGTCAGTCCAAACGAGCAAATCCTTGCCACCAAATGCCCAGAGTGAATCGCGAAGAGATATATCAGATTGGACATTATTCAGGGCGGCTACGACTGATGGGCTTGGGGGTAACGATTCATCTCCCAGTGGCCCAAAATTGAAAGAAAGTTGATCACGCATCAAGTTGTAATACTCGACATCATGTGCCACGATGCGCATATCATATTTCAAGTCTCCCGATTCAGAGACCGATGGTTGTAACAAAACGAGTTTGCCATCGACAAGAAAGAGAACTGAAGCTACTGCGACGTCTTGCGACGGATCTCCGTTGCCTACTTAATTAGTGTTTTTTTTTTTTTTTTTTTCAGAAAAGAATGTCAAAGCATAGGACTCACGAAGTTGATCCTCAGGCAAAATCCAACTAATAGCACGAACGCGAGTAGGCGCCCGGACAATTCCATGAAAGGCTATTTGTCCAACCTGAACAAGGCTTAGCCTTGTTCCTGTCGTATTTATCACGTAGTGGTAAAGAATGTTCTCATAAGTGTAAACTAGCAACGAATCTTCGCCAGAGGGCCCAATAAACACTGCCGGTGACGGCAAGGCTTCGGTATACAGAACAGAAGAGCCATTGAGCGCTAACTCGCGGGAGTACATCCGTAGCTATAAAGCAGTAAGTATTGGGTATAAGCTAGTCGAAGAGTATAGAGAGTACCTCGTAAGCAGCGTTGCATTCAACCGCAAGAATCAAAATGTGGCCATACCAGCACATACCGCCCTGTACAGCAAAAGAATCCTCTTGCCGTTGATCGTCGAAGGTCTTCCACCTATTGCTATAGACACTGTAGTGGGCGAGTCCCCTCCTCCCGGCGATAGCCACATATCTTCCATCTTGAGAAACACAACATGATCTGATCGGCCACTGAGAATGAAGGTAACGCGGCGGGTACTGGGCATGGTGCCACAATGAATCTTTCCCCGATATAGTTGTCAAGTCGGGCAAGTCGTGCCCGCGATATAGAATTATCTCTGTACCAGTTTGTAGCAGACCACGGGCTAGGTTTGCTGATGAGAAACATCCTGTTAAAGCACTCTTGGCGAATTCCAGGAGCCACAACCGTCTATCGTTTTGGGAGGTTAGGAGAATGTCGGATCCATAACCTATCCAAGAACCCATGGAAACGCCGGTCAGCCACGCTTCATCATTCCTTAGAGCCAACGACGAATCGGCTGTAAAACTGTTTCCCCCGGTTTTCCCAAATACACTCCATGTGGCCCAACCATGCGTGTATCCCGCAAATAAACAGTAGCCATCAGGCGAATAGCTCATAAATGATAGAGTACCCATAGACGCTGAGGATGCAGGGAGATCAAGTTTATGGGATAGCGGGATGTTTCCCACGTAATCTCTGGCTGAATAGATAACAATGTCACCATTAACACAACTAACAGCAAGGAGCGAGAACCTCGCGTTTACAGCGACTTGTGCGGCTTTATGGCCGTTGTCCTCTGGTACATGAAACCTATGGCCTTTAAAATTCGATCGGGGTGGGCCACCGTGTTGAGATTCTTCAACGCTATGTTGGACAGCATAAGCTTCTCCATCGCCGGTAATCCACAATAGCAGGTTCATGGCGCGGTCATATACCATGTCAACCACAGCGGCCTTCTTAGAAAGCCAAGGAATTCGATGCAGCAATTCAGTCGTAGTCTGATGCCCGTTTCTGTCAGGGGTCCACCTGATAGACTGGATTGCCGCCGGTTTAACAGTGGCAACCATCAATTCATTGTCAAGAGCCAGTGCTTTACTTATTCCGGCATCTACTTTGATGACTACCCTGAATCGTATGCTGGCTTCTCGAATGGAGTTGGAATCGTCCGCAACGAACTGTCGATGGCGTCTTGGCTGGGTATGCCTAAAACGATGCTGATACACGTGAGAGTTGGAGGCCACCGCGATAGAATAAGTAATGAGGTACCCGTGGAGTGTTTGGACAACCACGATTGCAGCATCCGGCCGCAGCAGAAGGGCCACGTTAGGGCCGTAATTTCTTAAAGAGAGCGACGATCGCTTTACTGCTGCAATAACTGCTGTGGGCTGCGGATCAGTCAACATTGGGAAAATAGAAAAGTGACTGGGTAACTTACTTTGGTTTGCCAAATCGCAAGAGAGGACTGGGTCATTGTTGCAAAGAGCAGGCCGCTTTTCGAGGCGCAGAGCCCTGTTATGGGTTCATTCGCCCATTTGCGGTGTCCCGAATCGAAATGCTGCGCCGTCTTGTCCCCAGCCGGGGATTCTTCTTCCACCGCACTGCCATCTAGCTTCTCATCTTGCACTGCGACGCCGTCATCGACCTCGGACAATTCAATGCCCGGGCCATTGACGGCATAGATTCGAGGTACTCCATTTGGCCAGTACATTGCTGGACGTGGTTATAAACGAGGCCGAATACCAATCACATTGGACCATCTTTGGGAACAGGCAGCATTCTCCCAACCGAGCTTCGAGAGTCCACAAGATGCCAATGCTCGCCGTTTGTTCACGACAGGTTGGCGAGAGCAGTTGAGGTGAGGTTCGTCTTCCGCGGTGCTGTGTCATGTGATCCGCGTCATTGCTGGGCAGAATGCGAAGTGGACTGCAGCGAGGTTGAACAGCATGAACTTCGCCTCGTCTCTGCTTTATGTTGGATCTCTCTCTTTCGCTCAAGTGGTATATCAATTGCGGTTCTGTGTCGAGACTAGTCGCTCCTCGGAAAAATGGTATTCGCCTCTTCCCTAGTTATCATTGCGCTGTTAACAGCTACCCCGCGCTCAAACATTTGCTGACAGTGATATTAGGCTATCTCGGAGTCAAAGAAGAAGCTGGCTCTGGCAGTTATAGATTATCTCGCCACAAGTGCCAAAGATGGAACTCTCTCGTCCGAGGATGCTGAGTCCATGGAGATTGCGCAGTCTTGCATTGCTGATGCATTCAACGTTGACCCCTCAGACAAGGCCGCGATGCAAGATGCTTTAGGAGGGCAGTCCTTGTTGAGCATTTACACAGTATATGAGAAACTAAAGGGCAGGGGTGCTCCGGCCGTACCTGGGAAGAGCACTGAAGGTGAATCAAAGCCGGCTGCTTCACCAAAGCCGGCGGACAAACCCATCCCCGGTGGTCCAACCGAGGAATCAGATAAATTAAAGTCCGAAGGAAACGCAGCCATGGGCCGTAAAGACTATACTGCAGCCATCTCTCACTACACCAAAGCTTTGGAAATCGCTCCTGCAAATCCAATTTATCTCTCGAACCGCGCTGCCGCCTTTTCAGCTTCCGGAAATCACACCAAGGCTGTAGAAGACGCCGAGGTCGCCGTAGCCGCTGATCCAAAATATGTCAAGGCCTGGAGCAGATTAGGTCTTGCAAGATTTGCGCTTGGGGATGCCAAGGGCGCTGCTGAAGCCTACCAGAATGGCATTGAAGCCGAGGGTAATGGTGGGAGTGAAGCCATGAGAAAGGGCTTGGAGACAGCGAAGAAACGCATTGAAGAAATGGAGCAAAAAGGCAACGAACCACCCGCGGAAGAAGTCGACGATGCGTCTGGCGCTACACGAGGAGCCGGTGGCATGCCGGACCTGTCGTCCCTTGCCGGCATGCTGGGAGGCGGTGGCAGAGGAGGTGGTGGCATGCCTGACCTTAGCTCTATAATGAGCAACCCTATGTTCGCGAACATGGCCCAAAACATTATGAGCAGTCCTGATATGTTAAACAACCTCATGAGCAACCCACGACTAAGACAGATGGCTGAGAATTTTGGCGGTGGCCAGGGTGGGCTTCCGGATATGTCGAGTTTGATGAACGATCCAAACCTCGCTGAAATGTGAGTATCTCGCCGTTCGCCGTCTAAATTTTTTGAGAGCTTCCATTGACTAAATTTACGCCACAGGGCCCGTAACTTAATGGGGGGTGGAAGAGGCGCTGGACGAGGGCAGGAATGAATCTATTGATATTGCCGTTTGTCGATCTCCATACGTAGGACGTCCCTCCAAAGACGTAAATATTAATTGCACACTTCCATCGAAGGTGAAGTAGTTCAAGCGCTGTATTTTAATTCTTTTTTTGCATTTGGCGAGGTAGCTGTACCATGCGCAACTCAAGAGATACTGCTTCGATAATGGTGGCCCTGATTACAAAAAAACTGATATTTTGAATGTTTCTGAGAGAACTTGAGGCTTTCGGGCCTCATCGTCAATCTCAATTGCACGCTTTGACGGCTGCTTGTATTTACAGCGAGTATAAATGGGAAGAGGGGAGGATGCATTGCATACAATGCCAAAATCGAGGAATAAAATCGCAAATAGATGCGAAACACAGGCGCCCAGACATAAAAAAAAAAGCATTTCCCGCCAGATCGTGATCTATATAGACTCCGGATAGTGTACAGTGACGAAATAGCTCCAAAAACCAGGGCTATGCAGGACGTAACAAGGGAACTACTAAAACAAGCAAGGCTGGGGACCAGCCATGCAAGAAGGGGCAGAAGGAAAGAGGACGCGAGCACGACGGACAACATTCGCTATTTGTTTTAAAAATCGGGACGAAAGGCGATTTTGATTATTATATGTAGTCTCGGCCAGATTTCTGAAGTTCAATCATTCTCCAGCCTCTGGTTTCCGGGTTGTTAACGTCCTCTGGAATCCGTGTGACGCCGATGGCATAGGTCACTAATTGCACTTTGTCTTCCATGCCGGCAGCGAGCTCGTTCGTTTTGGCGTTTCGGTAAACATGTACTTCCTGGGTTCGACAGGTGACAATGAAGACGGGAATGTCCCCAGGCTCTAGCATGCGCGCATGGGAGATATCAACGTGGCGAATATCAAGGATTCGTCCATCTGATTTTAGACCAGCCGTGGTATATTGTTTCGCAAGGGCTGCATACACGTGAAACTGGGCATCGGAGAGCCAAAGTTTGAGTGTTTCAGTGTCCCCCTTTACATATGCATCCAGTACTTCGGGAAGGATATATTCTCTCATCTCACGTAAAAATGGTTCAATCTGGAAGTTTGGATCCATTTGGCGGAATCTCTTAATGACCATTGCCGTTTCGTTTTCAGCGAAGAAACCAGCCACTCGATCAGATATACCGCGCGCAGTCGAAATCAACGGATTTTCGGATTCATTGTAGGTGTTTTTGAGGTTGAAATATTTTTGCATAATGCGACTGGAGTCCCTAAATTCACGCCAAGATTCCTTCCAGGCGGCATCTTTGTGGAGGGTAACATTGGTACCGGCGCTGGCGAATGGTTAGTATTTGACGATCCCATTATTGACATGCCAAAGTAACTTACTTGGGGTCTTCTTCCATGGCTTCCACTTTATGCATTTTGCCCCTTTTAAGATCATTCAACTCTCTCAGCTCTCTCTGCCTTCGCCGTTCTTCTTTTTCAATCCAGCCTCCGTATCGAGAGCTGCTACCGTCGTCTATGACCTCTTTCATTTCCTTGTAGGCCTTGGTATCCCGAACCGGTCTGGTAACCTTTTCGATACCTTGGCCAGTAACTGAAACTCCCTTCCTGAGCCCCTTGACCACCGACGTGTCCCAGGTCCACGCTGCGCCTTGCCCAATCGCCTTTCCTGTCTGTTTCAAAGCAGATGAAGTTTTAGACGAAGCAGCGTCTGAGGCGGCTTGGTATGCAGCGCGGGCCTTTCTGACGGATTCATTTTCAGTAAACTGGTTTGCTGAAGAAGCGAGAGCCTTTGTCGATTCATTCCATTCTTTTGAGGCTTTGAACTCTGATCTTAATGTCTCTGTGAATACCTGCCAAGGGGTTTTGTCGCCATGAGGAGGCGGTGGAGGTGGAGCCTCCTTCTCCTTCTTTTCTCCCTTGTCACCTTTCTCGTCATCGTTCTTCTGCTCGTTCTGTTTCGATTCCTCACTCGATGATTCCTCTGCCTTTGAGCTTTGTTCCGATTTCTGTTGCTGCTGCCAGTAGGCACTCGTCGTCCGAAAACCTCTCTTAGCAGGATGTAGAAACGGTAATAAATTGGTTTGATAATGAGTGGCGTGAGAGATTACGGGGATCAAAGCTCTGTGTGAGAGGCGGCCATCGGGGGAGGGGCGTTCGAAGCAGGCGGGGCTCAAGAGTCGCGACCGGGTTAAGGACCGTCGAAGCATTAGAGGCCCCGTGGACGCAATCCTCGAAGGGAGGGAATGGCCTGAATGGAAAACTGCTCGGCCAGTGCCCGGCGACGATAGTTTTCGTGCGACAATCATCCTCTGTTGCGACGCGAGTACACGGGATATTCAGAGAGAAGTTGGCGGATAGATGAAATGCAAAGCAACAGGAACGTAGTCAAATAACGAGCTGCAACAAGGCAGGAATAATGTTCGCAGGCGGCCTCAACAGCCGGGGATCGTGGTGAAGACGGAAAAAAGACGATCTGATGGAATCAACAGTTTTGACTTTTTTTGCCGCGAGTGCCAAGACTCGGCCGGCGAGAAACAAAAAATATCGACGTCGAGGACACTGGCGCTGGACGACGGCGCTTTTTTCAGCAAGCAGGGTTGTGTATCTGCTTAATCGGTTTCATTGTCTTCTTCTCTCCGCTCCAGCCCGGGTTCCTGGCCCTTCAAGACCTTTCCGGCTGTCAATTGAAATCCCCCGCGTTGGCGTGCTCTCAGCTCCAGCTTCGACTGTCGTGAAGCAGAACTCGGTCCGTTGCCTGACACGATGAACAGCGTGGTGGTCAAGAGGCTTGCAATTGCCTTGAAAAGACCATTCGCTCCGCAACAAACCCCGACTTTCTCGTCGATATTCAGACCCTTTTCCTCCACAGCCCCTTCAAGGGACATCGGCACACCTAGTGGTGGTGCGCCTTCAACAAGCCCTTCAGAGTTGGGCAAACTATCCGAAGACACGGCCGCGAGCTCGAATGGCTATACCACAGAAGAAATTGGAGCCAGAATTGCCGAGACGCTGGCAAACCCGTACCGCATGACTCCTCCTTACCACCTTCACGTTTACGCCCACAAGCACAACACACATCTGACATTGACGCGGCCAAATCGTGACCCGATGATGTCCATAAGCTGCGGCTCGATTGGATTTCGCAAATCTCACCGAAGCGGCTTCGATCCAGCACATCAGCTGTCGTCATACATGATGGCGAAGATTCAAGAACGTGGATTCCTGATGGATATCAAACAGCTGGAAGTCGTCATGAGAGGGTTTGGGCCAGGCCGCGAGGCATTTACAAAAGTCCTCCTGGGCCCCGAGGGCAAGAAGATACGAGACAAGGTAGTGCGGGTGACGGATGCAACGAGATTGAAATTTGGCGGAACAAGAAGCCCGACGGTGCGGAGATTGGGCTAAATCAATATACTCTGCTCTTATCTCATTTTCTGCGCTGACAGAGTTAACTATTTTCTACTTGGGAGTGAAGCTAGAAGATCCGGCCAGCTGCCCCATCCTGTTGGTGCATGTTTGTATATTAGACTCAAATCCTAGAACAATGCAAATCACATTCCAGAACTATGGAGTACCACCGCATGGGCTTTGTCCAGGCTGCAGTGTGTTCGGTCCCATCTCTTGATCACTGGCAGCTCACTGTGTTGACTGCAATCCCATATCACGTGCATATCTTATCGATAACCGCAAATAATCCGACTGCCTGAACAGCTTCAGGTTGGACTGAGAAGCACAACAACACTTTGTCTCTCTCTCTCAAGCCAGCAAGCTATTTGCCCTAGATTCCATCAGGTTCATTTGCACCAGGCAGCTTAGACACTCAGTCCGCTCGATCCTATACACTTCTACCGCGAGCATATTGTTCTGTTGTTCGGCGACTGAAATCCCTCCTGAACTCCAAAAATTCACCTGCGAGCAAACCAGACATTGGGCATATTGCTTTGACAGATCCCGCCAAAGCTCCTCGAACGGCGGGGCAAGTCCGCCGGGCCTTCCAATGTCGTTTGGATGCCCCCTCTAAATCCCTTTCTCCGCGCTTTCTTCCGCAGCGTGCTCCCAACGCAATGCGCTCCGCCTCAAAATCACGTTCGTTGGTCCATTTTCAAGCTGCTTGTCTATATATGTAGCTGCTTTACTAAACCTTAGCCTAGATCTTGCTTGTTCCTACCACCGAGTCGCTCATCAACGCTCGCGACCGAGACTCTAACACTCTTTACGTCGACCTCGTCCACTCGGAAGAATTCCTGGGGAGCCATGTCTTGCGGATACCGGTTTCGATTTCTGCCAAAGAGGCGTTGGCTAGCGCGCGAGAAAATAGGGGAAAAGCAAGGCAAATAACAACTGCCAATGGACGCACAGTCGCTATTCGAGAATCGACTGTGTATAGCAACAAAGGTATGGCAAACCGCACGCGACGTAATAACTCTTGTGGAGGGAAAATGGAAATTAATAAGGCTTTTAGGGTTTAAGAATTTGAATCAAGCAACGCTCCTCTCCGATATCCTCTACTACTCTGCCGGTAGCGAGTCGCAGCCATGGCTAATATATTACATCTCAAAACCTCTCCTCGGCTCTTACGACCCAAGCGGTATTGTTCAAGCGGTTGTGCCTGGAATCCCTACAAATGCACTGGGACTTTCGGGCCTTTCTGGGAAACAAAACAATGACGGCCCTGACTTTGCACGAAAAGAACTACAGTCATTTGGGGAGCTGCTCGCAAACTTCCCTATGATTGCACGACAAATGCAACCAGGACTGGAACGTCTTTTCCGTGAGTTTGGAAAGGAGCTTGGAAAACCGCTACCACCTCCTCCATCGCGCTCCTCGTCCACAAAGTCGGAAAACGGGGCTGCCGGCTTTGACGAAACCGCATCCACTCGGAGTAACTCCCCATCGAATCACAAGGCGCTCCCATTCAACTCGTCTGAATACTTTGAAGACGACGAGGATTTGATGAGACGTTCGTTAGAAACAGCGGTAACAGCAGCCATTGACCTTTTCCGTCTAGTAGATAGGCAACAGTTGTCTCTTCTCGGAGCCACGACCAACCTCACAGGTCCCATGGTAGAACGGCTGATCGAACGCTATGTAACCGAACAGGTTCACGAGTCTCTGCTCTTCCCCCGAATATGTGGGTGCCACAAAACGGAAGATGGTGAATTAGACATCCGGATGCGCCAAATGGAGAGTATCGACGTATCTCAGGTGGGAATTCCTATCGAATGTGGCCGAAAAGGAAAAGACGAACTCATTCGCCGTCTTGGGAGAGGTGTTGACGAGTTTCGGACAATGGTTGATGCTAAATGTCCACAAGAGATGCTCAGGATTCTGCTCGCCACTATCAAAGCGGTTACCTTGGAGTATAAATCCGATTCACAAGGCAGAGACGTGTCTGAGAAAGAACCGTCAGTTCTAACCATAAACGCTGATGTTCTGGTCTCGTTGCTACTTGTGGTGATTGTCAGAGCGCAAGTACGTCAACTCCAGGCTAGGCTTTCGTATATGCAGCATTTTATCTACATGGAAGATGTTGAAAGCGGCGAATCCGGATATGCTATAAGCACGTTCGAGGCAGTTTTGACGTATATCCGCAAAGACTCTGGCGGCCTCAGAAAAGCTAGTGCGAAGAACCGTCGACTCTGGACAGCTACCAAGTCCGGTAGAATTGCTGAGATGAAGGCCATTTTGGAACCGGAAAAGGAGGATGCTACGCCTGCAGATATTTTATGCGACGGAGGGCAGGACAACTCAAGTCAGTCGTCTATCTCCAAGGAGGACGGCGAACAGGCCACATTGAAGGAGCCCAACATCAACGGCAGTATCTCTCCACACGTTACAATGGAGCCCATAGATATACCTCGCGTTCCCGAAACACCCCGTTTAGCGCATGTTTTCCCATTCCAGACCTGGGGGTCGAACTCCCCGCCAAAATCCCAAACTCGTCTTCCCAAACGGGTGTCCATGGACGTTGGAAGTGTGTCCGAATCGTCCAACTTTTCGTTTCTTTCCCGATCAACCACGTTTGGCTCGATATCAAGTTGCATGGAGGGTGACATATCCCTTGGGGTCTTAACGAAGACACAAGATCCAGCGGGGGACTCAGTACCTATGATGGCTGTTGAAGGTTGCCAGCCTGAAGCTTTGGGATACCTACTAAGCTTGGAAGAATATTATCCTGTGGAAAGCATACTGGAAGATGTCAACAGCGACGGGACTACGCTATTGAGCGCTGCAGTGCAATTAGCACACTCCGAAATCGTGGAGCTTATCTTGGGTTTCATCTCTCAAGTTAGCGGACCTCAGGTTTTGACCGCTTACCTTGCCAAAGGAGATAATAGAGGAAGAACGGCGGCACATTATCTGTTCAGTGTCCCAACGCTGATGTCTCGAATCGGTTCTCTCCTGCCCTGGAGGCAAAAGGATAAACACGGTCAAACCCCTCTCTTTGCGCTGTGTAGATCCTACGATCATCCGGACTACAATACCATGTTGAATGAAGCGTTAACGATGGCTCAAGAGGCTCAGGGAGATGGAGAGCCTTTGCGTCTAGATGACCATGTAGACGTGAAGGGTAATACCCTCCTACACATCGTCAGCGACCCTCAAGTTCTTCATCGGATTCTGCGCGAATGCGACTGTGACCCTAATGCTACTAATGATAAACGCTTCACACCTCTGATGGTCGCGAGCAAGTACGGTCGTGTTGACCTGGTTAGGATCCTTTTTGCAGACCCTCGCGTAGATTCCAATCTTCGCGAATCCCGAGGGTTGACGGCGGTTGAGCTTGCAAAGGACGACGAAGTTCGCAACAGGATAGACGATCTTATTCTATTTTCCAACCCGCCCTCATCCCCCTTCGACTCTTCTGGCCGCATCACTGCAGTTGTTCGATCAGTATTTGTCGAAGATGCCAGTATCCGTTTCATTATCAAATCTGGTGCTCCTAATCCGCCATCTCCCTCGGAGGAAGCGCACCCTAGAAAGATGATCAGTTTCACCGTAACTACTTGCCGTCGAGGTTTGGCCGATTTTGAAAATCTTATCAGCTCTTTGAAGATTGAGCATCCTGCCTCTTATGTTCCTGATGTTCCGCAATTCCGCTCGCCGTTACAGATATATTCAAAGCCTTCACGCGCGGTGCTTCATGAAATTCAGGAGCGATTAGACAAGCTTCTAAAAATTCTATTGGCGCATCCGACCTTTTCAACCCATGAGCTTCTCTGGGAATTTTTCCTGATGCCGGAGATACAAACTGAATCGATAAACGAGCGCTCACATCGAAAAGCAACGGCGCTTGCAGAGAGAATAGCGGACGATTACCAGCCTGTTACTGCTGAAGATATCCGCGATGTCGAACAAATCGTCGGCCATGCCCAGGAGGCCGTGCGTGCAGTCAGTAATAATACCAAGAGTATCATCCGACGTGGACACAGACTACATAATACAACCACCGACTTTGCAGAAGCTATTTCCATGTGCGCCTACGCCATTTCTTCTTTACAAGCACCTACAAATGCTCTTCCTCAGTCGCACGCGAACGCTATTCATCGTTTCGCCGCCTGCTATACCTCCTCATCCCTCGACTCCTCCGCGTTGACCCATTACCTGAGAGCCCTAACTTCTCTGCACACCGCGACGACCGCAATGCTCGGATCACTCTCCCGACCCGGGATGCTCATATCCAAACTCAACTCCGCCACACGCTCGCTATCTCGCTGCCACTCCACCCTCGCGTCCAACTCTCTTCCGCGGAAATTCAATTTTCCCGGTCTAGAAGAATCTCGCCAACGTTCGATCCGCGAACAAGAGCAGAAAATCGTCGAGCTGAACGCGGAAATTGAGCAAGTTGGGAAAGAGATTGCGTGGAACAAGGACGTGGTTGTGGGTGAGTTGGCTGGATGGACGGACTGGAGGGGGAGACTCGGGAAACGGGCGATTCGGGAGTTCGCTAGAACGTCATTGGTTCGAGAAAAGGAACGCGGAAAGAGGATGGAAAGATGTTTGAAGAGTCTGAGAAGCTGAGTTCCTTTGCGGTGTACTATCCAATTTTTTTTCCTTTTCAGCATACATGAGATGGGTGGGTGGCTTTTTTCCGTTTGTTCTGTTTTGTCCTCCTGTAACTTTATAGGAGGTTTTACCGGCATAGGATGGGTTAAGGGGCGGGGGTTGTTTTCCGGTCTTTTTTTTCCAGCTTTGGTTGGTGATCCGATGATGTGGAATTCTTTTACTTTGCTGCAGGCTGCGGAACTTGAGCTATTCGGGCGGGATTTGGGTGGCATGGATTTCGCATAAACTGGTTTCTCATGTGCATGGGCATTATCTGCCTGCCAAGCTAACATATCTTCCATTCCCAGACTGTATTGTGCCAACAAGCCAGGCTATATGCCCTGGGTTCCGTATTATTTCATTTCTGTCATAGAAATATCCCTAATCCACCTCAATCATCCTAAAAATATAGCAAATGGGCGCTAGATGAAAAGAAAAATGGTATCGTAACATAATGCCGAACCCGTTCAGGTCGGGATGCCCAAAAGAGCTGGTTGCACTGTAACTCCTACTCCAAAAAAGGACAATCTACTTTTCATTCATAGGTCATGTGCCTGGATATAAATGAACTCCATGAGCCTCAGGCCGTGGTACTTGCTGTGGTTGCGATGAACTGTATTGCGAAGGAAGGCGATAATCAGTTTGCATGATGTCATAGGATTGACCTGCCAAAGTAGAGTCGACAGGTGATAAACTGCTGACTGGAGAATATTGAGAAGCGCGGTGATTTGAATATTGATTAAGAGACGAAACACTGCTGCGTGAGACTCGACGGGCACCATAAGTGCTGCGAGTTGCCGAAGAGGGCCCGCTTGGCGGTGTTTCGGTAGATGGTGGCGTTGGCGGATTGTTGGAAGAGAATTCGCTGACAGGGGGTAACGCTGCAGGCAAAATTCCAGTTGAAGGCAGTGGTTTGCGCCCAATGGAGTGACTGCGACTTGCACTATAAATGTCGGAGGTAGTTGGCTGGGTCATAGATACTGGTTGTTGGGTTCGCAAACTCTCCGGGAGGGCGTTGTTTCTAGTAGTCGCCGAAGCGTTAAATGGTAAATTCGCGTCGTCATTTGTGGCCATCGAAGGATAAAAACGAGTATTTGTAGTATGCGCCATAACCGGCGTATGAGGTTGGAAATTGCCCTGGATTTCAGGGGACGAATATGGCGGAACTGGAGTATACGACATATCAGGATCCCAGGCGAACCCGCGAGAATGTTGTGCAGCGCCTTGATAGTCAGGTTCAATCTCTGGAGTTTCTGACTGCGAATCCCCATTATCAGACACTGATATTGCTAAATATTGCGACTTTCGGTTTGCTCGCTCGTCCTCCTTCTGTTGTTTATGATTTCGCCAACGCTTGTGGTACAGCAAAGCGAGAAAAGCGACAGCAATCACCACAAAACCTCCAAAGACCGACCCGGCGGCGATTCCTGCCTTGTTCATACCGTCACCTTTGGGAGCTGGCACGGCAGAGCCGGACGGAGAAGGCGTTGGGGTTGGGGTTGTGGTCGTTGCCATTGAAATGGTGGACCCGGGCTGCGAGACGACTGTGGGCTTTATTGTCGACGGCTCGACGAAGCCGTGGTGCGCGTTGCTGTCGAAAGAGAGGTTGGTGATGTTGATGTCACCGAAACAGTCGAGGAGTCTGAAACTGATGACTCTTTCGGCGTCGTGGTAGGCTCGGTTTCCGAAGTTGAATCGTCTCGAGTGGAAGAGGGGAGTTTAATCAACGAGCTGGTTAACTTATCAACTATCACAGGTGTTGGTTGGGGACCGCTGGCGGCTTTATATCATCTTCGTCGTCCCCGTCATCGTCGGGGTCGTCGTCTGGGGGGTCCTCGTCGGGCGGATCCTCGTCAGGGTCATCGTCGGAGGGTTTTTTCAATTCTTTTTGCCTGGTCCTTTGCCCTTTCCCATTTGCCCATCCTTTGCCCCCTCCTCGCACGGGTGGCCGAGGGCCTTTCCGCGGTCGACCTAGTTGCCTAACGTCGATGTTCTCATGCTCGTCTCGCTCAAGATTATGGGGCAACGCGGATATAGGTGCAGCAGTAATCGTTGGGATCTTATGGCGTAATTCATCAGTGCTCCAGGATTGCCTTCGCTCAAGAATGGGCGGAGTGTCATGACTAACACAATCCCCAAGAAATTTTTCCCTTTGACATGGAGCCGGAGAAGCGGGTGCCGGTTCCAATGCTGTCGCCCATGTTTGAAGTAGGAAAAGATTTGCCGACAGGAATAGCCTCATGGCGTTTTTCACGACGGAGACTGTGAGATAGTCGGTTTGGTATCGGGTTTGCGGAAGGCTGACAACAAGAGCACACGAGGCAACATTCAGTCGAAGCGGCTACACGCTCCTTATCAAGCACATTCCTGGGTCACTTCAAGGGGGGAAACAAAAACGGTCAATAAGCCGTAGTTTGGCAGGGTTTGATTTCTGAGGGACATGGACACGATTGTGGTCCGACGTTCACGAGAGAAGGCCCAACCAAAACGGGGGTTGGGAGGATGAAGAGATGGCGGAGAGAGGAGAGTCAGACTTACTCGAGGAGAACAAGTTAGAGAAATATATCTCCGTAATCCATTGAGATACGAGTGACGGTGTCTACTTTGTGTGCTGGGGCCTCTGTTCGGTGTCGTTTCAGAAGATGGCTTATCCCAACATAGCCTCAATTGCGCGAACTGCGAGATAAGGAGCCCAATCAAGCTCGACGGCCGACTTCAAACGGTCGTATCCCTGTCGCGTCGGTTAGGAACAGCAGCATGCAGATTCGGGGGGGAGGACAAGGCTGTTTGCCAAATCACAAGCTCCGCTCGCCGGATCCGCTGCAGGAAATGAAAAGGCCGAACATGACTAGGGATCGTCTGCTGCTCGCTCCCCTTCATGGGCGTCGGAAAGCTCGCGTCCCTGGGGTGTTGATCCGAAAACAGCGTCCAATGGCGGACTCCACAGGCGTCTGGGCCCTGCAACGAGGCTATGTTGCTTAATATAAACCAGGAGCTAATCACGAGTTTCCCGGCAACATCACAACCGAAAGTGCTGCTCAACTTTCACGGCAGCACCGTCAAGTCCCATCTCTGGCTTCGACAACAGCGATGAACTTGAAGCATGTCGTTTGCGAGTTTGGATGGATGGACGTTCGACCCAGCGTGACAAATACATACGGTAACATCGATGCTGCAGGGTAACGCCAAGCCACGCCCAGCCCCGTATTGATGACTGATACGGCTTCGGAATTACATGTAGCCGAAAGCGGCTTTTAGTCGGCCCGAGAATCACGTGAAGAGATACGCAGTGGTGTGCTATGTAATCAGCCCATCAAGCAATGACGTAACTAATGCCGTTGCGTCTCGGAGTCCCGGAGTAAATACACCGCATTGAGGACGGAGGATAGTCGCAAGGAGTGACGTTTTACCACAGCCAGAAGTGAAAGCGGCTTGATGGACAGACACAGTGATGCAAGGCCGCCCCCCCAGAGAGCCAAACACAATCAAGAGAATCTTGGTGCCTGGGCAGACGGCGAGCTTCAACAGGCATGGACTAGGATGGCAGGACCATGACAAGTAACTACTAAACAACAAGGAAATCCAGGCTCTTTCCATCCACCATCTCTTCTGTGACTTCATCTCCATCCGCGATATAAAACCTCATGTCCCTCTTCTCCCTTCCATCGCCCCACGTCCATACTCCAGAAGCAACCATTCCGCTCACCCACAAAGCCCCGTCTTTTCTCAAACTGCCCCGACACCTGTTTACTATTCGTACCCATCACGATCAACCCCGCAACATGCCCCTCGTCGTCCCGGAAATCAGCGAGAACGACCAGGCTGCCTGGGCCGCAAAGTTGTTGGGAAAGAAACTCACTGAGGATGTCACCAACGATGTTGTAAGCTATATAACCTTTCGCCCATCCTACCATCCCTCTTCCCATATGCCCGCATTCTAACCCTGTTCCCTAGTCTTTTGCAACAAAGGATCTTCCAGAGAAGCACCGCGTCATCAAACCCGGCTATGCCATGACCATGGATTTCGTTCCAGAGCGGTAAGTCTTCACCACGGAGTCTTGAACGCGCGTTACACCACGGCTGATTCTTCCATGCCGAAGATTGAACGTTTACGTCGACGACTCCGATAAAGTAGTCAAGGTCAAGCATGGTTGATTGTCACGATGCATGATAGTGCTAATTTGCTGTTATCTTACGATTCACTTGCAGGCTTACGCTGCAACCGCTAGTTATATACCTGTTGATGCATGGTTCAACTGTTTTAGCGTAGCTGAATATCAGATGAATCTAGATGTTTTATAATAGTTCCCATTCTGTACCGCCTCTCTGCATCTATGTTTTGCAGATTATCTTCCTACGCGGCAATCTGATGGGACGATACTGAGAGTACAGCCAGCCACATTCTTTAGAAAAGGCTCGTCCTATACCGAGCTTAGTAACGCCTCATTCCCTACCCTCTTGAACATCCTCTAGGGATAACAACTCCGATCGGTGAGTAAATCTTGAATTACTCCCTTCAAAAATCGTCCAACGGCTGGGAACAGTCTCCATGGTAGCGCAAAGGACCGCACTTCAGGCTAGCCAGCTTCATCAATGTTCCATATATACAGTCCATGCTCGATCCGGAGCCGTAAACTGCGGGTAAAAATAGAGGAGTGGCTCCATGATCAATCGTCATCAGAGCTATATGCGCCCAACCCAAGAGCTGAAGATACTGCCGCGGCAGGCTTTGTTCCAATCGGCGCTTTCAGTGAGGCTGCATTTTCCTGCGGCTCGATTAGCTTTGAAGCATCGTTGCCGCCACAGTGAGATCCTTCTTTGGCCTGCGGGTCTGACGCCGCGACGATCTTGACACCGGGGGCTGCCGTGGCCCTTTGACTGGCGGGGGGTAGGCTAGTGGTGGTAGACGACTTTCGGAGCTTCACCCCTTGAAGAGTATCATTCTCTTTAGCCCGTCTCCGTTTCTTATTCGAGATCACCCACTGCTCCTCTTCAGTGGCTAGCCCGCCACTCGGGTGATCTGGGCCGTTTTCCTCAAGAAATGCTTTCTTCTCTGCTTCTTCCCGTTGGCGATGAAATAATTCCAATTGCTCCATTGTTTCCTTCTGTACAGCAGCCTCTTTGGCGCGAGTTGACTCCAGCAACGAGTCTAGAAATTCAACTTCATCTTCATCGAGAGCTCGAAATTGGTTCTTCAGCCGGATTGATTCCTCAAACGCTTCTTGTTTTGCCGCTGAGATTCGCAACCAATGGGAAATACCATGTAGTTAGCCACAAAAGCCCCGGTTTTGCTTGTTTCTCTTTTGCTCGTACCTTTATTCTGCTGAAGAATATCGTAGAGACTCTTCCCCCCCTCCTGCGTCCCCTGTTGCTCTGCTCTACGTTTCCGCGATGCTTCAAGCTCTTGTTTCACCTTCTGCCATTCCCCATCATTCGCCGGAGTATACTCCGTTGTATCCCCTGAAACAAAGCCAGACGACATTGCTCTTTGCTGTCCCTTCAAGAAAGAACCAAAGGCAACGTTCGGGACTGCTGTTCATTCAACTCCATCAACCGTGTCGAAATCCAGCCAGCAGCTTATATAACACTCCGGGGACGGACAAATATTGACCCTAGTGCTGCGCCACAGCTGAGGTCATTTTGTCCCCCTCCGCCGCTCCGCCACCATCTTCAAGGCAACAATCGACTTTGAGCGCTTGATCGGATCTGATATTATTCGACACCGGACCAAGGCAGTTGCAGTTATGGCGCCGAACGGGTTCCAGCTGCTGCCAAAGGTCTGGCGAGCAGCCAGGTAATGTTTCTCTGAACCCCAACTCGTGTATCCGGGATCTAACCGTCTCACAGGTTTGCCTTCGAGAAGCATCCCGGACTGTTCGGGCACGACTGCCAGAGCCAGCCCAAGCCATTAATTCTCAACTCCAGCCCGTATACGCGCGCATACAACACCGGCAACCTATCAATCGCATCGCCGCAATTCGCCAAAACCAAAGTCGGCGCTTTTCTACATTTCACATTTCACGACGCTTCGCCACCGGATCGGTCAGGTCGTCCAAAATTGGCACTGCGGTAAACCGCTTGACGACGCGGGCTCCCTTTGCTTCAACACTCAGGCCAAATCTCACTGGCGGCGCATTTTGTCGGACCGCCGGTGGATATGCGGTTGGAGCCGGTCGCGTTGGCGGAGCGAGATATTTCTCAAACGGTCCTACTTGCCCAGCCCAGGTCGTACACAATGTATCCGCGGGAGTCCGGGCTTTCTGGCTTTCTGGACAAAGGGCCAGATTCGATGGTATCGATAAGAAAACGGGCTGCAAGAGATACAAGACGGTTACCGCCTTGCAGCAGGAGGCGGGGCGCAAAATGAATGCGGTCCCTCGTGTTGCTCCTGGCTCGTCTATAGATTTTAAACTGCCACCGGTTATAACTGCTTTTGGCTGTCTTGAGCAGACGCAAGCGTCTTCCGTCTCCCAAATCTATGAAGGGATCAATTTGAACACACCCACTTTGATGGACTTGCTCTCTGTGGATTTCGCGCGCGCTTTGAAGGAGTTTGCCGCCGTTCTCAACGATCTGAAGAAGCTTTCTACTTTGGGAGACCTTCCGGTTTCGCTACAAAGTCAGTCGACGATTCGTGTTCGTTTCCCTGGATGCGATGCAGAAACGGTTGAGCGCTTATGCGTCGAGGTTGGCGTTCAGCGTGGAATCATCCATCAGGATTCAGATTTCGAAGCACGAAACGGCACTGACATGGCGCTTCTTTTCCCGTTTGCTCCCAGCCACCAAGAGTCCGAGGCTGATCTTTTCTCCGTCTACGATCCACCCGTGGCAATGCCCGACAAGGTCGATTGGCGCCAAATGATGCTCTCTGATGCCACGCGGCCATCCACCAGTAGCAATTGCGGAGACTACCAGTATATATCCAGTATAGAGAAGAATCCCTGGACTCGGACGCACTCGGGATACTCGAGTATGGATATCAGCGACCTTGGAGACCGAGCGTTCTTCCCTGACGTGCTGGAAGCGGCCAGTCACAGCGCAGGATCTGATTTTGGCGGTTTTGAAGGGATTTACAAATTCCTTGAAGAGTGCGACCGGGCACGGCGGTAGCGGTCTCCTGATATACTTCAGTTTTACTACACCCTCTTTTGATCCCATTTTCTTATATCATCTCACGAATTGACATTTCCTGGCGAGTTTGGATACGTTAATGCAGAGTATATAGTTAGCCATTTCAGTTTAAATAGTTATTAAGCTCTCTACCCTTTAGTAGATATATATATATCCTCAATGCATCCTGTTCAATCTATAGATGTCCTCGACGTTGGTGGCGATTTGCAGGCTGTGCCCCGCGCTAGACTATCGGTTTGGCTCGAGATGATGCGCCAAGTATTCCGACTGGCGAGCAGTTCGTTTGGCAATCCGAACCACAATCCCTCACGGCACGCCTAGCGACCACCAGCGACGACGGGAATCGCGAAGCCCCTTCTCCCATACCTCCTGATAGGCTGCAACTTTGACCAAGACACAGAGACTGCACAGGCCTGAACCCCCCGGCTTCTCCGCCAGCCAGTGCTCCCACTTGAAAAGTGGCAGGGAGCCATGGAAGACTTCAATACAGAGTCAGATAGCGATTACACAAGTTTCTGGAGAGATTGGGTGAGTACGATTGATATCTTGATTTCCTAGGCGTCTTACAGGGGCGGTGCACGCGGTGGACTTGAAGCGGGAAAACTTCTACGCAGCGACGACACCGCTGGAATTGCCAATGGGACTGTGAAATGCCCCAATGTCACGTCTTGCACACAGGTTACTTGTGTTTTCTTTTGCTTTGAGACATACGGTGCTTTCCGGATGCGCTGGTCTTCTTTTAATTGGGCTAACCGATAGATTGACTGCGTCTAGTTCATATCTTCGCGGGGAAACGAATACTTTTGCGAAATCGACGAAGAATATCTCATCGACCGGTTCAACTTGACTGGATTGAACAGTGAAGTGGACTTTTACCAGTATGCTTTGGATCTAGTGACGGATGTGTTTGACCTGGACGCCGATGATGACACGAGGGAGCAAATTGAGAAATCTGCCCGGCATCTGTACGGCTTGGTGCATGCCCGGTATATCGTCACCACCCGTGGACTCGCTAAAATGGTACGCTGTTTCTCCCAGCACAAGCCGATGCCCATGCTAATCAGGAGCTCCAGCTTGAAAAATACAAAAGCGCCGACTTTGGCAAGTGTCCGCGCGTCATGTGTGAACAACATCCCCTCCTACCAATGGGCCTCACCGATGTCGCCGGTGTGAAGCCAGTCAAGCTCTACTGCGCCAAATGCGAAGACATATATAACCCCAAATCCGCCCGGCACGCCTCAATTGACGGTGCTTACTTTGGAACTTCTTTTCACAATATCCTCTTCCAGGTTTATCCGTGCTTAATACCGGAAAAGTCGCTCCGCCGATACGAACCCAAGGTCTTTGGATTTCGAGTCCACGCTAGTGCCGCGTTGGCGAGATGGCAGGATAGAAAAAGGGATGAGATTAAAGCAAGGTTAAGGAGAGTGGGAATGGAATGTCAGTATATCGAGGACAAGGAGGAGGAGGAAGAGGATGAAGAAGACGAGGACGATCTGGGGGATGAGGGGATGGCGCTGGATCCCCAAAGAGCGCAAACCGCAGCCGATAATGGCCGGATGGACGTTGGTGCGTAATCCAACAAGTACGATTGGGATTGTCGACATCTCACTTCATGGGGAGGAGCATTGGTCCAAATGGGCGTTGGTTGCAAGGTCAGTTTGGGAGTTTGTTTTTAATTTGTCCTGCACCTGTACTGGAAAAGTGTGTTGGAGTTTTGTCGAATGTCTTAATTCGATCTCGTACGCCCGGCGCTTACACGGTCTGTTTATATGATCTTCCATGTTTTGCAAAATGATAACCCATAAACACATAATGATCCTTTTTTCTTTTTCTCTTAGCATACTATTGAAGTTATTATTCCTTTCCGGTCCTTTACTTATTACTTGCCTCCCAAACCGGGCGTGTCAGCAATCCTAACCACGTACTTAAATGCACTTACTTTGCCCTCCTTCAAAGCAGTCAGCGCACTCTCCAGTCCCTCCAACCCTTTCTCCGTCAGCCGATATTGATGGCCCTTGAACCAACCCTCCGCTAATCCACGCCCAAAGAACCTGAAAAATACCATCCCGAACTCTTTATCCCCCACCGGACCTACCTTCTCCACGGGCTGATACTGATTTCCATCCTCGTGCACAGTAGCAACAAACGTCAGCTTTGGCTTGACATCAACAGGCATCTTGTCATACTGCTGCCACGGCAGAATAACCGCAATCTTCCCCTTTTGCGGATCCAGAACGTGTCCAATGTTGATGTAGCTGTTATGCTCGCTTATAGCATCAAACGCATATTCAATCTTCTTGCCGTTCAGGGCTTTATTGAATGCCGCGACGACAGCTTCGTCACCATCGCGGTAGTCGATTGTTGTGTCGCCTTTGGATTTATCCAGCAGCGGTTCAATTTGCGGGGTTCCCTTGCCTGCGACAGCGATGATCGGGTGGATGTTAGATAGCCTAGCCAGCTTGATAACGAACGATCCGACCGCGGACCCGCCGCCGTAAACGATAAGCGGAATGCTGGTGCGCGCGGGATTCCACGGCAAAGGCAACCCAAGGTCTTGATAGAGCCCTAGGGCCGCTGTCATGGCCGCCAGCGGAATCGTTGCAGCTTCTACGGAACGAACTTTTCTCAGCTCCCTTCACCTATCTGAAAACGCACGAATGCTCAGCAGAGATGCTTTTTTTTTTTTGTCTTACCTTCAAACGACGTCTGTTCCGGCAGATGGAAGGTCGTGTACGCCCACGCCAGCGAATATTCGGCGTATCCACCATGCGCGGCCCCCATCTGATGAAATGCAGCGACCCTATCACCGGGTTTGAACTCGGTCACTTTGCTGCCCACCGCGTGCACGTAGCCGGCCACATCGTCACCCTGGTCTGTGGGCGTCTCTGTCAGGTATTTCCAATCCTTTGGATTGAGGCCCGCGGCCTTGACGCGGATAACCACCTGGTGTTCATTGGGGGTTGGGATGGGAGATTCCTGAATGGAGACCTTGATTCTGTCTCCGGAGATCGATGCGAAAGCTTCTTTCATAGTAGACAACGCTTTTTTTTTCTTTGCAAAATTAGTTTACCGGATCAAAGAGAATTGTCTGCCCATCTCAGAAAAAACGATTAGGTCCCTTGGTCAAAATTTTGGGCTTTCAAGGAAATAAATAGCAGCGATTAGAGTTGAGTATCAAAACCGGCACAGCACGCAGTTCCAGCGCGATGGCTCCCAGGTTTAACCTCAAATCCAAAATTATTCAGGCCAGACTTGCCTGGTCCTTCAGGATTTTCCGGGTTGAATATTCAAACCCAGTCTTCGAGGCGTGTGAGACTTGGATCAGTCCTTCGACGTCATTGGCATCGGGTGCATCCCAACGAGCGGAGCCACCGGCAGTGGAGGAAGCATAAGCAAAACTGACTACGACTCACTTGCAGTTGAATGGTCCATTTGGTTGAGGTAGAGCTGCTGGCTAGAGAAGCGCCCACAGCTCTTGTCCCTTGTGAATGAGCAGAAGTGTAACTAGATGTTAACCAGGAACAAAAACCCAACGAATTGAATGCATCTCATAGATAACCAAGTTTATATTAATCAAATACCAGAGTATCTACTTTGTATCCATGAGAGATTTTAGATGTAGCTGTAATTTCCGAGATGGGCCCATATTCATTCGTTCATATCCTTGCAGAAACCCTCCCGCCTTACATCAAACGAGATCGCTTCATATTTGCCATGCTGAGCGCCGCAATAATCACCGGTAGGACACTCACGATTTCGCCCAGGCCTGCGTATGCGGGAGGAATGCGGACCTTGACAAATGCACCACCCGCGAGCAAAATCGCGAACACGTTGTACACAGCAGCCCAGAAGAAATTGAAAAGAATTCGCCTGAAAGCTGCGGTGGACACGTCTAGGAGGAAGACAAGGCCTTCTAGCCCGGATAGGAGGACGACATCGGCTGTCGCACGGGTAACATCGGATGATGCGCCGATTTGAACACCAACATCCGCCTGAGCAATTGCAACCGCATCGTTGGTACCGTCACCGCAAAAGAGAACAATTTTCCCTTGATCCATGAGGTTCTTGACATAAGTCCGCTTCTCAGCTGGAGTTTTGCGAGCCGCTACATTCTCCTTGGGAATCCCAACCGACGCAGCAACGTCTTCCACAGCCTTTCGCTCATCACCACTAACGATATGTAGAGACACATTCCTGGTCCGGAGTTTTTCGATGACGGATCTCACTTCGGGGCGTAGATTGCTCTTTAGGCCAAACAATGCTACTAGTTCACCGTCAATACTGATGCAAAGTGGAGTCATGCATTGTTGAACAATGCGAACAACTGCGGGATCCTGTTCGACCTGCAACCAGCGTGGATTGCCAGCGCGTAGCAAAGCTGGGCCGAGATTGGCTTCAACCCCAGCCCCCGGAACGGAACGTATGTTTTCAAGGCGTTGGTCGGCAGTCTCAGTCTCCAAGTACTTCGCGACAGAAACAGAAACAGGGTGTTTGTTGTCGGAGACGAGAGCCTTGGCCATGGAGAGGATTTCTTGACGATCACCCGATAATACCTCCACCGCTAGAACGTCAAGTTCACCCGTGGTGATGGTTCCGGTTTTATCAAAAACAACGTCGGTTAACCTGTGAGCCCTTTCAGTAGAATCGCCAGATTTGATGACGACTCCACCTCTTGCTGCAACACCTCCAGCAACAACGAGGACCATGGGAACAGCCAAACCAAGGGCACAAGGGCATGAAACGGCAAAAACCGCAATTGCATACGTGATGGCGGTTCCGACAGCATTACCGGCGGCTGCGTTCCGAAGTTTGATGCACACGACGATCCAAGTGATGAAAACGATAACCGCAACCGCTGAGACAATTGGAACAAACCATCCAGCAACTCGATCTGCCAGATTTTGCACCTTCGGCTTCGTGTTTGACGCTTCTTCTACCAGTCCAGCAATGTCAGTGACGGTGTTTTTTCCAGGAAGGCGTGTCAAGCGACATTTGAGAATTCCAGAACCATTGATAGTGCCCGCAATCACGGACATCCCAACGGATTTGGGAACTGGCAAACTCTCGCCAGTTAACATGGACTCATCAACCTCGCTTGAGCCATCGATGATTTTGCCGTCTGTTGGCACCTTGGTATGTGGCATGACCAAGAAGCTATCTCCAAACTGAAGAAGTCGGACATCCACTTCTCTGTGTTCATTTCCTTCGAGCAGGTTGGCGATGGTGGGTTGGAGGGACCTTGTAGAGACGGCAGCAACGGCCCTCCGTCGGGCATAAGCAGCAACCAACCGGCCAAAGAGGACCAAGGTGATAAGTAGAGTACTAGTCTCAAAAAATTCCTCGGTTTCAAGGGGCTTTCGCGCAACATCAAACCCAAATGCGACCACCGAATAAACATACGCAGCAGTGATGCTGATGACAACTAGCATGTCCATTTCGATAGTACGACTGTAGACCAGAGAAGAGATGGCCGGAATATAAAACTCTGGGATTGCCACGGCCTGGACGACCGTGGCCAACGCAAGCGAAACATACGCTTTGATATCACTATGAACGAGAGTGTGGCCCCAAGCAAGAACAGCGACCGGAATTGTAAAGACGGCAGACACAACGGTCTTGATCAACATATCGTTCAGTCTTCGCCTTTCAGCAGTAGCAGTAGGATCCTGATAGTTGGGCGGTGCAAGGCCCCTGGAGAAATGGCCCAACGAATCAAGCAAAGTCCTGGCGCCAATCACCATCGGGTCGTATGTGATTCGAGCCGCTTTCTTTCCAAGGGCTGTAACATCAACAACTCCATGAGGCATATCCTCTGAAACTTGGGCAATTGCTTCTTTTGGCATTAGCACATCGATATACTGGTCGTTACTTGCAAGCCTGGAGCATTGGAATCCAGTTGCCCTCGTGACGCGGCGAATCAATTCCTCCACCTCGATTATGTGGCTATTTAAATCGAAGTCGGCACTGCCCATGACGAAATTGACGCGGACATTCAAGACTCCGGGGGTTTCTCGAAGAGTTTTGGCCATTTTATTTCCGCAACCGGAGCAAGTCATGCCGCTGACGGAGAGCATGACATGCTCATGGCCAGCAGCCTTTTCAATATCAACAGGCTCACCAGTAATGATGGCATTATCGTGAGGTTTGCATCCGTGATCGTCTGCGCAGCAACCTGAATCCCCGTGGCTATGGCCATGGTCATGGTCGTGGTCGTGGTCATGGTCGTGGTCGTGGTCGTGATCATGGTCGTGGTCGTGTCCGTTGGAAGTCAGCAATCCCCGGGTTTCCTCCAGTGCGGCCAATTTGTCTTTCTGACTATGAAGAGAGCGAGGACCTTTCTTCGTGCCAAAGAGGGAGAGCTTGGATGGCTGTCGCGGGCAGCAGGCTTCCGTTTGAGTCGTCAAGACACTTCGGCAAATGCATCGAGCAGATTCGAGGTACGAATTGTAGCGCTCAAAGGCGGCGTGAAGATGGCTCTTGCATGGTAGATTCTGATGCTTGCCCTCGTCGTCGTGTTCATGAACATGCTCGCTCATGAGCTTTTCCCTTCCTGCTTCGAAGGAGGACACTATTGCGATAAGTCTCCATGTCAGCAGAGCAGCATTAACCTGGGAGGAGAAGATAAGAGGCTAGAAATGCAGGTGCGAATTTACCGTTGCTTCTTTCACTTTCACAGGCCTTTTGGCATTCATATGCTGCGACACCTTCGATGCAGCTTTCTGCAATGCAGCGACCAGTCAGAGGCGATTACTTGCAAGAACAAGACAGATGAAGAGGCACAGACTATCACATTTCTCAACGCTTGGGTCCTGGCAGCATTGCTCAAAAGCCAGTGAGCCCGCGGCAGACGCTGGGTCTGGACCAGCACAGCAGCCAGAACGCGTCGCCTTTGCATCCCCAGCACAGCATCCAGCACCACTGCTTTTTCCGTGGTCGTGGTTGTCATGATCGCCATGACCGGAAGTTGTGGAACAAGCCATGAGTGGCAAACAGGCGGGTTGTTGCTTTGCTTCCAAATTGGTTTTGTCTCCAAGCACACAAGAGTGAAGGAGAGCAGATTCTGCAGAGACAAAGAAGGGAAGATCAAGTCGAGTGGGGTTTTAATGTGCGAGGATAAGATTCCAGGCCGTGTTTGAACAAGTGTTTTGGCGGTTTGACGAGAATCACGACTAAATTTGCTGCGATTCCGATCTTGGCTGGGCGTTGCAGTGCCACCTCAAGAGTCAAGCCTGGAAATCCAACCAGCAACAGCACTGTCTCTGCGGCTCACTTTTGGCTCTCTTTTTCGAAATCCGGGTCCATTATAATTCTTCAGGGCATCGCAATCCTTTGCAGCACTTGATCGCTGGTGCATCCGTATTCGTGAGACGGCGACAAATAATAGCTCACTTCTGGCGATCACACACGCAGGTGCCAGGGATCAAGCCCGGAGATAGCCGTTGAAAAGACCCCCAGGGACTCCAGTCTCCAGGGAGACTAGTCAGTGGTCGCGACACCAGAAGCCATCTAGGAGATCGATTCTCAGGGCCGATCGGTTTGGAGCTAGTTAAGGGCAGGATGGCGCCACATCGGAACCTGAGGAGTTTTCAATAGCGACAACAGAGGACCGAACGCATCTCTGCAGAAATGCTTCATGGCTGTTTGGCAGCCGTGAAACCACCTGGAGGCCATGGAACACACAGCTGTCTGCCGGATCGGCTGAAGTCGGTCGGTTGTTCCATGGGTCAACCCGGTGTCTCTTGTCTCTTCTCACGAGCAAAATGCGACACAATCTGGGGAAGTGTTCCGTGGCGATCAAAGAACTCCACACGCAGGCCTGATGGCGGGGAAGGGCCTGCAGGCTTCTAGAAGACAAAAGGGCATGTTGCAGGGGTGAGGATGCTTCAAAGGACGAGGATTAAGCCTGTCCCAAGCAAAACCAAGGCGATTCGTCATTTCACCAAACTTGGTCCCCGTCCGCTCACCCGAGATGAAGAGATGGACCGAGGAGAGAGTTTGGGCAGCAAAAGAGCGATGTCACTCTTTTGTTTTCGGCGACCCATGCGCTGGTGGTGAATGCCTGTCGACATGACCGGCGATAATCTCAGGGTGGATAATGGTTGATTAATTAATCCCACAACAGCCGGGCTGGCCATCAACTCATCGAGAATGATCGCAACAATACCAAAAAGGGAGAAGGATCAAGATTGTTTCTGCGCATCGAAATCGAGAGATGAAAAGAAACGAAAAAGATGGGACGAAAAGGCTGTCTAATATTTGCTTCTGCTCCTCCAGCCAAGGTTCGCCTGGGGACCTTGGGGGACCAACATCGGAATCACTCGCTAACTATTAGTTAAGGGCTCAAGTGCCAGAGATGGCGATGAGAGGATCGCTCTGTTCGATTAGCTTGGTAACCGGTCCAGGCTGACCAGGCAATTGCAGAGCACTCCAGTTTGCATGGCGAAGGATGTTATCTAAGCTCCACTGCTCTCTCTGGAAGCCTGGCTGTGCAAGCCTGAGTGACCTGACGGACGCCTTGAGTCCAATGATTGTTTGCCTTGCAACTTTCATTGGCTCCCTCGGGCGCCGTGCGCTTAAGCCAAATGGAGATTCCAACGTAGTCTTCAGCTGGCAGTGGGAGTACCCTATTTTTGGACCTGACCAGGCGATTAAAGACAAGATGTTGAACATCCAACTACGCTTTGTGCTAAAAGGCCTCGGATCTCTTTTGCTTTGGTAACTAGATAGTGATAGCCTTCGTGTATTCTTGTTGAGCACCATGGGTGAAACCAAATCATCGCCCAACGCCCAACATCAACCACAGTGCCAAACCTGTCGCAAACGGAGGCTTCGCTGCGATTCTACAAAACCGGCCTGCAGGAAATGTATCTCCAAAGGCTTCGAATGCCCTGGATATGGCACCAAGAAGCCCCTAGTATGGCTACAGGGAGGTGGCAACCAGAACCAGTATCTCGGAGAGCAAAACGTTGCCCCATTCGAACGGAAAGCCAGGAAGAAAGGAAGGCCTAAGCTACTTGTTGCGGAAGATACCCCTGTCGTACATGAAGATAAGGCGAGCAAGCTTCAACTATCCAAAATCAGAGGTATGGACTTGAATCCAACGCCCTCTCTAGATTCTGACTGTGGCTAAGTCATAGGGTTACAGGCCTGAAATCCAGCTCAGATAGTATTGCTTCAGATATTACCATCTTCTACCCTCCAGACGTAAAGTTGATTGTGCGCACCCTGTGGTATTGTAAGCTTGACTTCCAGTGGCCCCATTTACTGTGTGTGATGCTGGCTAACTTGTATGCTGCGGCCTTGCGCTCTCAAAAGTCGACAATTTCATATACCCGGATCTAAATCCAATAATATACCGCCCATGTCTCCATGCCATGGACCCTACTAGTTGGCAAGATGACACCACCCATCTTCTCTGGCAAATCTTGATCGCGGTAGTTGCAATTCACAAAGCCGTGCGGTCCCAGTCAAAAGGGCAGATTGAATTCAGCAGGGAGGTTTATCAGTATAAAGACCGAACCTTCAAATCACTCACAAAGGACCTCTTAAACCCTCAGGCTCGATTAAGCGATGACACTTTGGTCTGTGTCCTCGCCCTTTTTCTGGCTGAGGTGAGTTCCTGATCCTCGAATCACCGCCTTTGACACTTTCTTGCTGCTTTGCCTGCTAACTCATCATTAGATGCAGCAATCAGCCACGGGAGAGTGGTGGCCCCATTTCGAAGGGGCGAAGAAAATCATTGATCTCCGTGGTGGCCTCAGATCCGTTTCCCTGCAGAACCCAGGTTTGAAAGCCACTCTGGCCTATTTCATGCTGCAAGTTCATCCTTTATTCCCCCTAACCTGCGAACCGCCATGCTGATTTACATTTCCACATAGGACTGATATCATGAGCGCAACAACAAGTCCGCCTTTATCCATTGACGAGGCTACCCGACAGTTGGGGTATCGTGCCCTAATACCAGATTCATTCCAGGATGGCTTCGAAACTTGCGTATTATGCCCAAACGAGCTGCTTGATGCGATCGTTCAAATAAACAATATCCGTGCGCTCCGCCATCATTCCGTCATCGACACTCATGTTGCAACCCAAAGCACTGCTCAAGCCATCATCCAAAATATCTTATCATTCTCAGTGCCTGAATGGGCAGCTAAAATGTCTACTTATTATTCAGAGACGGCAGCCGATGACTTGATAGGCGAGGTTAGATCTGGATTCATCCGACCGACCAAGGATGACTGGGTCCTAATAGCAAGTGTGTACTCGGCAGCTGTCTTGTTGTACGCTATTCGCAGCCTTGCTCTGGATTTCCCGGAAAGGGTGTTGAGAATGCCATGTGGATTAGGCTTGTCAAAGTCAATAACATCTTATGTAACGGTCCAGGAGATTCAAGCCGTCGCGAGGCAGATTCTGTTTGACCGCTTACAATCCGTTGAGAAAACTAATCGGTCGTTGGGAAAAGTTCTCGCTTGGCCAATTTTTGTTGCAGGCGTAGAGGCGGCGATGGAACCTGAACACGTTGGCCAACGAGATCTTGTTGCCGGTATCTTGCATGACCTGAGCAAATCGCTTGGAACGCTAACATTGAGAGATGCGGAGAGGTTTCTATGTTGGCTGTGGGATCAGATACCTGAAAAAAGCCATGACGAGATGTCACAATACTGGTGGGATGATATTTTCAGAAACGTGAAATCGCGCTGTGCATTTTTCATGTAAAAGCCGTTTGATTTGTGAGCGGTATGTTGAATACAGAGTAGAAGATGATTGATCGATTGGATGACACTCCATGATGCAAATAAACGGGGACCATAGCGACAAAGAGTGATAGAGCCGGTGTTGATGGGATGCGGTCATTTCCTTTGTAAAGCTTCGATCGTCTTGGATATAACCTTCGCCAATTCCACGCCATTCTTCCATATATCATCATGTGATTCTTCCAAATCATCAATGATCAGCACTTCTCTTCCATCTGGGCCGTCGTGGGTTTTCCACTGGTCGAGAACCTCAGCCATAGCCTTGAGTTGCGGCGGATCGACGAGCTCATCGCCGTTTGAGCTGGCGAGCATCGCCAATTTACCAGCGCTCCAACCCTCAACAACTCCCCCGTGTTGGACTTTGGCTGGTGACACGCGGTCCCAAATCTCTTCGTCTCCACCAAAGGCGTCCTCGGTAAATTGCTGATAAGCAGGATGCTCGTGAGTATCGCGAAGGAGACGTAAATCATAGATCCCAGACACTCCGACAATTGCCAGTGGCTGCGCCAATTCAGCACACACGACGCCTGTAATACTCTTCATCACGGTTTGAAATGCTAGCGTTGCTCCACAGCTGTGCCCGACCAATATATATCTTTGACCAAATGAATATTTGGCTTGAAGAAAAGCAAGAGCATGCACAACATCGTCCAGATGATCTGGGTGTTTAGCGTTTCTGTACTTCGTTGGCTCGACGGATAGAGGGTCCTGAGGGAAATTCGGATGGCTTGTGAGACGATAATTAATCGAAGCATAAGCAATTATGTCAGAAGCAATGCGCGGATCGCCGTCACATAATATCTGTCTAGTTGTGTCGAAAGTAGGAGCCAAAATCTCCGGATCCCGCCATGCACCGCCGTGTATATAGCTTAGCCAATCTGTGAGCCGAGTTGGTAGAATCCGGATAGAAGTGGATGAGAGTTGCTTGCATACATTACCCAATATCCGATCTCAGATTGCTTCTCTGGCAACGGACGAGGCATATACACGGACACATCCTGCAGCGAACTTTTATCGGCATAACAAAACCGTTCCGTTACGGGAGCGATTGAAGTGGGGATAGACATCTCTAATGAAGATGCAGTTCAAACACAGGGTATCGGAATGTGAATATTGGAGCGGAACGTAGGAGAAAACTTGTCGGCGTAGCTTCCTAGTACCTGTAGGACCACCGCCTTGGATTCAGTCTTTGATGAACAAAGATGGAGCACCGTAAATCTCCATCCGGGTGTTCAATCAAGCAGATGGAAGCGGCATAAAAAACGGGAATACATCTAGATGTAGTCTAATATCACAACCTGGAATCATCCAGCTCTGGATTTGAAGCCCCATGGAGCACAGGCATTGCACTTAGAATGGCATAGCATTGAGAAACGGCAAACACGCCAGCTTGCAAGGAAATATAAGAAATGCAAAGCTACGTACCGGGAACCGTGATGTTTCGCATTGGCCTCTCCAGACGTAGCTTGATCGCGTTTGCTTGCCGGTCGGTCGCTTGAGATGCGCTGATGTTTGGCGGGGAGTCAAAGGGCAGTTACATAAGCAGACAGCTGGCCTATGCGCTAGACTCCTTCTGGACACCACTTAGCGACATGGAAAATCGACTTCGAAAAACTTCCAAACCACACAAAACACGAGCGACGAGGCGCGAAGACATCAAGCAAGCTGCGTTTCCCCGATCGACCTCGCAAAGACAGCAACTAGATTCCTCACCACTATAATTTCCAACATGGCGGAGTATGTGCCTCTCCTCTTACGATTATCGTCTGAAACTGACCATGCGTCTAGAAAGGAGCAGCCTCTCAAGGCCGTCCAGGTCGAGGCCCTAGTAAGATTCCCTTCCACCAACGATCAGGACGTCGAAAATTAACGGCCATTTTCAAAGGTGATTATGAAAATCATCAAGCATGGCACCCAGAATTTCCCCACACCAGCAACCGGGTCTCTCGTCGGAATGGATGTTCGAGGCACACTTCAGGTTACGAACGCTTTTCCGTTTCCCATAGTTGATATCCCTGCGGATTCTCATTTGGATGGAGCTCCGCCAAACGCCGCAGCTGCGGCACCACGCGCAAAGGCCAATGCCGTCTATCAGTCCGAGATGATCAAGATGCTTCGAGAAGTGAACATTGACGCAAATAATGTCGGCTGGTACACGAGCGCGAATATGGGCAATTTCGTCAACTTGAATTTCATCGAAAACCAATATCATTACCAGAAAGAGCTCAATGAAAGAACAATCGCTCTAGTACATGATGTCAGCAGAAGCTCGCAAGGCGCCTTGAGCCTCAGGGCCTTCCGCCTTTCGCCCCAGTTCATGAGCGCATTCAAAGAAAACAAGTTCACCACGGAAAAGTATGTGCTACATCTTTGCGCAGAAGCTATCCCCCCATACTGACGTTTCTACCTCATTAGTCTTCAAAAATCGAATCTTCGATACCAAGATATACTCGTTGAACTCCCAGTCGAAATTCACAACTCCCACCTTCTCGCATCATACCTCCACCAACTTCCATCGCCACCTCCTGCAGAGGATTTAGATTTCCCCCCCTCTCTTGCGGCCCTCACAAACGACCCTCTTGCTTCGTCCTCTTTGCTTGCTCCAAACTTCGATAACCTGTCCCTGAGCATCGATCCATTCCTCGAGAAAAATTGTGACATGCTTCTTGAGAGCATCGAAACCCACCACACGGAGAACAACAACTTCCAATACTATCAGCGATCTCTTGCGCGCGAACAAGCTAAGATCGCTGCTTGGCAAGCGAAGAGAAAGGCGGAAAACGCCACTCGAACCCAGCTCAAGCAGCCGTTGCTTGCTGAAGATGAGTGGCAACGCTTGTTCAAGCTCCCACAAGAACCCAGCAGGCTTGAAAGCATGCTTAACACCAGACAGGTTGAGCAGTATTCGCGACAGGTCGATGGCTTTGTCTCTGCAACCACTGGGAAAATGTTTGCTGTGAGGGGTAATTTGTTGCCTGGGGAATCGCAAATCTAATGTCATTTACGATTTTCTTCTAGACGTTCAAAAGTGAATTCGTCCTGTATCTGGAAATGTTCGGATTCATTCTGGCCAAATTCTTTTTAATGAGATTTGATTTGCATTACTGTATGGCGCAGCGGGTGGGTTTATGTTTCCCCTGGATGTTTGATTGTATGGACCTTGAGATGATGTCTCACCTTTGTGCCTCTCTCTTGTTTCTGGTATTATACTAGCTACGCTGCAGTAATGCTTTTACTGATTGAAATAAGGCAGAAGGCCACATAGAATATGATTGCGTTGCTGGTGAATTATCGGCAAATCCAAATGATGACGGTGCATCCATGTGGGATACTGAATTCTGACTATGGATTGCATTTCCGAATATACAGAATTAAACTGGGGAAAATTCTAAATAATACCAGGATGGAGTACACAGAAATGCTGTTAATGTAACAATACTTGAATCCTTGCGGAAAGTCATTTCCAAAGCCTGGTGGCAAAAAAGGGGTATCATGCACAACCTAAAGGGAAAGGCCGAGAAAGTAGCTACAGCCAAGTGCAATATCCACAGTGCATCAGGGAGTGGAATTGGGATATGCTGATGGAACGGAGCAGGTAACGCCAGAATCAGCCAACACATGTGCCACTGTACAAAGAGCTTGCGTCAAATGGGTATTAATAGTAAGACATATCAACATAAAAGGATGACTCGTAAAGCATAAAATACCATAAACATGAAATCGTGAAGCGTGGTATCGTTAGAATCCCGTAAACTTCTTAAACCAACTGGTCTTCTTCGCCTGGCCATTGACGTGAGCATAGCGGCCATCAGGTTCGTAGCGGTAATCCATATAGCGGTCTGCGCCCGCGCTATCATCGCTGCTCCTCATCGTTTCCCTTTCTGCCCGGCGAGATTCGCGATGTCTAGAGCGCCTTTCCTTTTCGGGAGGATATTGATCATCATACTTCGACTGGCGTCGTGAACGGCGATGTATTGCCCGACGAGTCTCCTCGTCCGAAGATAGTGAATGACTGGGGCCTGCAGGGGGCCCAGGAAGATCGATAACTGTGGGGACTATCGGTGGTGCTTCAGGAGGATCCGTAAACTGAGAGTGCACCCAGGAGGAGGTTTTATCTTTCCCGCCGCTCACCATAACAGGATAGGGAAGGTCAGGCGGCTGGCGAGAAGAACGTGATTTGCGAGATGCATGACGACCATCACCTCGAGATACAGACTTTCGCTGCTTGGGCTTTGTGCCATCGTCATCGGACCGATGATGACGCCGATGGTGGTGTGTGTCTGTTGGATATTCATCGGGACCGTTTGCGTCCCTATGCTTCTCCCCGAAATACGATCGGCGGCGGTGGGATTTACCGCCTTGATGGGGTTCGTCAACCAAGTCGGCGTCAGTGGCTCGATGCCTGGGGCGTTGAGGCGGGCGCGAGTCTGCATGTTGTAAGTCTTCCCGCTCCTTTGGGTATTCTTCTTGGATAATCCGCGAGTTCCGTCGAGCTTTCTTTTCTTTACGACGCTTATCTTCTCGTTCTTCCTCCTCTCTCGCGCGTTTATCACGTGCCTCACGTACCCTGTGTCTATCAGCTTCCTTTTTGCTAGCACGCCTGTGCTCAGCTTCGCGCGCCTCTTGTTCCGCTAATTTAGCCGCTCGCCTTGCCCTTCGCTCAGCTTTCCGAGCTTCAGCATCTTCAGCGTCAGTGTTCACCGCGCCTGTATGCATTCCATCTGTCACAAATTCCTCGCCATCATCCACTTTGGGAGATCGTTTCTTCCTCTCTTCCCGTTTCACGCGTTTCGAATCCTCCCTTTCGATATCGGTATGCCTCCTATCATCGTCATTATAACGGGACTTTGATTTGCTTCGCTCTCGTGTATCAGCCGTACGGCCGTTATGCTTTCGGAAAGAGCCGAAGAGGCCCATGATACCTTCGGACTTCTTGGGTAAAGTGTTGGACCGACGTAAAGACGACCGGTGCGGGGACTCAACAAAGGCAATGTCATCTGGACCAGAAACCACTTCGGCGCCATTTCCGGACGAGCCACGCTCTACCATGACTATATCGTCTGGGATGTCTGTAGGTTTCGCTTTCGACTGCATTTCAACGCACGTTAGTAATATTCAAATATGTTTAAATCACTTAAAATTGAGCAAAAAAAGGAGAATTTCCTGGGTATATAAGATACAAGCGCATACCTCTCTCTTCGATTTGCGCTTGCTGCGGGATTCTTTGGGTGGGCTGGGTGTTGCTGTGTCCTCCACTCCATTCACCATTACGATGTCATCGTCATCGATCGCATAAGGATCAGGCGCCACTTCAATTGCGTTAGATGGTGTAATAGGTATACCAGGGGATGGGTCACCATACCTGGCGCTTTCTTTTTACCCTTTGAATTCCGCTTTGAGCGTTTGGAATCGCCGATGCCCATCACTTTTGCAGCTTTGCTTGAAATTTCCGGCTTATCTTCTGACGGAGACGGAAAACCAGCGTCGTCCATGTCCACGGAATGGCGCCGCGATGTGGGACGGGAAGATGCATTGCCGTTACGCTTAGAAGACTTTGTTCTTGTTGGGGGAGGGCCTCCAAGGATAAAACCAGAAAATCCTAGTCCCCTGCTTTGCCGAGGTCGAGTAGCAGTATGTTTCTCTTTTTCTTTGTCGGAAGTGGATGATTTCTCAGGGCTTTTTTCTGGGCTAGTTGCCTTTTCTCGTCTCGTTGCTGACGATGTCGATCGCTTTAGTGTAGGCGCAGATTTATCCTTTTCTCTCTTTGCAGGCGCGGATGCTTCGCCGTCTCCAGCGGTTTTGGTCTCCTTTTTCGGAGATTTTCTGGGAGTAGCACCCCAGAAACCCCAAGATGCTACCCCAGCCGTGCGCTCCACTCTAGCGCGCTCCTTTCTTGCAGGCTTAGGGGCAGGGGTGGCAGGAGGAGCTTCAGCTTCGTCTCCAGGCGTCGGAGGAGGGGAAGCCATGGCAGAGTCCGGCTTCTTCTTTGTCGTGGTACGCTTCTTATCCCTTGTAGCCTTCTCTAAAAATTCCGTTGCTTGGGGCTCTGGGGCAATGGGGTTGGGGGTTGGAACATCGATCAAGTCATCGTCGACACTGGGGAAGCTGCCTGGAACCCAATCGCGCGGAGTTTCGGTTACTGGTATTTCAACGATAGGCGCATCTTTTGTTTTCTTTTTCGACCTCAGGAGCGTGGAAGTGGTTTTTGATGATGGGTTCCCCCTTTTTGATGGAACGGGTGGCTCCTGGGACGGGGGTTCCAGTGGTTCGTCGGCGGGCGGGGCGGCTGCAGGGGCGGGTTCAGGGTCGCGGTTCTCTTCCGCCTGCGCCTTTTCTCTCTCTTTCGCAGCAGCGGCCTCTCTCTGCAACCTCTTATTCTGCTCTAGGATCCTGATTCTCTCTGCCACAGACGACTTGCCTGTCAGTCGAAGGGTCGATGGCGACGTCGCCGCGGCCTTTGGTGGCGCTGGCGCTTTGTCAGCGGCCTCGGCACTAGCCGCTTCCGGGCTGTCCACGCTGACGTCGACGAGCAGTTCGTCGGCGGTCTTGGCACTGGTTCTGCTGCTTTTGGTGAGCTTGCCTTTGCTCTTAGTCTTGGTCGGGGCATCGTCAGCGGCTGCTCCTGATATATCGTTCGTCTCGGCTTTGGGATCAGCAGTGTCTGCTGTCTCTTTCTTCGACTTGTTTAGCTTCGATTTGCCGGCGCTTGCAGAAACCCCCCAGATGTCGGTCGGCTTGGTAGCTTTTGTATCGACAACAGGGTTCGTCCCAGGCTCATCAGTAACGTCGACAACCTCCAACCCTCGAGTTTTAGTCTTGCTTAATTTGCTGTTCTCGATAATCTTGGATGCTTTGGTGGCCGACGTGGTCGTCCGAGAAAGACTCCCTTTCTTCAAGCCCTTCCCCCCGAAACCACTGAATGAATTCCACGTAGTGCTTCCCGTATCCTCGAAATTCGGAATAACTGGTGGCTCCGGGGTGAGTCCCTGAGCTGGAGGGGTAGGAGCCGGAGGGGGAAGCCCACCCTCATCTTCGCCTTTCTTCTTCTTCTTCGTGCCCTTGGGAACATCCCAAACATGCCATGCGCCGTCCTCAACGGCTCTTGGGACCAAGTCAGTGGAAACTGGGCTTGTTAACTCCTTGTCCATGCCTTGATCCTTCCCTTCCTTGAGCGTATCTTTCTTCTGTTTCTCTTTTGAAGAAAGGCCCCAGTCTTGAGCCCAGGTACTTAAAGTTGGTTCTTCAAGCGAGCCTGTGGTCTCGAACGCCAGCACATCGACGTCAGGATTATTCGCCTTCGTGGACTTGGTTTTCCCTTTTTTCGTTGAGCCCCAGAACGCCCAAGCGTCAGTCGAGACTGTCGCTGGATCATCGGATTTTTGAGGAAGCGAATCTTTGAGATCGTTTGTCTGTTCTTCTAAGCCTGGGAGATTACCGTTTGCCTCCTCGTCAGCCACTGGGTCCGGGTCTCCTTTCTTCTTTTTCTTCTTATCTTTCTTTTTCGCGCTTCCTCCCAATATGTCCCCCGACGGGTCTTCATGCGGAGCTTCGGATTTGGTGTCGATTTTCGATAGCTCCTCTCCAGCTGTAATGGTTTCTGCCGCTTCAGGGAAGCTTCCGAAGTCATAGCTCTGAGTAGCGCCTTTCCGAGCTTTGGCCTTTTCCTTTTTACTGAGGGGTAGACCTTCCTCTCCCAAGAGGTCTCCAAGAACGCCCTCAGATTCCCCAGCCGTGTAACCCAGCCCCCCCTTTTTCTTCTTTTTCTTGTCGCTGATGAAGTCTGTCCAATCGTCTGCGGGTGCGACGTCTGGCTCTTTTACTTCAGGGACTGGCGAAGGTGGTGATGGGGGAGGCTCTTCGACCACTGCTTTTCCCTTTTTCTTCTTGCTCTTCTTCGTGCTTGCACTCCACTCATCGATTAGTTCCGTGTTGGGTTCAGCCACAGGCTCAGTTTGATATTCTTTTTGGACGGGTTCTTCCCACACCGCTTTCCCTTTTTTCCCTTTCTTCTTTTTTCCAGTTGGTTCCTCGGGATCTTGTACAGGTTCCACGGCAGGCGTAGGTTCAGGTTCAGGTTCAAGTTCAGGCTCGGGTTCAAGCTCTGGTTCTGGTTCTGGTTCTGGTTCTGGTTCTGGTTCTGGTTCAGTACGGAGCGGCATAGGCACTGTTGTTTCTTTGCCCTTTTTCCCTTTTTTCTTCTTAGTGTTTGAAGTATCCCAACTTGCCCAATCATCGGCTGGCTGAGATTGGGGTTCAGGCTCGGGCTCGAGGATGGTTTCCATTTCAGGCTCCTTTTTCGCCTGTAGGGAATCCTCATTTGGCTCCTTTCCCTTTTTCCCCTTCTTCTTTTTACTTGTCGTAGTGCTGGTCCAATCGTCGACGGACGGTGATTCCGTTTCAGGCGCAGGCACAACATCTATTACCGGCTCGGGCTCTATAGGACCCTTGCCCTTTTTGCCCTTTTTCGCTTTCGTGGTTGTACCCCAGCTGGGCCAATCGCCTTCTGGCGAAGCGTCAAACGCGGCCTGAGGGTCAACTTCAGGCGTTGGTGGATCTTGCTCCAGTTTAAGCTCTGCCTCTGGCTCTGGCTCGGGCTCCAAATCTGGCTCTTGAGGGAGAGGCACTGGTTCAAGAGGACCTTTTCCCTTCTTCTTCTTGCCCTTCTTGTTAGTAGCCATTCCCCAACTAGACCAATCATCAACAGGCTCTTTTTCAATGGTAGGCTCCGGGGGTGGAGGTGGGACTTCATCCACGGTGATGGCCTCTTTGGCTTTTTTCTTCTTATCTTTCTTGCCGGTGGTCGTAGGCCAAGCAACAATATCGTCGACAGACTCTGGTTCTGGAGCTGTCTCCGATATGTCAGGGATCGGGGAGGTCTCCTCGAGCATGGCTTTATCCTTCTTTTTCTTTGACTTTTTGGTACCGGATGTCTCCCAAAAATCATCTCCACGCTCCGTATTTGTTTCAACTTTGGTTTCTAGGTAGGTCTCAACCGGATCGACTGGGATTTCTTCGGCAATTGTCACCTGCTTTTTATTTTTGCCCTTTTTGGCCGGAATCGATGACCGCATATCATCTACTGGCGGTTCTGGTTCAGCTGCTGGTGGTTCAGGCTTTGCCTTATCCGCAGCCTTCCCGTTCTTTTTCTTACTCTTGGTAGATGTAGCCCAGTCGTTCCAATCATCCCCGTCCGCTGCAGCATCGATTTCCTTTTGGTTGCCCTGGTCTGTTGGGATTGAATTGAAATCATCCAAGGCAATGTCCACCTTATCCGCTTCTGGAAGTTTCTCTTCCTCCATCGTCATGTCGGCAAAAGCGCCCTTCTTTTTCTTCTTGCTCTTTTTGCTGACTGCCGGAGTAGTCCAGGAGAAGTTGTCCGTGGGATTGTCATTTCCAAAAGCATCACCGTTTGCTGGTGGTTCAGTAGTGGCTTCAGTCTCCATGGCTCCGAAGTCGATGTCAAAGGAGTTGGCCTTTGCGAACTTCTTAGTAGACCAGGGGTTAGTGGCACCAGATTCTTCTTTTTCATTTCCTTTAAGATCTAATGCCGCGTTTCCAGCACCAAAATTGCCCCCCGTACCCCAGCTTTTACCCCATCCACCAAGTCCCAGGCTGTTTCCGGACTGCTCGCCGAAGGAGATACCAATCTGAGGCGCGGAATCACTCAGGCTAATGTCCTGAAAGGAATTTGACTGTGTTTTGTCGACCGCAGGGGGCGCTGGATCCAAAGCCTAGTTAGGAGGGTCTAGGTTAGTACATAAAACCAATACTAGCAAAGAATTACTGGGCCCAGGCTTTACCTTTCCTTTCTTTCCCTTCTTTTTCTTTGGGATTGTAAATTCAGCCCACCCATCATCTTGGGTTGTACCGTCTGCATCGGCCCAACTGAGATCGCCGCTTGTCTGCGCGGCCGATGCTTGGTCTTTGGCTTTTTGCTCTTCCTCTTCCTGCTCTTTTCTTTTTTGTTCCTCTTCCTCCTCTTTCCGCTTCTTTTCTTCCTCTTCCTTCTCCTCTTCGGCTCTCGTCTTCTTCTTTCCCTTCTTCTTTTTACCACTGCTCATATTCCAGTCATCGTCATCTCCACCTCCATCGCCATCTCCATTGCCACCACCTCCGTTACCACCATCCCCGCCGGCACCGGCGCCGGTATCTCCTCCATCATTTGGCTCGTTTTCCTCTGGTGGTGGATCATCATCCCCGTTGTTCTGGTTGTCAGAATTACCAGCTGGCTTTTTAGCGCCACCCTTTCTTTTTTTACCTTTACAAACTTTGAAGCGAGAAGAATCATTCCAATCTATCAATCCCGCGGTTGCCTTGGAAAAAATCGATGGCGACTTTGGTGGGCTGGATTCTAAAGCGGAAGAAGGGGTAAAGGGTTTGGCCTCCCGCTGTAAATGCGAGACACTCTCCACGACGTACTCAGGCGGGGCATCCCTCAGAGCATCATGGTATGTTGGAGGAGGCGCCGTGCAGTATGGTACTGGCGTATAAGCTAGGAGCAGGCCAAGCTCCTCAAGCAAGGAAGAGATTCTCCAAAACGAAAAATGGGGGTCGTACAGGCCAGGCTGTTGCTGTCAGAATACACCCCGCAGAGACCAGTGATTTACATGATGACGGGAAAGGGACGGGAGGGAAGGGGGAGCAGAGGCAGATCAGATGGAATGATGATCACAAACAATCTATCAAAAAAGGAGAAACGCAGATAACAGGTTGTGGCTTGAGATTTGCGTACCTTGGGCATTGGCTCGTCACAGATCGTACTATCTTGGAATGAAGCAGATATTGACCTCGTATATCTGGTCCCAGAGATTCCCTTCGAAATCGCTATCCGCCCCGTGTCTGCGACCGCGCGTATGAGGTCCGTGTTGTTTGAAACGCCATTCCGCTGTGTACAAATCATGGCGATAAAATGTTGGGAGCTAAAGACAACGGTACTGTTAGCCTCAAAGCAGCCAACGAGTCAACAGCCTGTTCGAGGCAGGCAAATAAATATTAGAGCTGGCTTATGCCGGGTCCGAGGGCGGAGCGGGGCGTAGTGGGTTAAGCCGACAGGTGGAGAGACGGCCGTGCTTGGAAATCCACTGAGCAAAGATGGCCAGCTCAGTAAGAAACCAAAAGTTCATCTGTTATCAACAATTTCGTGCCCAGATCGCTAGATTGTGGGGGGCGTTGGCTGTGAAATCGATTTTCGACGCTTCGATGATGCACGACGATTCAAAGTCGAAACGTGCTTCTGAGCCCGACACTATCGTAGATGAGTCCGTCGGAAGGGAAAGCTGCGCTGTTTACTTGGGGTTTGTCCAAGGCTGACGCGCAAGTGCCATGATATGTCGGTGAGTGAATAAATAAAAGTGCTGCGTGAAACAGGCTGCGCTTCAGCGTCCAAAAAAGTAAACACAGCGCACCCAGCAATTACTCGGTGCCAAACGTGGTATGTAGGATCCCAAGGCGAGGGTCGTATTCTCAAATCTCGTGACAAAAGCTCCTCGAACTGCCCGGATTGATCGAAAAGACGTTGATTATGCTCTCCAGCTCAGTCGTCGGTGCGCACTCCTTGTCGCGTTGCCTGGCACTACTCTCCAGAAAGCGAAGATAATCCTTACCTTGCGAGGATCGCACCATTCACGCACTCCGCCACGCAAATGTATCCAATACGAAAGTGTGGACGGCAGCACAGAGAAGAACCGTGATCGGTGGTGGGCAGCGCGGAATTCGACAATTGGCCCTCCAGGGTTGCGATGGTCGATGATTGGGGGGCTCAAGCATCAAGCAAAGGCACTTCACGCAGGGACCATCCACTGAGAAAGATGAGAATCGTCAAGCCCGTCTTGTTCGCGACCATCTGATCCTCGACAGGGCCGGCGCCGGCAATCCTTGCTCAGAAGCCCGGGGGGGGACAGGTTAGTTTGCGAGAGACATTCGCGTGACCTTCTGAGATGCTTTTCACCAGCGTAGCGATGACGGAGTGGACGAGTTCACCAGACTTACCGGAGAAAATTGATGAGTGTTTTGATCGAGTGAGCGAGTTGATAATAACTACTTGCCGGTGTCAGAACCAGGGAGCTCAGCCTCGACGCCAAAAATTCTGTCTTGATTTTGTTTTGGGCCGTCTGTCACTCCAGCTTCGGGTTGGGATGCGATGATTCACGGGCGCGTCCACCGGTGGGCACCAAAAGGCTGGCAATTGCTTCGGTGCAGGCTGTGATTTGACAGGCAACCCCACCGTGAATCAAGAACGAACAGGGTCGACGAAACGTCCCCTGCGCTCATTCTTCCCGTTGCTGCTGGGCTTGGTTGTAACAGATAGCTATCAGCTAACTAACCGGTCCAAGGAAGCCAGCTCAATTGGATTTTCAATCCATAAAAGAACATGAGCCATTCGAGCGGTCAGGCCTGGATTGACAATGGCACGGTCTTCCCCACGCGTATCCCTGGGACGAAGCGGCCCCGAAACCAACGCCCATCTTTATTCCTGCGGTTCAAAGAGGTGGATTGATGCAAACAAGCTTTGCCTGTCTCCCCATGTTGAGCCGGCCTTGCACACGTCAGTTGTCGATGCCTGACGTCCGGCTAAAAGAGTGAAGTGGACTTTCGTCTGAACTCTGGACTTTCAAACATATCCTCTCTCCCTGGCTTGAAATCGCCCAGATTCTATAGATATACCGTACATTTACAGAGTTCCTTTTACCTTCTTTTCCCTTTTTTTTGTTTCCCCGGGGAATTTTCTGCAGTGAATTGACCGGATCAGGGCGAGAGAACAACCCCGGAAATTCAGACCCGGGATCTTTTCTCACCGCTGGTTTCTTCACAAAACAACTTGACGCTTCTGGCCGGCGTTGGCGCCCCGTTTCGCCGTGGAAGTCAAATCAACATGAAACAATCCTTCTTATTGAAAAGGGAACCTTCGAATTTCGAGTCAAGATGTCGCAACGTTTGAGAGAATACCAAACAAGTTATTTACCATGATATCAAGATTGCGGGAAGAAGCCGCAAGTTTGAAGTCTTCTACCATCGTCGGAAGTTGTTGAGAAACTCTCCATTGGAATTGGGTTGATTGAAATTACACCGATAGATATCAGAATAAGTTGAAGTACAGAAACAGCTCTCAGACGCTACCCATCCCATACTAATAACACAAGGACAAACCGTAGTACATGAAAGAAAAGGCATCACGTTCAAATTAAGCTAAGTCTCGACAGGCCGCACCCCACAAGCAACGCCGCTTATTTCGACACTTGGTGCTTTGGGCTTTCGCCGTATACCGATTCATATTGCATGGCATAATGTCTCGAGGCCTCCTTCTGGAGTTCTCGGTATTTCTGGAAAAGGTGACATTAGTGTCTCTGGATATAGGATATGAGACTGTAGATACGCATACCTCTTGCTCAGCCTGGGTCATTTTCCGCCAGTTCTCCGCAATGTGAGATATCCGCTCGTTCGCCGTCAGATGATTGACTTCTCCACTGTTGAGCCGTTCTTTTGCGAAGATGATATACGCACTCCCGGGCCGTTTGACTTGCCTCGGGTCAGGGATATCTGCGAACGAGCGAGGTCGTCCCGACAAAAGCCGGAGTCTTCGACGGGCAGCATTCGCTTCTTTAATCTGAAGTGGGGTGTGGCTCTTTACCCATTGCTCAAAAGCAGCTTTGTTCGTGTCAGTGTTTGCTTTAGCCAACTCTCGAAGACGCTAGAACCACATCAGTGACGTACAAGTATCGGGAGAAATAGCACAAGACTTACGTCGCGTTCGGCGGCCGACATATTCCTATACGTTTCGATCTTTTGCGCCAAAGTTTCACCGACGTTTTGTTGGAGGACAAGCCCAAAGGGATTGTTAGCAAGGGCCTTGGGTGGAGTTAAAGCCGCTATTTTCAGTTCTTTGATCTCCTGTCTCTGCGCCTTTTTCTTCAGCGCTTCCTTTTGATTATCGGTCAATTTCTTCTTGGGCTTCTGTTTAGCTTTGGTTTTGGTCGCGGACTTCTTCTTATTCGCTTTAGATTTTGTGGTCTTTCCCTCAGTTTTGGAAGTTTGTGTTCGCCTTGTGTGCGTTTCCGAGGTTGCAGCGTTCGCATATGCGTTCCTCAATTGAATCTGAATAGCCACAGTCCCCGCTACCACAGCGGACAGCGCCAACCGCGCATCATTGGAAGTGCGTACAACAAAACGGGGAGATCGAGCAATGAAACGGCGGAGGATCGATGGTCCACGATGCGCAAGAATGGTATTCATAGCTGTAAGGTAGCCCGTTAGCTCTATCAAACACAAACACTCAAGACACCGGCAAATACAGACCTGCGAGTGAACAGCTTCCCTGCTAAAGTGATCTCTGAAAGCTTGCAACGGATTCGACTCCAGCATCAGAGGGCAGGGCATGCAAACAGCTCCGGTCAGCGCGGTCAGCAAGCTTGATCCAATGATTGCAGCGCCAATTACTCAGTATATGTACTCCGTACTGCACCTGCCGAAACAGACCCAAAACAAGGAGGTTGGCCTGGTGCTTCCCGAAACAGGGAAAGCGTAAACCTAGTATGGTTACTCTAACCTGATGCGGTCTAGCCACAAGCTAGCTTCCTCTAGACTGCTTATGTAACTCATAGTGGATATCTCGCCGCATTCGACTTCTGCAGCCAACTTTGTCGAACAGCGCGGCAACAGTTGTTCAACAGACCCAATTTCTATAGCCACTGTTTCGCGTTTAGTCTCGTTCTGGATATTTTAGAGGCCCTGATTCGGTTCAGGGACTACCCAGATCCCGTCTAAGGCAGTTTTGGCTTCAGCGACTTGCGGCTGTAAAGACATACTTTTTCAAAAGTTAGGATTTGGCCTACGGAAATGGCCAGAGAGACTCGCTCACCATCGCCAGTAGGCAGCACTCATTCGTCCTCGAAACGAAGCCGCAGGAATGACGATTATTATGACAGAAGCCGCCGCGACGATGGCAGAAGCTACCGGAGATCGCGGAGCCCTGCTGTAAGTCCATGCCCACCAAACAACAGCCACCGTTTAGAGCAAATATTAACATCATCATAATTTGCCAGAGACGACACCGCGATAAAGATTGGGATCGACATAGAGACGGAGACCGAGATAGAGTACGAGATCGTGACCATCGAGACCGGGACCGAGGCACTTACCGACGCATAGACCGCTCAGGAGATAAACGAGACCATAAAGATGATGTACGTGATGATACTTCCTATCGCCCAAGCAGGAGGGATCGGTCACGAACCAGGTACCACTCACGGGATCGGGGCGATGGTAGAGAGTACCGCCACAGGAGCCGCGACAGAAGACGAGATGATTCTCGGGATAGAATAAGAAGACGAAGAGACGATTCTACCGGTTCCAAATCGGTCTCCAGATCGGACGAGAGTAGGGACCGCCCGCCCAACAAGGCTTCCGTTACTAAAGCTCGTGAGGCAAGTTCTTACCCATCATTCCTATGCAACTGTAAAGCAGCTAACATGATCTTAGGTTTCGAAACCATCCACACCATCTGCACCCGCTGCGCAAACAGATGAAGAGAAAAAGGCCGAGCGGTTAGCGAAACTGGAGGCATGGAAGCAAAAACAGGCTGCAGAAAAGGAGCGAAAGCAAAAGGAATTAGCTGCCGCTGGTGGTGCAAGGAGCATTTTGGACGAGATCGATAAGAAATCCAATCTTAGGCATGCAAATGCGCCTCAAGAACCCGTGTCGACATCAACTCCCACGAAACTTGAACAAAAAGTGACTGGAAAAAAAGTTACTAACCAAACGGAAAATGTTTCATTACTTGGAAATGACATCTCTGTCCCTAATACAGGTACATCTGTCATAACTGACCCTTCATCTACGGGTCCTCAAACGGATCCAGCCAGTAAGTAAAATTATCATATCGAGTCTCTTTTCAACCCTGATCGCTGACTTGCTTTGTCCTAGAAATTGTTCCGTTAAAAGCGCGAGGTAACGTTAGTGGCTTTGGTTTCGGGGCTAAATCAGCTGCAGATTCAGAAAAGGCCTCTCACAAACGCGCCCTTGATTTTGAAGATGAAGAGTCGAGTCGAAAGAAGCTGATGAAGCTTCCGGACCACTCCCTGGAGGAAGATCAACATATCGCTAATGGCGCTGACAATGGTGTCGATGAAGGAGATGATGACGGAGACGTCGATATGCAGGACGGTGGCACGGAAGAGGAAAATGCAGCAGCTGCGAGAGCAGCGGCAGAGAAGCGTGAAGAAAGACTACAAAATGAAATATCTACTTTACAGTCACAACCCGACCAGCAAGAAACCGAGACCAAAGTGGACATCATGCCCGAACCAGATCTCTCAGCTGAGCCTATGGACATTGAGGAAGAAATTGACCCATTAGACGCCTTTATGTCTGGATTGAAAGATTCGGTTGCGGCGAAACCGTCAAAATCCAGGACAAAAACCTCCAAATCTAAGCAAGAGCCTGAGGCAATATTTGGCGATGAAGACGATGTGAATTTGAAGGCAATGGATTTGGAGGCCGACGATTTTCTTGCCATTGCAAACAAAACGAGGAAAAAGAAAGACTTACCATCTGTTAATCACGAAAAGATGGATTATGAGCCATTCCGTAAAAACTTCTATACAGAGCCTGTGGATCTGGCAGAGCTCAATGAAGAAGAAGTAGCCGCTCTAAGATTGGAATGGGATGGCATCAAAGTTCGAGGCGTGGACGTCCCAAAGCCCGTTCAAAAATGGTCACAATGCGGTCTGGGAGTTCTGACCCTGGACGTCATTCACAAGCTCGGGTATGACCAACCGACATCAATTCAAGCCCAGGCTATCCCTGCGATCATGTCCGGAAGAGACGTAATAGGGGTTGCCAAAACTGGCTCTGGGAAGACGATAGCCTTTTTACTCCCAATGTTTCGCCATATCAAGGATCAGCGGCCTCTAGAAAACATGGAAGGCCCCGTTGGATTGGTCATGACGCCAACCCGGGAGTTGGCAACCCAAATTCATAAAGAATGCAAGCCATTTCTAAAGGCGCTGAACCTTCGTGCCGTTTGTGCATATGGCGGAGCACCAATAAAGGACCAGATCGCAGAGTTGAAGCGCGGCGCGGAGATCATAGTCTGCACTCCAGGGAGAATGATTGACTTGTTAGCCGCCAATTCCGGGAGAGTGACTAATCTGCGAAGGGTAACGTATGTAGTGCTAGATGAAGCTGATCGAATGTTCGATATGGGCTTTGAGCCTCAAGTGATGAAAATTATCGGAAACATCCGACCCTCAAGACAGAGCGTCCTGTTTTCAGCAACCTTCCCTCGTAACATGGAAGCTCTTGCGCGGAAGACGTTGACCAAACCGGTGGAAATTATTGTTGGCGGAAGAAGCGTTGTTGCTCCGGAAATCACCCAGATCGTGGAAGTTCGTCCGGAGAATACCAAATTTGTCCGGCTACTTGAACTCCTTGGCAATTTATACTCAGACGACGCAAACGAAGATGCCAGGGCTCTAATCTTCGTGGATCGACAAGAGGCAGCGGATGGCCTACTTCGTGACCTCATGCGTAAAGGGTACCCTTGCATGTCAATTCACGGTGGAAAAGATCAAGTTGACCGTGATTCTACAATTGATGATTTCAAAGCTGGTATTTTCCCAGTTTTAATTGCGACTTCAGTTGCAGCCCGTGGACTTGACGTCAAACAGCTGAAATTGGTGATCAACTACGACGCGCCAAACCATCTCGAAGATTACGTGCACCGCGCTGGGCGGACTGGTAGGGCGGGTAACACTGGAACAGCCGTTACCTTCTTGACCGAGGAACAGGAGCGGTATTCCGTTGATATTGCAAAAGCGCTGAAACAGAGCGGACAACCCGTGCCTGACGCTGTACAAAAGATGGTAGACGCTTTCCTCGAAAAGGTCAAATCTGGTAAAGAAAAGGCTAGCGCTTCTGGGTTTGGTGGCAAAGGTCTGGAAAGACTTGACCAAGAACGTGATGCGGCGCGGAATCGCGAAAGAAAGACGTATAAAACAGGCGAGGAGGGTGAAGAGGAGGAGGAGAAGGAGAAGAAAGAAAAGGGAGAAGATCTTTTCACCAAAGCCGCGTCCGTTGTACAGTCGTCATCGGCTCCAACACCCAGCGCTACACCTGGTGTGCCGAAAGGAATCGACCTCGACGGAAAGATTACAGTTCATAAAACTGAGAGAGCCACATCTACCGCCACCGGCACAAATCCTCTCGATAAAGTCGGTTCAGCAGTTGCTGATATCCATGCCCGGTTGAATAAAGCGGGTGTGATGAGGTCAGGTGTTCCAATCGACAACAAAGGTCCCGACGCTGGAGCTTTTCATGCTACCCTAGAAATCAACGATTTTCCACGTAAGTTCATATGCTTTGCTTTTCTCCAAGCTTCCTATAGTATGTTGCTAATATCGGCCTACAGAGAAAGCAAGGTGGGCAGTTACCAACCGCACCAATGTTGCCAAAATACTGGAGGCTACAGGCACTTCGATTACGACGAAGGGTAGCTATTATCCAACTGGCAAAGAACCGGGTCCCAATGAAAACCCAAAGCTGTATATTTTAGTTGAGGGCGATACAGAGTTGGTGGTCACCAACGCGATGCGTGAATTGATGCGACTATTGAAAGAAGGAACAATTGCAGCCGCGGATAGCGAGGCGCGAGCTCCAGCCAGTGGCAGATATAATGTCTTATAAAGGCTTTACTATGGCGCTAGATATAATTACACCATCCTAACTATAAGAGATGCTTTCCAGGGTTGGCAGCCGGGTTTTGCATCGCCATTTGGAGATCAGAGTACATATTTCGTCCCATAATATCCCAAGCCACGAAAGTAAACGGTTTCTAGGTTTTCTTAGGAGTATCAATAGTAACACAAGTCGTAACCCCAAGGCGCCTCGGATTAACAAGAGTAGAGGCATATCATGACAGAGGGCATTCACAAACAAAGAATTGTCCGTACGTAGATGCGGGCACGTAACCAGTCAGCCCATGTATTGGCCATCGACCATCAACATCCCACCCGTCGCCTTTCCTAACCAAAAAAACAAAAACGAATCCCGTGTGCAGGATGCAATTAATCCCATCTCCTTGAAGTTTCGGCAGCATCCACTTCCCTTGCAGCCCGTTCGTTTTGACTGGACTCATTGAGAGTCCTACTCTGGGTCTTGGCCTTTTGCGCCGCAAGCTGCGAGCTTAATTTGCCTTTATTTGAGGCAGCATTCTGCTTTGCAGCTCGTTCCTGGAAGTGTCACCAAATCAGAATGCAGAAAGATCAACATAGGCCAAGGTAGAAAACGCGGGCACGCTTGAAGAAAAGACATATTGTCAACCTACCTCCGCTGCTCTCGCAGCAGCACTGCGCGCCTCTGCGTCCCCACCGCCCGTCCCAGGGTTGCTACCAAGTGTTCTTCCAGCGGATGAATTAACCTTCTTCTGGGGAACAGGGACACGAGAAGGTGCAGGGTCGGGAGCGGTTCCTAGGACTCGACCCGGTTGGGCAAAGGCATCCGAGGGATTCGAGGACTTCGAACAGAGATTTCCCATTTCAGTGCTTCGTACTCCGTGCGGGCGAAATACGAGTGGGAAGCGAACGAAGCGGGAGACGTCGAGTGGTTGCGCTTTGGGTTAGCCTCCACCGCCAAGCCGGAGAAAGCCTCACGTGGCTCGGGCTAGCCTCATCGGGCTAGCCCAACTGGCATACGTGGGGTTCGGGTGCTTATATAATCCGGTGACGAAAGACCGGTCAACCACCAAGGTCCCCATCGCGATCACTTTGTGTGTTTTCTTTTATCACCAAACTCCCAACCATCGCCAGCCAACTGCTTGTGCTTGCGAGCGCCTTCGCATCTTCCTGCCTCTGCCTCGCCAATTCTTTCTCAGGGTACGTGCTCCTTTGGCCCCTATCACCCAATCACGGACTGACGCCCACTGAAGGTCTCCAGCACAAACGAACGGTCGACTTGGTCACCTTCCGGGAGATCGGTTGTCGATGAATTTTGTGGTCAGACTTGGAGCTTTTGCGGGTTAGAACTCTAGATCCATGTCGCAAAATCCTGAGTCGGACCCGTTCTGCCTAGAATGCCATTGGGAGAACTTCCACATGGCCGGCAACAATCTCCCTTCACCTCCAGAATGCTTAGATCTTGCCTGTTGGAGTGGTGCCGAATTTGAAAATCATCAGTCACTGCCATGCGATTTATCAGTGGAGTGTTGCGATATGGACGACTGTTCTGATAAATGCACAACTGTTTGCGACGGCTTCGTCGACTGTGACAAGTCCACTATCTGCTCCGAATCCTATTGTCATAATTCACAATGCCAAAATCCGACCACCGCTTGCTTCGATGAACACTGCATGGGGTCGCATTATGGCGATGTGCAACACGGCCTTGAAAATACCTTTTTGAACCAGGACGGGTCCATAAACTGGGACTGTACAAGCCTAAACCCCGAACATCTAAACTGTGGATTCCATGGCCAAAACCTGGAAACCTCCTTTCCTTCACATACTCACTCGATGGGAGCCCCAGCGACGCCTTCCTCTGAATTGCCCGGCTCTGTTAAGTCCTTAGGCCATGGCCACTATTATAGCCAACAACCATTCGGACCCCGAACTCATATGGTTCCTGGTTCATGTTTAACGCATGGTCTAGGATCGATCTGTATCGGCAGTGCGCAGGAGCTTTGCAATAGTGCGGATGATTGTACATATCAACAAAAATTAGACAATGGTTTGACTCTCGAAAATTGTTCTGGGATGTCAGCACCTTTTGCTTCGTTACAGACCTCCAGAGTGTTACACCATCGGTATCAGCACGGATCTCTACAAGCTTTAGCTTCGCAACTATGTCGACAACACGAAGCAGCACGGACGGTCACGACATCGACACGTACTACGCCTAGTTTAAGCATCCAGTCCAGCCCTGTCCCTACTTCTTCACACCAGGAAATGAGCAGTGCATCTGCATTTGCTAGTCCCGATTTCATGGGGACCGACGGGTTGCACATCTGCCGATGGGTGGGAAACAAGCTAGAAAATACAATCTGCGGTGCAATATTCCCAGACGCGGGCAGTCTGCAGAAACATCTCACCGTTGCACACGCCGATCCTAGTCAAGGATGCCAGGGTCAAGGCTATTACTGCTGCTGGGAGGGATGTTCGCGCCCAGATGAACCATTTTCCCAAAAATCTAAGCTGCAAGGGCATTTCTTGACACATAGCAATTGTATGCCCCCCCCCTTAAGTTGCTCCCTGCTTCGACCCTGGTTTAAGTCCCTACAATGCTGATATTATCGATTAGATAAGAGTTTTCGGTGCTCGATTTGTGGTAAACCTTTTGCTCGGCAAGCTACTTTGGAGAGACATGAACGAAGTCACCGAGGAGATAAACCATATAAGTGTAAAGAGTGCGGGAAGCAGTTTACAGATAGCAGTGAATTAAGTGAGTCTAACGCCAAAACACCATTAATTCTCCCATTTCTAACAGCTAGCAGAAACCCACATGCGCACTCATACAGGCGAGAAGCCATTTAAATGTAATCACCCAGGCTGCAATTTTGAGACAGGAGATGTAAGTGATCGCCCAGGTATATTGTCAGATATCGAGCTGACATTTCCCAGTCGTCAAATATGTCTAGTCACAAATTGAGTAAGTTAATACAGTTACTGCCTATATCTCGTTCTCGAACTATTGGCTGAATCATGTCATACAGCACATGGTGAACGAAAACACAAATGTCCTTATATTGGATGTTCAAAAAGCTTTACTAGACCAGGTATACTTCCGAAGAACCTAAAAACCCTTTTTTGAGCTCTATTTATTCTAATTCCTGCTGCTATAGACCAGCTAAAGCGTCATCTAAAGGGAACTCATAAGCATCCCAGTGCTCTACCGACCCGATTAACTTCACCCATTGGGAACTTGACAGCTCCACAAGCTTGAGAGCTGCAGGTTCAAATCAAATTTTATGCCAAATCAATAATGCTGAATGCAAATTGCGTTCAAGGATGCTGGCTTATAGCCACTAATGAATATAAATAAATCATTATTATACTTTGAAACAATCAGACCTATCTAATGCTAGTGTCCTGAAACTTTGTACATACATTCAAGGCCAACAAACCTTTTCTGTTGAAATAGGATTATGTTCATGCCTGAAGTACCGATCACTCTGACCGCGAAGATTCCTCAAGAACCTCAACTGCATTCCTCAACTCACGTATCCGCTGACCAACTCTGCGCCTGATCTCCTCCCTAACATCTGGTGAGATATTATGGGGGTCAAAAGTGGTCCCCTTCTTGGACTCTTTTTCATCCCGTCCTTTATCTTCAGCCTGCTGCTCTTCTATACTCGGGAGATGCGGCCTGGACCCTGTGTAGGCGGTGTATAACTGATCTAGATCATCAAAAGCTTCGCGGAGTGCTTCACGATCAGATGCCGCGTAAATCGTAGAAGCGCTCGTTGATTCTGTCGCGATTTCTAACTGCAAGGATGTTAATAATCTATTCTGAAAGGCTACGTTGAACAATCCAAGCACCTCATCTTTGGCTATTTCATATCTAAAGGTAAAGTTAGCCTCCGATTTCCATAATGTTGCAGGCTAACCCCAGCGGGTTCTATTGGACTCTGGTCGGATATGATGCTTCTGCACAAGGAATGAACCGACATACAGGTCTTGTATTTCTTGAATATACTCGTCTGCAGTAACCCCTCCTTTAGACCTGGTGGCATATTGCCTTTCTATTGAAGAACCGGGATAGCTTCCGCATAAACGAGCCCTTTCGAACGATAAGTCGCCATATCTTGATGTGCTTAGGGAGCCCCCGCCACCAAAGGTGTACTTTCCATGGCTATGTACAGCCGAGGTATAGAAATTGTAGCCTGGTCGGAATACTGAAGACGATTGGAAGCGTATGAATGGAAAGCCAAGCGGACGAGAGGCACGCCAGATCTTTCCGATTCCCGCCATCGGAGAAACTGAAGAGAAGCCACGGGAGTACATTGCAGGACTTTTAACGGGTATAGCTCATAGAACCATGAGGGTGTTTGACGGAAGCAGGCCGTGAGGATGAGAATGTAAAAACCAGCTTCCACACCTGAAATGCTAAGCCGAGCAAGAGTCTAGGGCATCAACAAGCGCATATTCAATGCTTCGAGTCTCAAAATTTATCTATGGTATCTTAAATCACTCAGGTGGAATGAGTAGCTGCCCAAACTACCTCTAAAAGCCATAGGAAGATTTGGACTTGATAGAAAATTCCCCTTTGTAACTAGATCTGGATTCCCCCAGAAGGCAGGCTGCTTTAAACCACCCCTGCCCTGAAGCAGGGTGAGGAAAGGTGAAGCAGGGCGGTCTGATTACTCAGCTGCGTAGTTACGTGCCCCCAGGCGTTAAGAATTCATCATCATTACTTCTTTTATCTTCTCCCTCCCTCACCTTCACTTAACTCTTTTTGTGATTCCGCATACCCTATGGCTTCCTAATAGTGTTATGCGAAAACTATACAATTTCAACTCTGTCACTTCGCTTCGAGAGCAGTCACCACTATTCCATTTCAACCATGCCACTCTCCTCCGACAGCCGTCACCATTATACCTCCTATCCCATCCTCTGAAAGCCACATCGAAGATGGCGGTAACAGCGACGATACAGTCCCCCACAGATATTGGCGGAGCCGAGTATGGCGACTTCGTGGACTCCGAGGATGATCTTGATGTTACGGAGTATACCGAATGGCCTTACGAATACGAGTTCTACCCCATCCGCATCGGAGAGGTGATCAATCAAACGTACCAGATCGACCATAAACTTGGACATGGCGGTTTTTCTACTGTTTGGATGGCCCATGATCTCAAACGCCGGAGGGATGTGGCTCTCAAAATCACCGCGAGAAATTCAGGAGAATATGAATACAAAATGCTCGAAGAGATAAAGTGTACTGTGAAGGATACCTCTCATCTTGTCACTTCCATAGCAAGCTTTATCCTTCGCGGCAAAGATTCTGATCACCGAGTTCTCGTGTTTCCCTTACGCGGTCCATCTCTTAATCCCCTTTATGGGCTGAAGGGGATAACTATGGCCGCCCGCATGTCGGCTGCGAGGCAGTTACTTGAGGGTTTGGCAAACCTACATGAAGCTGGGCTCGTACACCGTGGTAAGTGAACAAGCTCTATACCACAGATATGCGTACTAACTGCTCTCGAGACATAAATGGTGGAAACGTCATGTGGGGTATGGCTCCCCTCGAAAATCTCGACAGAGCCGCAAAATACAAGCTTTTAGGCCGTCCCCTAAAGATGAAGGTACCTGATAACCCGTGGAAACAAGGGGAGGTTGTTAAGCCTATCGAAATCCCCGACGAGTTACGAACAGAGAAGTTTTACCTCGGCGACTTTGCTTTGGCAATGAAACCTGGTTCTCCTGTCACCCAACCAGGTAGGCCGCCTATTAACTTTTGCTCTCCGGAGCGGCTTCACAACTACGATCCAAGTTTCGCCTGTGATATATGGAGCTACATGTGCATATTTACGGAACTATATCTTGAATATTCACCTTTCCACACGTGGGCAAATGGTGGCATGGTAACAACCATAGTTCAACGCTTAGGTCCGCTTCCGGCACAATGGAAGGGACGTTACTGTGTTCCCGAAAAAGCCCTTGATTCGTGGTACGATCAGGATAAAACACCTCATCCCGAATACAACTTCGAAACATTATTTCAGGACAGAAAACCTGAAGCTAGTTTAACGGAACGGGAACACGCGCTGTCTTTATTCTCTAGAGGATTCAGTTTATACCCCGAAAACCGGCCGACTGCGACCCAACTTCTGCATGATCCCTCGTTCAAAGCACTCATAGACATGTATTGTCCCACTCGGACATGATTTCGGGGCCGGTTGGCTCGCTCTTGACCCGATCTCGGCCCGGCGAGTGGGTGCGGGGATGCTATGAGTGTCATCATAATGGCACTGGAGCTCCTGCACTGAGCTGTAGACAGAGTCACAGTGTGGAGAACCGCATTGAATGGACTTGAGGCCATGCAGTTCGGTGTAATGTTTCTCCATATGCCGTTGGAACGACTGCTGGTTCGTGAAAGCCTTCAGCCGTCGACTGCAGGGGAGGCCCGTATCGCCAAGGCAGCGAGGGCAGTAGGCCGGCCACGCCAGCATTCCGGAGACTTCGAGGTAGCCGTGGTCCATGGGGATCGTCTCGGGATGGGAGAGATGATGCTGACAGTGCTGCTCGAACTCGACCGCGCTAGTGAACCACTCAAAGCAGATGAAACACACGCCCGCAAACCCATGCTGTCGCCGCAGCCGGGCCCTGCGGCATTGGTAGATGTGACGCCACCTCTCTCGCTTTGGCAGCCTGGTCAAGACACACGCCAAGATTTGGTTAGCTTTTTTCCACTGTCCAAGGTCATGGGAGGGTGACCAACTCTTTGACAGGAGTCGAACACTGAGCTGCAGGGCAGCAGTCATCTCCCCCGCTACAAGGGCTGGGTGGTCGGACACGTTGCTCCTCTGCCGGCAGAGGGCGACCATATCCAGCAGGACCTGCCGCCCTTCCGGGCTCCGGAGGGGGACAGGGAGGAAGAGCATGGTGCTTAGTCTCTTCCGTTCCGGCATCAGGTGGGAAGCCCGTTCAAACCACCTCCAGTGGGAGGTGATTGTGTAATCATTCTCAGTATCCGCGTCCACACCGGGCTTCCGTTCCCGGGCTTGCCGCGACTGCCATTTCTCCAACTCCTGAGCGATAAGCTTATATTTCTGCACGTAGACACTTTGCCTCTCAATTTTAGAATCCTGGCGCTCAGCATCTGAAGCTGCGGACTGGATACCTTCCGTCAGTGCCCGGATCTGGTTGTTCAGCTTAGTGCACTCGGCCCCCCCCCCCCTCCAAATCTTGACGGAGTTTCGCGGGGAGAGACTGCCACATCTGAGGGTGACGCCTCATCAACAGGCCGCGGAAGTGCTGGCTGATATCGTCGCGCAGCGTTAGGTTGAGGATGTTCCCGACACCCTGCACGCTTGACACCGAACTCATGTAGTCATTGAAGAAGATACGGGGGTCGCTGTGACCGCCAAATTGCATCCTCTGATCGGGTGAGTAGCCATTCTCTGTTTTGGCGGACCACAGATGTTAGCAGTGCGACAGAGGAGCCACCGGTTCCGTCACCGCCTTCCCCACTCCGGGCCGGTGAGGTATGAAGGGTGGGACTTACCGTCCGCCTTGACCAGAGCTTCCGCGCGTATGTCGTGCGTGCGTATATTCTCGTTATAACCAGCCCGACGGCCGAGGGCCGGTAGTTGATGAGTGAACCAGGCGGCTGTGAGGATCTTTCCCGTCGGCCCGTCTTCTGAGATGGCTTCACAAAACGGAGTGGTGCCTCGCGTTGCCCTCCGGCCGCCGCCATCAACCGGCTCTTCCTTGGCCGGGATCGGGAATGCCGGGGTGTCCGCGAACAAGGGAAGTCTAGGTGGGCCCCCAGACGCAGGTTAGTAGCAGGGGCTCATCCCGGTGAAGGGCTCAGTGCAAAGGATCTCATTCACGGTCGTGTAGTCACGGAAAAAGGCCCACGTCCGAGACCACAAAGCAGCGGCTCCAGGGACGGGATCAAGATAGATCGGAAGGGACTCGATAACCTCGGGCATAGGATGACGCGGACTGCGGTGGATAACGGGTTTCAGCTCCAATCAGAGAAGGTAAGGTCGGGAAGGGGGAAGGGGGGAAGGGGGGAAGGGGGGAAGGGGGTGGGAGAATGGAGCGGGGGTGAACACACTGCTTTGTCTTCCGGTTGGACATGTTCTTCGCGTCCCTCTTGGGGGCGACAATTATCTCCGGCCTCCCTTGCCCGTTACGGATCACCAGGATGGTCAGACTCTATGTTGGTTGATCAGCTGGCAGTCACAAATGCCCTCTGTCCTCCCATTCCTTCAGCGGCCCACTCACCTCCGGGATATAGAGCCCGCGGCCTGTTCCATAGCGCGCGGTTGACTCGAGATACTCCCCCAGCCTCCCAGATGAGTACATGCAATTCTTGAGCAAGCTGGACATGTAGATACGGTGGATGGGGAACTTGTAGAGGTGCCAGTCATGCCGCCAGAGCTGCTGGAGGACGTTTTGAAAGTGAATCAATGTCAGATACTTCCGCACATGCGGCTCACGGCACACCGGGACGTGCTTGTCCAACTCCTCGCGAATGAACTTCGGAAGGTCAGCCACCAGTAGCACACGGCGCTCTGCCGGGAACAGAGACAGTTGGGATGGATGGGGAAAGAAGGGGAGCGCACCATTGTGCCAGAGTTTGTCACGGTGTGTGGAAGCTTCTTGCCGGTCCTTCGGCGCTCTCTCCGTGAATTGGACCCAGCCATGCTGCGAGGACCGAGTCGCTGCGGTCCATCGCGTAAAGTTGACCCATCGAGGCGACGAGGTGAGGACCGGGTGAAGCAGAGGGTGAAGGTGGTGAGGGCCAGGTGAAGAGGGTGACGACCGGGGTGACGACGGGGTGAGGAGGGGTGAAGATAGGGCGGCGTGACGTGGGCGCTAATCCGGACGCGGACGGGTGCGGAACTTCCTATACCTACCTATATAGGAAATGATGGAACATCATGCTGACTAAACATCACTGAGCATTGCTTAGGACATCATTGGGGCGGCGGAATAGTCAACAACCACCCTGGACGCTAGTTAATCAGGCTAATACGGCTAGTGGCTCCCATTGCTGCACCAAATACATCCTGAAATCGGCACCAGCGCACCGTTTGGAAAACGAGCGCATGGTTTTAGAAAGATATGAGAAGCACCCCGGAATCCGACGACTGGTCGACCAAATCCAGGATCCTCCGCTACTGGTGCTGAGATATTTTGATGACAACCTGTTGAACCTGTCCAAGTCAAGGATTATTGAGGGACGGGAGCTCAAGTTGGTTGCGAGAACCGTTCTTCAGGCTCTTGCAGCTCTGCATGGCGATGGCTTTATCCATACGGGTACGGTGCTTTTAACTCTGCCCGCAGTGACCATGTTTGTGGATTTCTGAAGGTTAACACGCCTCGGGAGGACAGACGTCAAACCGGACAATATTCTGGTCAACTACGAGAATGACTCAAAAGCCATATGTGAAGTAGCGCTTGGTGATTGTGGGGACGCGTGCAATATTGACACATTGGCCGATTCTGAGGATGGACACATCATTGGCGCGGGTATTTTTCGAAGTCCAGAAGCCATGCTCAATCTAAAGTGGGGACCACCGACAGACATCTGGTCATTCGGGACGACTGTGAGTTTAGTTACCATGTCATTTGTGAGGCAAACCCGCTGATATCTGCGGTACAGCTCATAAGCTTGATCTGGGGAAAGGGCTGGCATATCTTTAAGCCTGGGAACATTGACCCTGCGGATGAGAAATACCCAGCGTACATCATGATTAAGCAGATAAATCTCTTCGGGCCACTTCCAAAGAAGTTCGCAGAGATAGCGGATGAGGAACGAGCGGACATGGCAATGCAGCTGAACGACTACGTTGAAAGGATGAGCAGTAAGCAGCGGAAGCCATTTGCCCTGGCCGAAGACGCGAGGCTTTCGGGGGAGAACCGCGAGTTCATTTGTAAGATTATGAAACTTGACCCGCGAGATAGGCCTACGGCAGAGGAGTTACTGAAGGACAAGTGGTTCAATGGAGCATAAGCTGTTTTCATAGATGAAGCCGCAATCCGTTCATGTAAATCATCAAATGAATTGAGGGTCTCATTTAACTTATTTACGGTGAGTCTACAGTTATTTGAAGGCTTTCCTGACCCCAGAATCTGCCATGGTTGCTTCTATAGACTTTCAAGGCAACAATTCTCCGCTACAATTTTGCTCTTGATATTCCCTGGAGTCGAGCTGCGTCGCGCGCGGCCCATTCTTTCATGACCTTCCTGACAATCTTGCCGCTCGGAAGCTTAGGCACCTCATCGATGAGCGCGACTCCGCCTGTTAACCACTTGTGCTTAGCAACCCGCGGCTTTATCCACTCCTGGATTTGCTCAGGGGTTAATGGATTCTTGCGTTGCTTTGCACTCTCTTTCAACACCACATACGCTCGAGGGAATTCCTCGTCGTTCCTAGAAAATGGACGCCAGGGTCAGCGATGCTAATCAACAGTGGAAATCCCGACGAGTTAACTACACTCACATTTTCAAGCCAACAACAGCTGCGTCAGCTATATCGTCATTTTCAAGCAAGGCGGCCTCGAGCTCTGCAGGAGCTACTTGGAGTGCATTCACTTTGATAAGTTCCTGGCTCCTGGCGTTAGTTTGATAGTTTACAGGCAACAAAGGTCGCTTTTTACTCGCCTTTTTCCTGTCAACAATCCAGAACCAATCGCCACGGCAAATGGCAATGTCACCCGATCGAAGCCAGCCATCGGGCAACATGGTCTCTCGGGTGGCGGCCTCGTTTTTCCAGTATCTTATTGACACGTTAGGGGACCGTACGTATAGTTCTCCAGGTTCGCCCTCTGGCACTTCGTTTCCATTATCATCAAGGAGTTTACACTCGCAATTTGGGTCGAGTACCCCAACGCTTCCGGTCCTATATCATGTATTAAGATCGCGGTCTTGAAACGGCGAATATAACTAATCATTGAGGGAACCTACTTGTCATCCACTCCTCCGGGAACATGAATAGCACCGGTGGTCACTTCGGTCATCCCCCAGCCTTGCTTAACGCTAACACCATACTTTTTCGCGACCTCATTCTGAAGCTCCCGTGACAATGGAGCGGCGCCGCACGATATTTCAACTACGCTGCTCAGATCATACTTGGCAGTTTCTGGCCGCTTGCTAAGCATGACCATGACCGGCGGTGCCACGTGCAGGTAGGTGATTTTATAGTCTTGTATGACACGAAGATAGTCCTCGAACACAAATTTTTTCATCAGGTAGATAGGCACTTGATTGCGTACGGCGTGGAGAATCGTCATCATCTGTCCGTACGCATGGTAAAGGGGCAAAAACCCAATCCATCTATGCTGAAGGGGCCCTTCTGGGCCGTATTGCTGCAAAGCGTTGCGTATATAGTTTGATTGGAGAACATTGGCGATCAAATTTCGGTGGCTACACAGACACCCTTAGGTAGACCAGTAGTGCCAGACGAATAGTTGATTGTTGCAACAGTGTTTGCGCTTTCAGTCTCACTTAGTTCTAACCATCGATAGTTACGAGAGGCTTCGGGACTAGCTAACAACGCTCGCCAGTCCCGCACGCCCTTTCTGGTAGCAACTTCAGTCTCTGAAAATTGGAATAAGCGTTCTGTCGGGATCCCTGCTTCTGTGGCCGCTGCCACGGCTGTTTCAAGGAGGGATGGATGGACAAGGATGACCTTCGCCTCCGTATTGTTCATTTGGTATACAGCCTCTTTTATCACGGTTAGTTAGTAATTGAATGGAACCATATCTTGGTTGCTCAGCTTCATAGAAGCCATCCTCGGCTTTAGTCGACTCACCATTAACACTGTATGCTGGGTTGATTCCACTAAAAATGCGCCCTGAACCAACAATACCTAGATATGCAACTGGCACAAATATCTGGTTTGGGCTAAATATAAGCACCACTTCGCCTCTCTTGACAACTTGATCGCCAGTAGTCGGGTCACGGAGGTTTTCAAGGCCAGAACCTAGACGCTTGATCCAGCCTAATGCAGCTCCTGTGGAAAGATGAACACTCGGGTCTGCCGCATCGATCCATATAGGCTTCGTAGAAGAGTGCAACGGTGAATCCGGCGGGAAGAGAAAGGAGAGAACATTGCACGACGGAATCGGAATCGGTGCAAATGGTGATTTTTTCACCATATTTGCGGATCTGTTCCGCGGGTTTCCAGCTATACAAATGAATATCCACGGGCACAGGTACCTAGTTATTACCTTAGATGTAACTGGTACTCTTCCCTATGCAATGACCGATTTCCTCTCAATATTTGAATGTCAAACAGTCCCTGGTAATTCATCAGTCGACGCTGAGCAAGAACAAGAAGTAATGACTATTGTTGGCTCTATCAACATTCTGTATGCACTACTCAGGACATCCCGAGGAAGACCTCGGCACTCTCGAGATCATCCTGGAGGTGTCGATATCCATACACGACGAGGCGCCACATCGGAGTCAACTGGCGAATCGTTAGCTTTCGTTGACTATGCAGGTTGCGCGGAAGTAAATGGAGAGGTGCGAGGAGTAACTACTTGATCGCTGCCAATTCTCCACGGCCCCGATTCCGGGCCGAGTTAATCACCTTCACTAACTAACATGGCCAAAGTAGCCTTCACAAAGCCGAAGACCTCAAACGAGACAATATCTTTGCCAGCCTGCATGGTTTGCATTGCTCAATGCCGGAAACGAGGGAAAATCGAAGGTTTTGAGTGAATTTTATCTGAGAACCTGACCTTGGCGACAAATCGATGCAAACTAGATATGAGAGCATAACGACATGGCTCGTGTTCGGTGATCCTCATAACATACATATCTGGCTGTCAAAAAGCACCCAATTCCCTTGGGACGAGCCCCATCGTCAAGGGATTTTTGGTGGGATCCATTTTCATTATTTTTATCCTCAGATGAGTGCATGGTCTTCCGAGGTGCCCCAGAATGGCCCTTGACATTGGGCCCCGGTCTAACCTCTACTGCAGTTATTATATTGATATTTGATCTTTGTCCAGGCAAGCCCTTTATTACCAGCCTCCTGTGGTAACTAAACATACTAGAGCGATAGAACGATTGAACATGCATTGAACTGCATTAGCATGGCTTGCCCTGTGTGTCATGAAAAGATTTGTGCCCGACTTGCGAAAGCATCGGCTTTTTGCTTCCCTGTGACTTGGTCAATCGACGCCGGTGGACTTTCTCGTCTCAAGCGAAGTAGGACGGCCGCAGTCGTTGCCGCCGCCGTCTTTCGGGCGAGCTAGCCGTACATCCTATTTCATGGATTCCCTGACTCCATGGCATGAGAACCCGATTCCCACATGGTTTGGGCGTCTGGAAGAATACCATCACGTCAAAGCGCGTTGCAGGGCTCTCTTTAACTTACTCCAGTTGGATATCCCGAAAGGAATACGGAGCTGCGTAACCTCGTTCTGTGCGGTATCCACAGCAGCTCGACCAAAGCCACCCCCATGCACAAAGCTGTTGATTGTGGGGATGGCCCTTTTCTATGTCCGTATAGTATTTCCAACTAGCCGGGCCCATCTATCGGGCAGTTTACTGTCACTAGGCTCATCAGGAACAATTGATCCCGCGAGCGAAAGGGAATGGGGCCGAGGGTAAATCTCATTTTGGCAGAAATATTTGCCCGAAAAGTTCCTTTTTCATGAAAAAAAAAAGGGAGGGAGAAGAGGGTGGCAGATTTCAATGCTTTGTTCCGACAATCGGAATAAAGAGCGGTCCTCAATGTATATCTTCCGAGACTGGGAGTAGAGAGGTAACTAGATTGATTGCTGAATGAACGGGACTCGCAGATATATTCTGCCATGCGAATTGGTTTCCTGTTCTTCTCTGCATTGCTTGCTTTTCTTGATGAACCGTAAAGTAGAGGTTTAATATTCGTTGCCAATTTACATGCTATACAAGTAGGAGAAGGCTTCGTCAAGGACAAGTAGAATTAGCTTCAGGGCCAGACGGGATTTGCCCCTGGATGGGACCTAAGCTTAGTTCATGCTCAGTAATCTTCAATTCTTCAGGGACAGAAGCTAAGTGGCACGAAGCAGAAGGCCGTGCTATGTACTCCCTATGTACCGTATATCTAGTTAACCCAAGCTAAAGTTGAAGGATCTTCCAGCCAAAAGCTACAACAGTTTCACAGGCTCAGCATTGGTCCCGGCCTTAACCCCTTCCAAAGGCTCGAAACTATCCCGTCAGTGACGTGAGTGCATGGGATTTAATTCTAGAAATAGCTGTAGTTAAAATAAATTCGGAATAACAAAGACCGTTACATTCGTTATCGTCGTTAAACATGGACAGACGAGCACAGATTATATAATTAAAACAGGACGCAGGAGTCGAGTACACAAGACACATCAAGTAGCGCAATAGCACCGTATAAGATAAAAAGAGAGGAGATTCCGGTTACCTCGAGCGTCTAGAATGCTTCTCGCGGCGACGTGGGCGATAATCTTCGCTGTAACCGTCATCATCGGATGAACCGTAATTGCGCTCATGGTGCCTCTTTGAGCGACGCTTAGCATCGACGTCGTCCGTTAGTCCTAGCGCAGCAAGACCTTTGGTAACGTAATCTGTAACGCTCTGGCTTCTCTTTTTGCGGCGGCGGCGAGGTTGGCTGCTTCCGTCACTCGAATAGTCCGAATGCGCGGAGCTATTTCGGGACTTGGAACGATAATGGTCGTATGCTTTCTTCCCAGCCGCGGCCAAAACACCCGACGCGGCAAGATTTCTCATTCCTCCATGATCCTCTGATCTGGAACGTCGGCCATGGCGCCGATGAGATCGAGATCTAGAGGGTCCATTCATTAAATGGTTTGTGGCTAAGCCGGCTAGAGTGGACTCTACAATATGGCGCTTGCCATGCTTGCTGGGGTCACGTTCAATCAGCTTATCGATTCCGCCCGCGCCGATCGCAGCAGTCAGAACCCGCCTTCCCTTCTCCCCGGTCCAGCCACCGGGCTCCTTGCGTGCACGATATGCCTCGGCAGCGCCCGCGGTCAGCGCAGCAGTTATGACATGCCTGATCTCTTTCCCTGAGCGACCGGGTGACGGGGATCTCGAAGAGCTTCGACTCCGGTGTCGATGGTCCCTCCGACGCCTAGTGCGATCGTAATTTCGGTGGGAGCGGGGGTCGTAATAATCATAGCTTCGATCCCGACTTCCTGTTCGACGATGCTTGGTTCCGCGTGAGTCGGAGCCCCCTAAGCCCAGCGCAGCTAGGGCTTGCTCGCCCAAGGATTTACGTCGTCGCGGCTTTGGCGAAGGAGATCGGGATGCTGAAGAGCTGGAATATCGGGGAGGCCGGTAATCGTCTAATAGTTTTCAAGTCAGTTGGAGCCACTTAGAATTTCTCGTTTCGGTGAAGCGAGTCGAATAATGTCCGCTGGTCAAAATAGTAAGGGAAGGGCCACTGACCCTGAATTTTACGCCGCCGCCCTCGTCGGTATTCGCCTCCATTCGACGAGTGGTAACCATCGTATCGACTTCGCTTTGGGGCGGAAGAAGATCGTAAAACGTCTCCATCACGGCGTCTCGGATTCGTGTCATACCTCGAGTCACCGGTAATACCTGAAGCGGGATGGTTGGGATATGGCCCCGAGGGATATGCCGATCCAGGCGGCTGATTGTACGGGTGGTTCTGGTAATAATGAGAAGCTGCCATCACGACAGAGGCGAGAGGTTAGGCGGCTGTCTCCTGTGTGTGAACAAACAACTTGAGTGCTCGATGGTTCGGGAACGACAAAGACAATGTAGGGTCTCTGAGTAGTTGGGCTCAACACGCGTGTTTCTGCGTCACTTGTCAGACAGCATCTAGCAGCAAGTAAAAGTCGTCTAGTCAGGACAAGCAGGAGTTCAAGTAGGTGGTTGTCTGAAGCCTTTGCGGAAATATCAAGAGGTTCACGGGAACGGGTGGCGCAGGTGACGCAAAGTCGGCGTGAGTGGGGGGCGACTTGGCAGGCTGATGTTCATCAGGATCCCATCACGCGAATTGGCGATTCGCTTTTATTCCCTGGAGTCTGGAGATGAGAGACATCGCACCGACAGCCTGTGTTTATCCCCAATCTACCCGCTCGGGTCGCCACCATGGAATGACCGACCCCTAATTTTAGTCAACTTCCCATTCCCCACAGTCCCAACCACGGTTATGCTGATGAAACCGCAAGTCGTATTTATATCGCTGATTGTATACACGCATACATGATAAAGCTTCTTATAAACGATTATGCTTGTATGCCCAACTTTACTCCGTATATCTAGGTTACCGATATGGGACCAGCTAACGACACGGGTGTAAAAACAAAAACAGCGAAAGGAAGGATGGCCAGTCTCAGTGTCTGGCCCTATAAAATTTACAAAAATAGGCATGAAACATTTGAACATCAGCCACAGTGCTTGTGCGCACTAAGACTTGAACATGAAAAATATATCAAAACGTGGGCCAGTAAGCCTGGTTGCCTTACACTGGCCACGTGAGCTTGGTCTCCCACCCGTAACACTTATTTCTGCAGAGATACGCGCTGCATGTGGCTTCCATGCTCTAGAAGCCTTTCAAAACTCATAATTAGAAGGGTCGGCCCGGAGATGATTCATTGAGCCGCTAGACCAACTAGTTGGTCGGCTTATCGGAGACGTCAGGGAGGATTCTATATTCGTTTGCGAGAATGTGTACGATTCTGTCCTTGCAGTCGGAGCTTTTGGCCAGTCATTTTCGGACCATTTGCCGTGCTGGCTGGAAGGACTATTTTCTCTGTCTATTGTGCGGTGTGTACGTTGGTGTTGTTTCATGTTATCTTTGCGGGTAAAAGCTTTGTTGCAAACGGGACAGTGTACGCTTTTCTCTCCAGTGTGCGTTTTCCCGTGTCGAGCGGCGTGGCCAGAAGTGGTAAAAGTGGCAGAACACGAATGTGACGTCGCGTACGGGCAAGGGTACTTGTTTTTCTTACTTGGTTTATGCGCTCTCATGTCACCGGGTCCACCAAGCGTCGACTGCGGGCAGGGAGGATGTGATTGGAATGATGAAGTCTGAGCTCCATGCGAAAAAGTGCACCCAAACGTAGCGGGTGGCTCTGCAAGTAATTGTTTTCGAGGTGCATCATTTTCGGGGAGGATTGAACTCAACCGCGACGGGTGCCTCTCGCCAGATAAGATTGACCCTCGTGCTTTGGGGGAACTGCGCGGAACCGCAAATGATGGATTGTCATCGTTGTTCAGGATGGATATTCTTTTGCCTTGACCGTAGTCCATAGTGTCTCTTCGATGGTCCAAGCCAAACGCATACGAAGTCGCAGTTCAAGCACTATTGCATCACTAGAACATGACTAAAGGAGGACCATTGATCTCTGAGTGATCTTCCAATACGTTAGACCACGGTAAGTGAGAAGGGAGTAGGACTCAATCGCACCTTAAACAAAGCACGTCTGTTTAACGCCCGGGTTTCGAACACTATAACAAAGCGCTGAACGGCACTAGCTTCTTAAAGAATTTTATCAGTCAAATGGGACAACCCAGCTCTACCGTCAGGAAGCTTGAGCAAAGATATAGTTTCGAGGCAGAAACGCGCGGCGAGGGTTTGAATCTCTAAGGATAGTGTCCTATCAGAACACAAGGGCTGGTAATTCGGGCTAGATTCTACCGATGGCGATTCCTATATCCTGAGAAAGTGTCTAGTATTCAACTTAAGAAGAACGATCATCGGTAGTAAGTCTAGCGACAGTCCCTGACAACGCCAATTTAAACGGACAAGGCGCAAGCGTAGACCCTTCCATCCCCAGCCGCTTAGGGAGGCTAAAATTAGAGCAATCTCTTAGCCAGGCGCAAGGGGCGTGAAGAGGAAGGAAGCGGCAACGTCTCCGACAGCTAGATGTCACCGGAAGGGAGCTTTTCGTGAGAAACGAGGCCAGCAATGGCCGTCAAGGACCAATTCCAGCTCAAACCAGATCGTTATCCAGAAACCCAAATAGTTACCGGGACAGAAAATAAAAACCGAATTTGTTTGGGCAAAAGGGTTTAGTCGACGGAACATGAAACGAATATGATAAGAAAAGTTGCCCCGGCATCAGATCTTCGGAGAGGCTCAGGGCTGATTTACCAGGAGCACAAGGCTCGAGTCGGGAGCAAAAGTCGTCGATGGCGTAGGGGGCTGTGAGGGATCCGATTCGCAGGTCAGAAAACGGTATCAACGCCCAACAAAAGGAGAAATGTACCCAAAATGAAGGTACTTGTTTTCAAACTAGCACTGAGGAGGCTAACATCATTGATGAGATTGACCTTTCAGTGGTCACATGCACCATTCACTTGGAGAACTGAGGAACTGAATTACCAAACAGACGACGGGAGCCCCCAACGACGGGCTAGGCATTGCACTCATGGGAACAGTGGTTCCCAGTCCCCCGGCTAAAATACGGGGTTATTGCAACAACTTAATTCTTCATTATATACAGGAAAGACAAGGCCAACGGCAGCCAGATTGGTGTTGGATCAATTCATCCTTGCAAGGTGCGTTTCCGTCAGAGGCCGCGATTCTCCCACAACTGATACAGAGGGAGACGAACCGGAAAGCCTAGTTAGCCGAACCACTCGGAAACCAATGTACAGGAATCCATTGCACAGATAATTGATTTGGGCCAGTTGATTCAGCTGGATTGCTCTGTAAGCTATATCCTGTGCGCAGTGTCGGGGGATAATTCGACACAGTTTTTGCAGCCGACAGCTCGTGGTTAGTTGGTTAGCTCCCGGGAGGATTTGCTTTGACAATATAGATAGATTGAGTGCGCAGGTTGATCCTCTGTGGAGGACGATGGACGATATCCAACAGGTGGCCTCGACAGACGTTGACATAACGTTGGATTATCTGTTGGCTAAGACAAGCTAAGTTAGTTAACCTAACTAGTTAGTTAACGAGTTAACGAGTTAACTAGCTAGCTAATAACTAACAAGTTACGAGTTAGACAACCACCTTTGGATCCAACAAGTCGCTGCGAGGCTCATCATCCTGGGCTCTAGAGAAACCACTGCATATCAAGTCTGACAACTCGTTAACTATGCGAGCTCATCTGCTCCCTTTGGACCCAGCTGTCTGTTGACTTGACTTCTGCACCCTGTCCTGATCAACAGCCAAGAACCCACTTCTGCTAATACATACATGGGCATTTGAGGGATCTGACTGATCACTTTCGGGAACCCCATGTCCAAGCAACGGTTATTCAATCTTCTCCGCAAACGTGGCTACCTCACGAGTTGGCTCGGGTTTGCTTACCCCATACTCCTACATGGAGTGGGTTGGAAACCCTGAAATAGCGCAACACCTGGGGAAGAATCTCCTTTTACGTAGCTGGGAAGACAAAACGAATTAAATCAATCTCCAGGATTTCCAACTCCCGAGAAGGCCGCTGTGATGAAGGAAGGCCTCACATTTCCCTGCCAACGGAAACGACCGTATTCTGAAATGGCACACCGGAGAAATCAACCAAGAAAGTCCTCTGTATATTTTCCGCTGCCCGAAACGAAAAATAAAAAAAAAAAAAAAGAAAGAAATGGGAGCCAACCAAGTTTGATGCCCCGCATCGCGAAAACATATTTTTCGCAATGTTGCACAGACACTAGGCTGGAGAAGAACTCGGTGAGATAGCTAGGCGCAAGATTAGGGTGAGGACCATGCGCAGGCATTATCATGCGACAACCTTATACATAATGCATACATACAGCCTGTCTCAGGGTCTCTGCAGGGTCAACTGGGTCGTTTCCGTGCTCCCATGGGACACGCATCCACGTGAGGCTTCGATTATCGAGCAGGCTGGTTCCACAGCATGAGTTCGTGATTTAGCCACTCGCAAGAATAACAGGCGCTAGATATGTGTTCGAGCGTCTTATTTGTCGGCCATCGGTACCAGACCCTTGTTCTCAGAGGCTTAAGTGATCAATGACGGGATGATCTTGACTCCGCAAGCGGCTAGATGACGGCCGTCGCGGCGATAGCCAAATGGGGCGGTGATCTTTGATTTTTATAGAACCTTGTGCCTTTTATTCTGTCAGTCATGCCTAGCTGCTATCACCCACGTGGGAGCCTCCTAGAAAGAGAAAAGTGGCAAGTTCGTGGCCTCGTCTGGCCTCGTCCTGGGGAACACCGGTATTTCTAGTCGATTTTTTGTAGCAAAATTCCTTGCCGAGAATTCACGAGACGATTCAAATTTCCCAAGTATAGATTAGGGATGGAACCAATAATGAAAACAAATCATAGCTTCTGAGCCCTATCCTCAAGCCACGTTCTCAATTATGGAATAATGGGTATCTTATATTAGGCAAAAACGCAAGCTCCTTACATGGGCATGAAGATAACCAGAAATCATCTATAGGACATTGGCAGTAAACACGATATTGCACTAGACGGCGAAAACGAAGAGGGAAGAAAGGAAGAAGACGCAACCAGCACGACGCAAAGAGAATCAAACATTGGTTACATCCAAACTCAGACATTCGAGGTATGAAATATTTTAGGTCCTGGAGAAGAGCACCCATTGCTAGATTTACAGGGGAGGCAAGAATGAGAGAATGTAATCAAGTTCTTCAACTCAAGGAAACACGTATAAAAAGGGTGGCATTCGGAAGAAACGAATTAGGAAACGGCAAAAGAGCATTCAAGTCAGAACAGGCGACCCAGACGCCCCAAACGGATGCAGTTTTCTCTTTAATTCAGGGCAAGTCGAGGATATCATTAGTACAAAGCACCGGGGTCAAATTTCCAAATCGCTGGACCCCTGGCATGGGAAGAAAAGCAATGTTTTCGCAATAGGATGATGTCAATAGACAGGGGATTGTTATTAAGTTGAGAAGGGGTTTGGCGACGGGAGGAACGCAAATCGATCTTTCGAGGCAACGTTGCAAAGCTGATAAGACAGCCTTAAGAACGGACGAAGGTCGCTTATTTATGCTTGCCAAGATTGAGCCAACTTATATCAGAACTCAGCTGGGCGCCAGGTGTTTGTTGGTCCGAAGGTTTTAGCCTTGGTGAGTCGCGCGGCCACAGCGTTGGTGGGCGGTCCTGTTCCCCTGACAGTACAAACGAGTTTGAGTCGTTTGGTTGATACAAACTAGCAGAATAAGTGCTGCTTGCAACTCTGTTATCCCCGAACGATGTTCTGAGAGAGATCATATTGAAACCATCACCGGTATTATGGGGCATGTGGGATGAGGACATGTCAGCCTTATCATCGTAGGATTCATCCGAGGCAATGCTAATGGAGTCTCCGCTCGAGATTTTCGCCTTCAAGCCGTGCTGGGCGATATAAGTCTCAAATTCTGGGACATGCTCCGTGCTAGGGCTTCCAGATGTCACAACACCCAAAGGTTGAGTATGTCCTACCGTCCCAATACTTAAAGATGGCTGTCCATTGGGGGGGTGTGGCCAGGAATTTTCTCGATAATCGGACTTGGTGTCTTGGGAAGAAACTGTTGATCGCAGCGCGTCATCGTTTCGTCCATTGCTAGGACGGTTTCCATAGAAATATTTAGTCCAGTCTTCATCTGTAAACCGATCACACCGGAGATCGTGATTAGTGGATTTCGCTACCCCTGTAACTTCGGGTTTCGATACTGAACTTGAATGAGGTTGGCCTGTTTCGATAGTTTGCAACGGGTCCCGCTTTTTGTTAAGGTCTCCAGGAGGCACTTCGGTAAACGATGTGAAGAGCGACCTGGAAGAACTCCCGCCTGCTTCGCCGGTCACCATGGCCCACGAATGTGCAGATGGAACGGGGCCTCGGGCCATGGGCTGGACGTTACGAGTCAAGGGCTGCATGCCCTGATCATGAAAACCAAAATTGGAATCATTCGAGAGTCGGTTGTTTATCTCGGGCTTTGCACGTTTGTTTTTGCGCTTCCTCCATCCAAGTAATAATAAAATGACGATCAGAAGTGCAGCTATGCCCAGAAGTGCACCTAGTGTTGCACCGATCATGGTCAAGGTCCGCTTGCCTGAACTGTCGTCGTTGTTTGACTGGAGGGTAGAAGATGTCTCTGCTGGCAATGTGGTAGATATATTGTTCGTGGGCACATCAAGAGTGCGTGACGGTAACGGAGTGCTTGTAGATGAAACAACGCTGGTACTTCGAGCAAAAAATTCATCGGTGTCGACCCAACTGTTTGCAGACTGATTGAATATTGCCAAGGGCTCCTCTGGATTCCCTCCAGAGATCACAACTAGCCCCGAATTCACATCTTGAGCGAGTGAGAACCCATTGCGAGTTGCCGTAGGGGTAAAATTATCACTAGAAGGAGCGTCGAGAGGATCACCTCGCTTTTGGCGTCTAATTGTGGATTTTTTCCTGGCGCTCAAATTGTGGCGAGTCTCAATCTGTTGGGCAGGGGAGACTGGGGCCCCTCCGGCCATCAACATGGCATATCTGCTAACTGAGTTTGGTGATATACTCATATCGAATACTTCCAAGATTCTGCTACCATCAGCACCGAAAAGAATTGCACACTGTACTTTGGATATTTCGGGTAGAGGATTGGCCAGAGTAGCACCTGTATCATGCCATCCTTGAGCGGCGCTGAATGCAAACGCCTTTGTATTTTGCGAGGAGCCACCAATCATAAGAGCATTATCTTCGCTCCAGGGTAATAGGATTGGACGAAACGCCGGGGGGACATAGGAGTTAAAGGACTGCACGCGATATGGCGGTGTGACGGAGACCGTGAAGGATTGCGTCGATGGGTTCGTTTCTCCATTCTGCGATCCGGCGTACACCAGAAGAGAAGCAGAGGCGTTGAGATAAATCGATGCATGGTCAATACGATTTTGAATATCGTTGGTGTCCGGCAAGATGGTCTCCCACTTCTGATCCAAAAACGAGTATCGCTGAAGGCCAAGGTAATCGGGAGCCATACTCTTTCCGCCTACAAGATAAAGAGCGAGGTTATTGGGGTCGCCATCAGCACTTCCCTTTACACACGCAGCGCCCTCCACCGACTGGCCCATTGGAAGCTTGCTCCAGCTGGCATTTCGTGCCAACGGTAGGGACATAAAAGTTGTAGGGGTATAAACATAGAGCGTATTGTTGAAAACTATAGAGCAATGGCCCTCAAGGCTGGATGGCGGTTTGGGGAGTCCCATCGCATTGGTCTTCGTCCGAACGGGCGCCGCAAGGAGGGTACTTTTAATTGATCATGGGCCGCGCATTGAAACCGTACAGGGGACGAGAGCTACAAAGGATAGCGAAGCTACCAGAGCTAGCAATGAATTGAATGACGCTCGATGGGTGTTTTTGATGCGTGCTATGACAGGTATCGTCGCTCCACAAATGTGGCATTCATCGCATCATTCAGTCGGTCTGCCGATAGCAAGGTAGGTAGAGACCAAAAATACCACGAAAGAGATGTTGCGCGGGGACTCAAAAGGTATTCCGAATCGCCCTCAGAAAACACAGTTAACTAGCGTTATGATTCTCAGCCCGGGAGAATAGAAAATAAAAGAACGATAGAAAACAGCCCGTAAGGCAGAGGAAGGAATGAAAAGAATGGCGAGCAGTTATTAATATCGAGCAAAAGAACGCGCAGAGCGAGGAACAACCCCTGAGTTAATATCTCTGGGCGCACTCTGGAGGGGCGGGAAGGGAACGAGGGCCCAGGAGTGGCAGGGAAACACTGAAACAACGGCGTGTTGGTTCCCTGTGATGGACGCTGACCAAGCCCGAAACCGACTAACGCCCCAGGGGGTTGGCTCCTCCTCTGCCCCTCGTTCATACGCTAAAAAGAAAACAGCGCAACGTCCGCCTGTGAATGGCTGAGTCGGGAGCTGTG